TTAGCCTTCGAACCCAAGACGGCAGCTCAGCATGGGGGGATCCTAATCCTACTCCACAATCCGTAGTGGACTGGAACCAAAAATAGGATCTTGCGGATTGACTTTGAACAACTCGCTTCTCTTTGTTCATCTAAAACGGTCTTCCGGTCTTCGCCCCCCCTCCCCCCCCCAAAAAAAAAACAAGCCCATCGGGACGCCAGTCTGTTGCCCCTCCGAGCGCGCAGCGCTGTGGCGCAAGAGCTCCAGCAGCTCCAAGCTCAGCACTCCGTCCCAGACCTGCGGTCGGTCGCCAGCCTGGCGAAACGATCGTGGCAAAGGCTCTTGCGAGCGATGGGTGCGAGAGATGCAGGGAATGAGACATGGAATGACGTCGTCTATAAACCATCCCACTCGTGGTTTCCACTTTTTTCATTTTAAGGGATTAAACCGAGATTCCCCGGTTTAATTCCCACATTCCCAACTGAGCACCAGCAAGTCTTTCCGGACAGCTCTGGTACGCGCCCACTTGGCCCTAGGGCGCCTCGAACTCCGTGAAAGCCGAGGCCGACTCCGGCCACAGGCTCCTTGGATGCCGATTGTCTGACATAACATCTGCCGGCAAACGCCATCACCAACATTAAAATCACCGCATGCCCTGCTCCCACATGATGAGGGTCGGGGGATGATACTTCTGGATCCCCCCTCACCCAGCTGACGAACACGTGTGCCCCAAGAAATGCAATGGCTTCTGTGGAACTCCTTTTGACAGATTCCGCCCCAACATAATGAATGAAAAGCTCCAAGACAACTGAGGATCTGATTCACCAAAACGCAGCGCAAGTTTCTGGCCAGGAGGGTTTTGTCAGTGGCGGCCTGCGAGAGAGGGTCGGCTGGCAAACCCACGCAGCAATGAGATGAGTCCTTCTTGCGAACCACGCAACTATAAGCATTGTGTTGTCTGTCTGTTGCGCCATGCCATTGACAACATGTGGCAACTAACTACATTGGTCCGTCTCTGGATGACTTGATTTGAGGCTAAAACCATCTGTGGACATATGCATGCACGTGCTAGCAAGTGACGCAAAATGGCACAAAGCAATACAATTCAAAGGCCTTGACACGTTCAACACCAGAAACTAGCTTAGGCCTGCACGTTGGCAACCTCGCAGCAAACAAGTATGAAGCTATGAATCCGCATGAGTTTGAGCATGCATGCTACGTAGTACGCATCCACTTGTTCACGTGCACACTCGTACATGGGATGGCAACTGCTGCTCAGAAACCAAAGATATTTGGCCCAGGGCAATCCACAATATGCCCATTTGGTCCTTTTGTCACCTGCCTTGAGACAAACTCGGCACACCGAGAGCAATCCTACACCTAGGCGGCTCAACAAGGGCACCAGGCACCCGCACATTCCAGCGACAGTTTTGACACGGTTTGCAGTCCAAACCCTCAAAACCCTAAAGATGGCTGCAATCCGCCTGGTCCGCCATGGGCGACCCGGGCGCCAGCGCGCAGACCTGGTCGAAGGCCTCGAAGGCGCCCTGGAAGTCCCCGGTGCGGTAGCACCACTCCGCCAGGAAGAGCCTCTCCAGGCGGGGGGAGGAGTTAGCCTGGCCTTCATCAACGGGTGTTTTTGAATTTTGTTTTGGTGGGGGGGGGGCGGGGGGACCCTTTTTGAGTAGAAAGTCTGCCATTTCACGTTGGTCCGACTCTGCAATGCAATATTCTCTTGTGGCTGCACTTGTGCCCGCAAAATGGTTGACTTGGATCAATATCTTGTTAAGAGCTCGACCGCAGCCTAGCACGGCATGTGTGCAGTCCAGGGATGTTGCTTTTGCAGCCTGCAAATGTCTTTTACAAGGCGGTCCAAAGGTCCGGGGCCGCAAAGATCCCTCGGGCAAGGTTCTTGAAAAGGTGGATCCACCATGACTGCACTCTGCCACCCGGGTGGACAGGTTAAGGACCCTTCTGGGAGGTAGGGAGATCTCTGAGTGCAGCCGAAGGGTCCAAGCATCCGCCCTGCCAGGCTCCAGCGCCAGCGCTCGTCTCATGCACTTGGCCATCTGCTCATGCTCATGGGCCACGTCGTGGACGAAGCCACGCAGGAACCAAACCTCCGACCTCAAGGCATTTTCCAGCAAACAGCTTGGACGCGTGTTTTGTGGTTCCACATCCCCCTTGCTTGCATCTAAACAGTGCCCTGGGTTTCTTTGGTGAAGCCAACAAGCAGGGATTGGGAGCAGGGATTGCAGAAGCAAGCAGGGTAACTCACACATCCTTAACTGCTTCGGCTAAGATCTCACCTGTGGGCGGGCTGTCCCAACCCTGCTGCAACACCTTTGCAGGTTCGGCAGGGTTTCACCCCAAATAGCATTGTTGCCACCGCAGTCCCCTGACCAAAAGTGAAAGGGGGGGCCAGCTGAGGCCGTCGCCATGTGGCCTCCTTTCCGGCCTCCTCACACAAAGCTGCTGCGGCCGCCAGCTCCCCGGCGGCCAGCAGCCTGCAAAGACTTGCACGCAAGGCGGTCCCAGGACAAGCCGCCAAAAGCATTTGACAAATTTGGCCCTCGTTTTTCTGTATCTCTTAGCCTTGGGGGAGCTCAATTAGCCGGTCACCAAATTGTCCAAGCAAAGGAGCACCATAATCTGACCATCCCTATGTATGTGTGTTAACACTTTAAATTACATGAGCGTGCATGTGCTTGTATGTGTTCCTTATTGTGCTGGGTACTGTCCTTGTTGTGGATGGACAAACCAACAAACAATGGTTTCACATGGTTTCAAGTTGTGCAGGATTTCGTGTTTGCGGCTGATTTGAAAGGGAAGCCAAAATCAAACAAACCAATTTGGCCTGACACACACACACACACACACGCACCCACAAGGTGCTTCTTGTTGGAACAATCTATTGACCGACGTTGTCAAGGGCTGCTTTCCCCATCGGCTCTTCGGGGGGGGGGGAGAGAAAGCCACGCCCATTCCATGCATACTCGGGCCTAGAAGTTGGTGTTCAGCCGTTTGCTGTGGGCAACTGGGCCAGCCATGGCACAGCATTTCAATCCCATGGGAGAGTACAGTTCAGTAGGTCAACAAGCTCTTTTGCACGCGTTTCTGAAGTTGAGCCGCTTCCAACCAGAGTGGAACAACAATTGATGTGTCCCTTGCTTCCTCCGATCAGCTTGTTGGGAATGCTCCCCCCAAGCTTTGCGTCAACACACACACACAAGACCTTGGACCTTTCAACGTGCGTACTGCGCATCGCTCTTCTGAGCCTCTGCACCGACAAACGCAGGTTATCTCCTGCAGGCCGCAGCCGCATGTGGGTGCAGCCAGCTTGGGATCCCTTTGTTGGCTTCATCCTAAAATGCACGCTACTTGCCCTCCAACTGCACGTTGCCCCTACAAACAGTTGCGCTACCACTTGTTCCGCGCGTCTTCAAGAGACTTCGTGCCGCGCTTTCCGATTCGTTTCCCGCGGTTGTGCGTCGAATCCACATCATGCCTCAAACTGTGGGCTGACCAGCCTTAAACCACAAATGCTTCAACTTGGCAAATTACATACACGGCTCCAGAGGCGTATGGGTATGGTTCCTGTCCCCCCCCCCCTCCCACGGCTGCCAGTGGATCATGGGATTGGACACTTATGACCACAACAATGATCTTCCAACTCCGGGTGACTGTCAGTGGTTCTGAGGCCTACCCAACACATGCAACCCGTCTCCCGTCCAAACTTTTTCACACACATTGGACAGCACCAGTTTGATCGCGTGGTAAGCCCCTGTTGCAACATCTTCATCTAGGATTGCGTTTGAAGGGAGGGTGCGTTGCTGGGTGGTTCAGTAACCTGCTGGGGATTCTCAAGGCGGCACAACATGACCCCAGGGTTCTGGCGCGCCTAAGGATCCATTTTGCAACCTACTGCAGGGCATTGGTTTTAAGGGCTTTTTGTTGCTTATACCTCTGTGGCACCTTTCCTCGCCTGCAACGCCCCTGCAAAAAAAAAACAAAAACTAACAAACATGGACACATCATGTCTTCACTTTGAGCCAGTTTGTGTGGCTTCAGCTTGGGGATTCAGTTGGCCAAGGCTTCGGACCCCGCGCTCGCCCCTCCTCTGTTTGGCCGCTTTTCCGGAGGCTCCATGGCTCAAGCTCCACGCTGCCCTTCGAGGCTCTTCTGAAGGGAAACCAACGGGGAACCATCCCTTCTGATCCTTGAAGCACACACCCCAAAGGATACGAAATTAGACCCCCTTTGAGACCCCGGAAGCTGGAAAGCTCATTTTCTTGATGTTGTTGGAATCTTCCAGGAGACAGATTTCTTCTCAACCATCAACGCTTAAAGAGGAAACACACGGAAAATTAACGGGAACCATTGATGCGAAGGATCGAGATCAAACAAAGGGCCCCTTGACAACTGTGCCCCGGGAGCTATTTACATTTGTTGGGGGACGGCCGCAAACACTTTGAAGCCACAGCTGGCTGCAGCAAATCAGGACACTCACACACACACACACACAAACAAAAAAACAAAAAACAAACAAAAAACAAAAAAACACGCCAAACCACTACCGAAAACCCAAAGGAAATTGGGCACACAACCACTATGGGAGTAGTATACCCTTTTTTGCCTTTCGGGGAAGTGGACACCATCTCAGGACAGATTGCTATCGGCAAAGGTTCCTTGCTCTTGTGCCCTCAAGGTACGGTTCCTCTTCTCTTTGCGCAAAACAGTCAGAGTAGTGGCCGTCCGAAGGCTTTGGAGGATCACTCATCAGCCCCGGGTGCGACGACGGCCTGCACTCGGCGGGGCTGGGTGCTTCGCTCCCAAAGGCAGCTCCAGCATCAATGGCCCCTTCCGGCTAAAAAAACCAACTCATCTGAGCTGTGACCCCAAAACATGCACGACAATGGCTGAACCAACGCACAATGAAATCATTGGGCGTGAGTGAATATCACAGCAATAGTCACAGCTGCTTCACTAGGTGAGGTGGGTTCATTGGTCGATTTCCGAATTTAGATTGAGTGCCCAGGGTGCTTACGCCATGTCTCAGGCCCCTGGCGACTGCGCTCAACGTCCTGATCTGAGAACCCACGGCGCGCAACCTCCGCCTCCAAACTGTGACGAAACGAGAGGAAGTTGTTGCTGAAATCCAGCTCCGAGTAGGACCAGGTCAAGGCACAAAGGCCCCAGTCATTGATTCTGAGAAGCATGGGCACGAGCTTTTCAGCTGCAACGCCCAGCATGTCATCATGACCCGTACGCTTCAGCCTGGCAAAAGCGAAAATCACTGAGGGCAAGTCCAGCTCAGCTCCGCGTGGCTGCCATGCAGCAGCTTCAGCTACCACTTTGGATGCCACGGCTTGCAGCAAGCCTTCATCATGGTAATCACACAATGCCAGGCCCCAGCACGAGTTTGCGAGTGATTGCGGATTGGCAACAGGCAGCACATCTCTTGCTCGAACTACCACATCCGGCAGCAGCTCACGCAGCCTCTGGGATGCGGAGGAATGGATGGGATCAGCAACAAGCTGTCCAGTCGCCCAAATCACATTAGATATATCTTGGGCATTCATGACAGAAGCAACTTCTTGTGCCCTGTCCACTAGAGAAGGCAGCAGAATTAGCAAATCTTGAGATGCACCGCTGGTGGCAAGCTTTACCGCTGCCCAAATCACGTTGGCGACACTTTGACCCTCCATGACTGAAATCACAGCTGGTAACCGCCCTGCCAGCACAGGCACCAGCCTTGAAGGACATTCAGAATCAGGATCTTGTGCGTACCGCTTTTCCACTGCCCAAATGACATTGGACACTTCTCGGGCATTCATCTGTGGCGCTGTTCTCACAATGGCATTCTCCATAGTCTGCTGTAGCCTTTTGAGCTGTGTTCGCATGCACCCTTGAAGCCTTGCTGTCGCCCAAAAGATGCTGGCAGCTGCACGTGCTTCCACAGAGGGTTTCTTCAGCAAGGCCTGAGTCAAATTGAGAAATGTCGACAACGAAGAACACTCGGTCACATCTTTGCTAATGCTTCGTTCCAGTTCGGTCAGCCGTTTCCATGCTGAGACACCGAAATCAGGTTTAAGTCTGGATTGTCATGCTCTGCCCACATCACCTTCAAGACTTCGGATGCCGATGCAGCCTTCTTGGCGCGGATTGTGATGAGTGGGGGGTCAGTGTGGCCATCACCTTGGGTGCTCCATTGCGCCCTGGGCCGTGGACTGGGCTGGCGCCTCTCGCGCACATGCCGTGCAATGCGCCCAAGCCTTTGGGGCTGGCCGAACTCATTCGTGGCAGCGGTGAGGGCCAGAACATGCTGATCTGCCAGGCGAGAAGCAGCCTGAAACATGGCCGCAGCACGCATTCCCGGCAAGCCATTGCGACAAACGACCAAACGGTAGCTTAAGCCTTGAAGACTTTGAGTGGCCTCCCACCTAGTGCTGACTGTCGCATCATGGGCATGTTTAGTCTTGCAGCTGGCTGACTTGCAGGTCTGCGGCACCTTCGGCTGGTCGACGTCTTGGACAGCCCGCTTATGAGCCTGTCATGTGCCATCTTCGCACAAATCACGCTGCCAAACCGCGTGGCAAATGTTCAAGGTGTGATGCTAGAAGTTGCTTACACGGCAGGGAAGTATAGGAACCGTGTTCCTGGGAGGCCGAGACAGCTCAAAACCCTTTCCCTACCTCTTAGCAGCATAACGCACAACAACATGAAGACTAAGACAATTATCGAACAAACACGATACACACACAAACAGCATAATTTCTGCAAAGAAAGAAAGAATTTGAATCGCAAAACACCCGTTGAGGAGTCCCGTTCGAACAGCCGGCGAACGTGTCAAATGGAATTCAAAAGGACACCAACCAGCTTTGATTTTTTTTTGTGGCATTAAATGGCGTGCACGCTTCAGGGTCCAAGGGAGGGCCCTGATTTCCTGGCTTCAGGGTTCAAGTTCCAGGAAACAAGTCAGTGTGGCAATTGTGGCCTTGGGGCAGCCGTGGTTGATGGCTTGTTAACCCAAAATCTAGATACATCATACGGGTTCACACATGTAGTGAGAGTATCTGTAAGGGGAAGGCAAAGGAAAACCCCCTTTTCGGGTCCCCAATTATCAATTGGGGGCAATTTACATAAAGCGCGCTGCTTGAAGTCAGTCGTGGCGAGCTTCCTCAACAAGCATGCTCCCCGCAATTTAGCAGCACAACTTTCTTCGCCTTTCTGGAAAAGCGGCATCTTGCCGATTCGCTTCGCACTCAGCTTTGGAGTCTCTGAAGCTTCACTCTGCATTCCTTTGGATAGCCAGCGCCCTTCGGCACTTGTTGATCTTGGCTGCCTGCAGAACACAAATGTTCCGCTCAGTGGAGGTGTAGAAAGTCCAGTCCTTGTCCACGGGGGCATTGTCAACGACTCGGATTCGGGCCCGACCTTCCACATACATCATAGAACCATATAATGCCAAACAATGCATCAGAACAAGGCAAGCCCAAAGACATTGTGGTGGCATGCTGCTTCCCTTTCTGTTGGGCAACGAGTGCGACTTCTAATGACATGGTCAGCCTCAAAGCATGAAGCACGCTGAAGGGGCATCTCTCATATTCCTCAAATGGAAGGCATTGTCTATTTAATGACTTTTGCACAATCCCTAAATGTCCCTGGCCATAGACCCAGATTTCCTTTCGCACCGAATAAAGCTGGTAGTCCGCTGTTCCTTTTTCAGGTGGTTCGACAAGGTGGGAAACCCAACTCAATTTGACAGCTATGAACTACAACGCAACGGCCATTGAAACCGTGCTGCGGGCAAACACACACACACACACCCACGCACCCACGCACCCACGCACTCACGCACGCACGCACGCACGCACGCACACACGCACACACACACACAGACATACACACAAACACACACACAGACACACACGGACACACCCACACACACACACACGCAGAAACATGTGCTTCAAACAAACACAAACACAAACACAAACACAAACACAAACACAAACACAAACACAAACAAAAACACACACACACACACACACACACACACACACACACACACACACACACACACACACACACACACACACACACACACACACACACACACACACACACACACACACACACACACACACACACACACACACACACACACACACACACACACACACACACACACACACACACACACACACACACACACACACACACACACACACACACACACACACACACACACACACACACACACACACACACACACACACACACACACACACACACACACACACACACACACACACACACACACACACACACACACACACACACACACACACACACACACACACACACACACACACACACACACACACACACACACACACACACACACACACACACACACACACACACACACACACACACACACACACACACACACACACACACACACACACACACACACACACACACTTGAACTCCAGATGGAGAGTGCTAATCTTTCGAGTACAACTGATGAGTCTCGAGTACAACCGACAAGTCTCGAGTATGATGAGTTTCGGCTCGCAATGTATTCGGCTTCCCTCTAGTGTCGAAAACGTTACCAGAAAAGAAAAACAAACAGCGCCGCAACCAAGGGGCCAAAAGGACTTTCAGAATCACTGAAGCAGGTACAGGTGTCCACGTCTGGACACCCTTCCCACCTTTGGCAACAGCTTCATTGCGTGCAGTATGCCAAAGGTGCTGCACGCCCCTGCTGCGAAGCCGAAAGGGTGGTGACAGGGCATTCTGTCACTCCGCACACACACGCCCCTCTACGAGGGGCGAGAACCACTTTTTCGGGGGGAGAAAAACCACGCGCCCCAAAACCGGGCGAAGACCCCAACAGAAAACAAACGGAGCAAGGGAGCCCAAAAGAAACAGAAAGGCCCCAGGTTGGGTCTCCGCGGGCAAAACCCCAAACAAGAAACAAGAACAACGGGGAAGCCAGGTTTCGGGTCTCCGAGGGCAACAACCCCAACCAGCACCAAAAAAAAAAAAAAAAACGACCTAGACCTTGTAGACGAAAGGGGCCGCGAAGGCAAAGAGGCAGAAGAGGAGCAGGCCATCCCTAACCGGGCGATCAGGAAGTACAAGAAATAGCCCAGAGAGGGAAAGAAAAAGAAAGGGAAGAAAGAAAGGGACGAAAGAGAGAAAGAAAGAGAGAGAGAGAGACGGACACAGAAAAAGAGAGAGAAAGAGAGAGAGAGACACAGAAGCGTATTTAGGGCGTCGCAACCGCCCGGGGGAAAAAGAAAGGATCAGGGTGCGTATTTAGGGCGCCGCATCCCGCCCGGGAAGAAGGAACAAGAAGCAAAAGGCAAGGAGACAAAAGGAAAAAAGAAAGAAGAAGGAAGAAAGAAGAGGAAGAGGGAAGGAGTAGTAGTATGCGTTTTTAGGGCGACGCATCCCGCCCAGATAGGAACAGAGGATGAAGACCAAGGCTCGCGGAGAAAGACGTCGAATCCCGCACAGGGGCCAAGAGGACGGACCCGAAGTAGCAACGGAAGGGGAAGAAGACGTCAAGCCAAACTACGTGAGGAAGAAGAGGAGTAGGAACAGGAAGACAGACGCGAAGACGAAGACGAGGAAAAAGGTGAACAACGCGAGGACAACCAGGCCATCCCTAAGCGGGCGAACAGGAGCGGGACGAACGCGCGGGTCACGAAAGGCAGCAAAAAGAGAACGGGAGGAAGGAGAAGCCATCCCTAAACGGGCGAAGGACCAGAAGACGGGCACGCGGAAGAAGAAGGCGAGAAAAAAGGAAAGACGTAGGGTGAGACGTCACTATGGTCTGATGGCTTTCTTCCCTTTAGTGAAACCTCGTTCCTGGTTAAATGTGAAATTCCGCTGTTCTATGATCAGCACGCTGAGGTCAAATTTTCCGACAGAGCCGGCCCGGGGTCACACAATGGGTACACCCGAGGATTCCCCACGAATGGGGTGTACACACTTGAACTCCAGATGGAGAGTGCTAATCTTTCGAGTACAACTGATGAGTCTCGAGTACAACCGACAAGTCTCGAGTATGATGAGTTTCGGCTCGCAATGTATTCGGCTTCCCTCTAGTGTCGAAAACGTTACCAGAAAGAACAAGAAGCACAAACAGCGCCGCAACCAAGGGGCCAAAAGGACTTTCAGAATCACTGAAGCAGGTACAGGTGTCCACGTCTGGACACCCTTCCCACCTTTGGCAACAGCTTCATTGCGTGCAGTATGCCAAAGGTGCTGCACGCCCCTGCTGCGAAGCCGAAAGGGTGGTGACAGGGCATTCTGTCACTCCGCACACACACACACACACACACACACACACACACACACACACACACACACACACACACACACACACACACACACACACACACACACACACACACACACCCGCGCACGCGCACGCGCACACGCACGCGCACGCGCACGCGCGCGCGGCTGCGCGCGTGCGCTGCACACGCGCACCGCGCACCGCGCACGCGCGCGCACGCGCACACGCGCACACGCGCACACGCGCACACGCGCACACGCGCACACGCGCACACGCGCACACGCGCACACGCGCACACGCGCACACGCGCACACGCGCACACGCGCACACGCCCACACGCCCACACGCCCACACGCCCACACGCCCACACGCCCACGCCCACACGCCCACACGCCCACACGCCCACACGCCCACACGCCCACACGCCCACACGCCCACACGCCCACACGCCCACACGCCCACACGCCCACACGCCCACACGACCCCACGCCCCCACCCACGCCCACGCCCACGCCCCCACGCCCCCGCACGCCCGCCACGCCGCCCGCCGCCGGCCCGCCGGCCCGCCGCCGCCCGCGGCCCGGCCGCCCGCGCGCGCGCGCGCACGCACGCACGCACGCACGCACGCACCTCAAGTGTTGTGGCGGATCCTTGGAGTTCGCCGTAAACCCACATCCAACATATTATACGCCCACACCATTGGGTGTTCCTCTTTGAGGCACCCCATTGTGTCTTGTTTTTGAGGCACCGGGTCCTTATCGTGGCCGTTGTAGGTGGACATGTCCAGGGTGGACCGTGCGCTTCGGGGTAGGCTGAAGAAGTCGTTGGGCCCCGGGGGGCTGCCGTCCACCTTGTAGATCCTTGGCCCGTACTTGGGGTCGATCTCAACCTGCCAGTCTGCGGCTGGTCAGGTGCTGGGCAAAGGAGACGTTCTACGGGGTAGGAACAAAGGAACCGGCCCAGCAACCACAAGTGGACAAAGGCTTGGTGGCTATTCGAATGGGAATGCGTCAGCCAACCTTCCATTGGTGGCTTGGATTGGTGGAGTGGGTTCTTTATCCTGCCTTTGCACTGAATAACCTCCAGACTGTGTGGTTTTGTGTGTGTGTGTGTGCGTGTTTGCAGGGGAAGCCTGACATCCTGGGCATTGTCCTGCCCCAGAACCTTTGAAGCATGCATGTTGGATCCGGAAACAGCCCCCCATTGTTGGAGGATGTTGGAGGCTTCGGTTGGAGGCTTGTGCAGGGTTTTCTTCCGGAGGTTACTTTACCCCAGCCTCTTGGGGGCCATGGATCAGCCTTACTTTCCGACCAGCCAACAAGAAACGCAATGCCTGGGGACAGCGCTGAACAAGCAAACGCAATGCCTTGGGATGCTGTTCCTCTTAAGCCTTCCGTCGGCTTTCTCATCTCCGAGCCTCCACCATCTCCCCGTCTACGTCCACCATGACGTTCCGCTCTTTGATGCCGTCATAGTTGCTCGCCCCGTGGAAGTGGCGCACGCCGGAGTCCATGGTCATGTGGGGCCCGCCCGACATGGCGCTGAGGTCAGCGGAAGCTCCGGGGCCTTCCCACTTCCGCTCGGATGTCTTGAGCCTTTTGCAAGCTTCCGAGTATCCGAGAGTTAGCCATTTTTGCAGGTCAGACACATACAGAGACTTCCGCCAAAAATAGATTGCTACACTTTTTGGGGGGGGGCTCTTTACATTCCCATAAAGTATGCCGAAAGGTAAACCGCGCTTCCCGAAAATGCATCCAGCCGAGGAACAATAACATGAACGCCCGCGTGCGTGTGTCACATTAGGGAACCGCCCTCTTTGAAGTGAAGAACAAGATACAATTAGTCATTCAACCTGTTGTCGCTGATTCTGCTCATGTTTTGCACCTTTGGCTCGCCTTTGTTTTGAGCCATGTTGGGCTCTTGGGATGGCCTTTCAGCAGATGGGGGAACTGGATGGTCCTTGCATTCGCCAAAGGAAAGAACACCGTGAACATGCTTGAACCACGTTTGTCATGCGTCACACTGGTGAGGTCTGTGCGAGGTTATGCCTTATCCTTGACACCAACCGCAAGTGTGTGGCCCTTTTGCGGCCGACCATGAAACCATACGCCATCCATCTCTTGATCTGGCGACCCTCGTGTTTTCGAAAGGGTTACCAAATACATCATGGTTGCAACAAAGTAGAGCAAGCCATGCCCGCCAGATTCGGAACACCATGAACACCCAAATTGCAGGGGTGCAAAATAGAAACCCTTCAGTGACAGCCCAAAACGTCTGGCTTGAACAACTATTCTTGTTGTATGTAGGTTCTTTACACCTGCCGATCTCGCGTCTTTCTCTCCTCCCCGTGCCACAGAACGAGGGTCATAAGCTAGGTCCAACTGTTGGCCACTACACCTGCAACTCGCACGCTGTGGGACATGGCGAGCTACACGTCTTTGCGCCTTGAAACAGCGCTCGGCTTGCCACCGGCTTAAAGCCATGGGGCGCTCCCCCGTGCGGTAGCAGCCCTGGAACTAACAGCCCGTGCCAACTAAGGCAGAAAAACATTGTGACGAGATTGGCAGGGGTGAATGGGGTTGACTTCACGGCACCTGGGAAAACCTGGGCCTTTTGCAATACCACAAGCGCAGTATCCCGCAGAGGGAATGCCCTTGCAGTTCTCCGAAGTGTCAACTGACAGGAAACTCTCAAAACTGCCGCTGCTCCAACTGAAGCTTGCACTGATGACTGATGTGTTACTGATGTGCCAGGTTTCTTCGACTTGCTGCACGCTGGCACTGGCTACGTGGCTACACGCAACCAAAGTACAGCAAAGAGAGACATTTGGGGTTGACTCCTTCTGCTTCCTTAACTAGGTCCTGTAGAGAGGACCTAGTATAGTCAAACAAACAAAAGTGCCCCCCCAAAAGCAATGCAGAGCTCGGCTGGCAGTGGAGCAGCTGGCACGTTTGACGGAACGGGCTTCAGCTCAATGAAGAGCACTCCGCCTGGCGAGTTCCGAGTCGAGCCCTGCAGCGCAGGCAAGCACAGGCTTGGGTGATATTGCGGGGAGGGCCTTGGGCATAGGCGTCCTTTTGGGAAAATAGATGGCCCTGGTAGCTGATTAAACCACCAGGTCCTCTATTTTTCAACCAAATCAACCAAAACGGACACCTATGGCCTTTCTGAAGGGACCTTCTCAGTTGGAACTTTGCTGGGGTCCTAGTCTGCCGCAAAGAGACTTGATAAATTTGTGTGCTTTATCGAGTTTGGGGCCGGGCTGTTGCAGGCTCGGCTGTTGCATGATGGCGTGCTTTGACGCAGCCCGATTTCTTTCAGCCCACCGACCCAAACCTCCGATCAACACTCGGAAAACTATGTCTGCATCTTGCATCAAGCCGCAAGCTTTTCGCTCTGAGGGCCTTTGTTTCCTCCCTCCCTCTCATGTTGCCAAAAATGAGGTGTTCAACGTGATGTTTCTCCGGGCTCTTTTTCAAGAACAATGGCCAAAGCACGACTCAACAAAACAAGCAGCGCCCACTAAGTTGCGTAGCGTTCTTTGTTCAACACCATCTTCAAGAATTATATTTGACGGCATGGAGGCTTTTATGCCGATACGAGCTTGCAAGGCAGAGCTTGCAAGGACGTGCACCTGCCTCATACAATGGCATTGGGCCCCATATCTCCAACATACAGAAAAAACTTAAACAAATGCTTTGAATGAGCTTTGAGCTTTGGATCAAATAAAACCCACAGGAGTTCAGCATCCAAGTGTCTGGAAGGGGCGCCCCATCCAAATACGCCACGCCTCCATTTGATCATTTTGCTCAAGGAGCCGCTCCTAAGTGCAAAGGCTGAAGCCGGAGGCGATGACAGAATCTACACAATGCTCCATTGTGATGGTGCGAAAGGCTTGATGAGCATCCTGCTGGATGATACGCTTTTGCACGCGGCATGCCACGGCACATGTGGGGAGACAAGGGTTGCTACTGTTGAATTTGGTGGCTAGAAGCAAGTTGCCATCATCAGCTTGCCGGGGGAGACAACCCCAGGTCGGGATTTGCCTCGGGGCCAACTATGCGCATGGCTTTTCAAAGACCATGCATCACAAGTTCCCAGCATGTGCTACACAACCCCTTGTAAGAAATTGTTCTCAACAAGTTGGCCACAGAGATCGCCCGAGCCGTGCGCCCAATATCGTGGTCGTTGTCGAGGCTCTTCATTTTCCAGGACCTCCGGCGGGCCAAGTCCGGCAGGCTGCGGCGTCACGCACTGTTTCATGGTTTCATTCGCACAGCCGGCAGTCATTAGATTTCCCACCATTCAAAAAATGCAAAGGGCCATGCACTTGCAATGCTCTCGAAACTCTGCTGGGCAAACCCCGCGGAAAGCAAACCGCTTGGACTTGCTTTCGACTGCCAAGCGGATTCTTCACCTGGAAGCCCCGCCGCAAGATGACTTCTTACGTTTGAAACCATTGTTCTTGAAGGAGCCGGGCGGCGACGCCAACATGAGTTTCGATTATTGTTGTTTCCGTCACACTTATTCTTGTTGTTGAGGTCTCCCTTTTTCTCAGTGGCGTTAAGGTTGACGACTGCAAAGGACGCAACACACACACACACACACGCTCGCAAACTTGCGCGGTTTGAAGGCGGGCATCCATGCGCCTCGCTTTCTGGCAGCCGAATAGTCGCCATGGCTTCAGCGCCCTGTGGCCTCGGGAGACGCTCCCTCACGGAAGCCCCAGGAAAGCATAGCGGATCGTTGCCAACACTCCCTTCCTGAATTTCCTAAGGCTATGGCCTAAGCGGTAGAATTGGCCAACATATGGAAGTCGCCCCAAACGATAGCTTAGAATTGGGTCAATATGGAGCTGCCTCAAAAACTCCTCTCAAAAGGGGGTGAGATTCCTGAGTTAGATTCAACGGTTACCCTTTCGAAATGCAGCAACGACAACTCCGCCCAGCGCGCTGCCATCCAAAGCAGTGACATCTGCATGAATTTTCAAAAGGGTCTGAAAAGATGGTGCCCCAAAAGAAGATCCTTCAGAATCGAGGTTGTCACGATTCACATATCGACTGGCCGAGCTGAGAGGCCAATTTTTTGGGTGGCCCGTTCGCAAGACACTTCAGGCGGGATGTTCCAGGTCCAATGAGGGGGCATGTCAAAACCCTGGCAAACGGTACCCAGCACCTCACGATTTGAAGGTCCAACCATGTCGTCGCCCTGATCTCCAAAACTCCAAGGCGCAAGCGTTGTCAAAAAGTTGACCATGCGCACTGCGATGTTACACCAACTCCGGAGGACCATCTTTTCCTGGCAAGCGGCTTTGAACAGGTTCCTGTCGCCGGTGTGGACTACACGCAATTTAACATAAACGGCAGAAATCTGGTCTCGTTCTAAATGTCGCAAAGGACAGCGTCTGCGTCTGCAAAGGTCGGTCAACAAGCAACCGCCGCTTGGTCCAAGTAGCCAAACAGCTGTTCTGCAATCAAGTGGTTTCAGCAGGATCTGATGGACTGCAAAATGAAGTTCTGCAAAAACAACACTCGCAACAAAGCATAACAAAGCGACAGCCCTGCAAAACACTTTTCCAAGGCGCTGCATACAGCCCCACAGCGTAATTCCAGAGTTGCTTGGCTTTCGCGACAACAAGTCTTAATGCTTGACCTTGGAACATGGCATCAGCCCGTCGTCTTCCATGCCCAAACGGACGCCTGAGTTTGCCATGCTCGCGGCCCGGGCGAAAAACATCGAACTAGTCTCAGGAAGCATGGCTGATCCCGTGCTTCATCCACTGCACGCGCGCAGAACCTACAATAATATCAAAGATAAGCTTCCATTCAGCCACTTTCAGCAAGGCAAGGCAATCCCCTATTTCCCACCTGCCTCCCGGCGCACAACCACTGCGTGGCCTGGATCGAAGCGCAAGTGCTGACAGTATAAGGCACTTGGCCGCCAATCTGAATCAAGGAACCCCGTTCATGTCTAAGCCCATTTTACCCCACCGCCCTGCAATTAGTCCAGAAAGAATTCTTCCCTTCCGAGCATTGAAGGCATTGGCTGCGACGGACCCCTTTACTGCGAAGCCTACATTAGAAATGGTGAGCAAGAGTTGTGCAAGCATGTGGCAAGCAAGGGCCCACCGCGGCAAAATGAGCTCTGTTCCTTTTTGGTTTGCTCACAACTCCTTCCTCACTTGGCCAAAGCCGACCTTTTGCCCCATGGCCCAAGGGCCCGAGTGAAGTTCAACACCGTGCAGGGCAGTGGTGGCGGAGCAACTATTGCATTTGGAAACTCGTGAATCCCTGAGAGCCTTACTGCCTCTGCCTCTGAACAAACGAGCTAGAAATTGCACTTTCTGGGCCACTGATTTTCCAAGCCAGTTGGCAACGCACTGGGTGCAGGACGCTGGTTGATGGAGAGTGTATTCTTGCCTCAGCATCTGCGCTGACAGCAGCATAGCTCTCTTGGACATGCCTTCGAAATGGAACATTGCTTTTGTGTTCCCAAGGGCAAGCTCTGCATGGGGGGCATTCAGGGTTCACAACTATCTACAAGCTGTGAATGACTGAGACTGACTCAAAAAAGGACACTGCTGCTGGTTGCACAAATCAGGGCCCAGTGGAAGGCTGCTCATGCCTTCCAGCATGCCCCCTTCTTGTGGAACGAACACATCTTATCAAGCTTCTGACTCAGAACGACGATTCTGATTCTGGCTGGCTCATAAAGGCTCAGCCAAAATAATCCCACAAGAAAATGGCTCACCCTCCGAAAGGGCCGTCAGGCGCGTCCAAAGATGGAGTACACGAAGGGTAGCCCTGTTGGAACCATGGCTTGAAATTGGAGAAACCACGAGTTCCACCAAGACTCGCAAACCAGGGCAGTGAGCTTGCTTGCAGAGAAGTTGGCATTGAGTTGCTATCAGCTCCTTCCTCAAGCAGCTGTTTGGGTGCATCGGGATCCCTGCAAGCGGAATGGTTTCATGATTGTTCTAGCCACACACGCAAAGGCAAGGTCCCCAAAATTGTCAAGGGAGCTGCTGTCATCCTCGGCCAGGAGTCTATCGTCCTGTGGCACATATCATCACCCGACGCTGGATTCATGCTTTAGCCTTGCCAATAGTTTTGCTCGGGGGCTCGCGGATCAATGGCACCCTGATGTCACCCGATTGCCGATGGTTGCATGTTTCCGGATTCCAATGTCAAGCAAACACATTGACTCGCACATGAATCAGCAAGTGATAACCCGTGGCCGTCAAGCGCCCACAGCCACGCAAGGGTGTCGGATCCCTGAATACTGAAATGTTGCAAGCAGGTCACAACAAGTAGGTCGCAAGCTTGCTAGTACTTGGCCATTGCACGTGATTTTGATTACTTCAACTGTCACAAGGCCCTGGTTGGTTCACGCTCCGGGTGGCCTCTTGGCAGCATTGTGCCCCTGTTTTCCACCAAAAACGCTAAAGCCAAGCAGTTGCCCAAAAAACAACCAAACAAGAACAGCAACCACACAAACAAACAAACAAACAAACAAACAAACAAACAAACAAACAAACAAACAAACAAACAAACACACAAACAAACAAACAAACAAACAAACAAAACAAAACAAAACAAACAACCACACAGAGACACACCTACACACACACACACATTGTAGCCATGTGGAACAAGTGAACTAATGGAGAGGTGTGAAATCCAATAATTGATGTCGGGCCCATGTTGGCCAGAGTGGACCAGCCGCAGGCCGAAATCAGGCATGCCTGGCAGCCTCCAAATACATTCTGAAATCTCGTGTGGAGGCCTTGCCACTCGTGCAGAACAATGCGCATGCCTTTTTGCTAACCCCTACTTGGTGCGTGAGACTGTGGAAGCAACTCAGCACATTGACATTCCCAAACCGCCGAGCCACTAACCAACTGGTCGCTTTCAGGCCATGACGAATGAGTGTCAATTAAATGGGCGGGGAATGCACGATCCCCAGGAGAGTTTGTCCTATTGCCTTGTTCAAGCTACCGTAACAACAACTGTCTGCCAAAGGGTTGCGCAGTAAACACTGAAGAACTTTTCCTCTTCCACGGTGGGCCGCAACTCATGGTGCATGTTGACAGGGCTCGCGGATTCGTTGCGATCTTTGGGGTGCAGCCCCTGGTGTCCTGCGAGATGGTGCTGGCATGCGCGACCTGCCATGCGCATTTTCCGGACGTTTGGCGGGTTGCATTTGGACCCCCACTTGCTTCGCAAGGCAGGAAGCGTCTCCGGGCTCATCTCCATCATGCAGGTCTTTGAGAGGAAACTGTGAAGGATTTGGGGCAAACAGGTGGATTTGATTGTCCCCCTCCCCCACCACCTGACGTCAGGGCAGTGACCACCGGAGGACAATCCCATCAAGCGGCCTGCGACAGGCCTTCTAAACAAAACGGGACTCAGAGGGCACTGGCAACACCTTGAGTGCTGTCAACATCCAGGCGCCCGCACCACGCGAGCCAAGGTCTGCTTGAGGATGTAGTCCCAGGCAGCTCTCTCGCTCTCCACCGACCTGGCCAACCGTCATGGGCAGTGACGAGCTTGCTGGCATGGCATCCACAAGCAGAGGGCCTTCATGACGGGTACGCTTGTGCCGAGCAAACAAACACCCCTGACATACACGTACATGCGCACGTCTTCATGCATACACATCACGCGCGCACGCACGCACGCACGCACGCACGCACGCACACACACACACACATTGAACATGTACATGTTCACATACAACATGGTGTCACCTTTTCAAAGGACTGCATTCATGGGTAACTTCCATATCCCGCGTGGCGGATCGCTGAAGTTCTGCCAGGCTGGCAGGGGTACCCTGCACAAAGGAGGCTGGACCTTCACGTCGCACACCTCAAGCGTCGGGACACCGAGCCATTGGTCCGCTCGACCCTGGGGCCGGCCCCAAATCAAGCGTTGCAAGCAAGGAACAAGGGAGACCCTTGCAACCTGTGCTTACTCGCATGTAGGGAAACGGGTCACGCGGGAAAAGCGTGGACTATCACCCAAAGGAGGCCTCCGAAAGCGCTTTGCATCCTGCAAGCTTCGTTCCCGGCCTGGAGGACAACCCTGAAAACTGTGGACCCCAATTCTAGTGCTGAAAGGAAGCCATCTCAGTTATAAGAAACGCCGTTGGCACTTGCCACCGCCCTAGAAACTAAGTCCCCGGCCACACTGACTGCCTGGCGGCAGAAGCGCAACCGGGAATGGCACTCAGGGTCATCAAGTGCTGGTGTTGTTCGATTGATGCCGTCCATCTTGCAAGTCAATGAAAAAACCTGCACTTCAGGAAGGTGTTTGGCCGGTTTATGGGCAACACCAACCAAATTCAAACTGCTATAAGATCAGAAGAGCGCATTCACGAATGTTGGCACCGCTTGATGGCCTCCTGGGCAGCATGCTGCCTGAGAGCACCAGCTGACATGGCCCATCATGGCCCCTGCTTCACATGGGTGGCACAAACTGCCTTCCTAAGTGAAATGGCGAAAGAAATATCAAAGAGCATCCAACCCAATTCTTTCCCACTCAATTTGACTCAATTGACCTTGTCAGAAACTATGAAGTCCAGAATCCGGAAAAGGGGGCAAGCGACTTAACAGCCTCCAGCCGGTAAACTACATGCCTTGTATCCTCCTTGTGTTCACAAGCTCCCGAAAGCGCAGCGACCCAACACGGAAGCAACGCACCCTTTTTGGAGGCTATTTAGGGCCAGTGAAACGAACTTGAAATCAAGCATTTGGATGGGGTCTCTTGGGACATACCTTTGCTTGGACATTGGAAACATTCTCGCCGAACAGGGAGAAGTAAAAGTTGTCAAAAGCTGTGCGCGCGCAATGAGCGCGCAAGTTCGGCCCAAGGGATGCGCAAGGTTGCAGTTTTGATGGGTTTCATGCATTGATGTTGCCCAGCTTAACGAAAGGAGTGATATCTTTTTACTGCGCTTGCTTGTCGCGTGTTGGCCACAAGCTGGTTGCAAAGGTTCCTGCAAGGGAGCGAGTGCCTCTGCCTTTTAAACTTTTGTGAGTTGTGCAGGGCAAAGGGCTGAAACACACACGCACACACACACATTTGCAGCTTGCCGACTGCAGCGTTTTCTTCAGTCAGATACCACACAGGAAACCAAAGTTTCTGCGCTTCAACAATCAGCTGACACAACAAAATCCGCAAGCCCCGCGCAAGCCGCGCGCAAGTTGCGCGCAAGCGCGTGAAGTCCCAGCAAGACATCCAGCCATTTGCTGTCTTGGATGTCCTTATCGGCGCGATGGATAGGCAGAGCCTCTTGCGTTTTCTGTTGGCTCAAGGGTATGTTGCTGGCCTAGAGCTGCTGGGAGCAACCCCAGCGGGAAGCGTGGGTTGCTGTGTGGACAGAAAACACACTGCATAGAAAAGCTTGCGCGCAATCCACATGAAAACTTTGCAAACCGAGGTCCACGAAATCTAGTTTCTGCGTCGCTGTGCGCGCGCAAGTCCGCGCAAGTGCCGCGCAAGTGCGGCCCAAGGACCCAATCCCGGGCAAAAGAAGATAGGACAACCCCCACCTAACCAACCGATAAAGGCAGTGCATTCAAACCGAAGACTGGGGTTTTAGGACGGCCCTCAGGTGGCTGTTTGGCTTCCACAGAGGCCTGCGACTGTGCCTGTGACTCCGAGTGCCCTCCAAACGTGCGGTCCGGGGCGCAAAAACTTCTCCCCGCGGGCAACCTGCGCGCCCTCCAGCAAGCTAAAATCCTGCACGAAAACGTCCCCAACGTCCCCTCACCTACCGGCCTCTTGAGTCGGTGAGCCTTCAAGTCTTTGGACCCTCTCATGGCGGTTGTCCAGTGTTACACCCAGAGAAGGCAGCCTCAGACAAAACGCAGGTGCCAGGCTGTTGGGTACCCAATGTGAAGCTGTTGTAGAAGCTTGCCAAGGCGGCTGCTTGGGCACCTACTCCGCAATATTCGAAGATTATTTGAAGGTTACTAGGTCCGTTGCCCCTGCACCCCAGGTGTTCCGGTGTTCTAAGCCAAGACAAGCTATCAAACTGAAGACCCAGCCCCAATGAGCTTCGGCAAGTGCAGCTCCCACCCGTCCTGCGCCAACTTGTCCTCGAAGTTGGTGACATCATCCTTCGGTGGCTTGGGACTTGCGGCGTCCTAAACTGACGCCCCTGAATGGTGGACACGCAAAAACCAGATCAAGGCGAGCTACTTCTTTGATGACCAATCGCCATGTTATGTCAGTTGATCTGTTTTTTTTTTGAATGGGTGGTTGGTGGCTTGGATGCCAGGGTGTTTTTAAAAGAGGCTGGGCTTCACACGCACAAGCCACCAATCCAAATGCACCACGGAAGGGGCACCCCAGCGTCGGAAGCTGATTATGAGCCAAGGATACAAGTCCACCCTTTGTTTCGCGTTTGGTTTGGTGTTCAGCCTGCCTTGGGATGTTACATCAAACTAAATTCAAGGAACCCACCAGTTGCAAAGCAGACATTTGTTTCAACGGTTCGAGCGCATAGTTCCACCACAAGAGCTACTCACAATTGTGAATTCACGCGCAGGTGAAAGTGAGGCTTCCTTTCGACAAAAAACAGGCCAGAGCAGTCCTACAGAGCCGCAACTGCGCACCGATCTTTCGTCGCGGGCTGTCAAAAGCAACACGTGGCCCATTTCGATGTTCCATGGGTCCCACACGATCTCATGGCAGTTGCAAATGCCACATCCATGGGATTTCGCCACCCAAAACAGGGGATTTCAGTTCGAGCTGGACCCCTCCAGGTTCCCAAAGCCGCCTCTGTGGCCACCAGGAATCTCGCAGCTCCCACCGCCACATGGGGCGTGGACTTTCCTGAGGTTCGGACATCCGATGCAAATCCGAGTCCGCAGCTCGGTCCTTTTGCAGATGGCTCGACTAGACTTCGGCTTTCAGCTCTGCTCAACTCAACCCTGTTCTCGCGCAAGTCTCAACTTGCTCAGCCAAAGGGCTGAAGAACGACACATGTCCCCCACCGATCCATAGACCAAACCGGAAATCTGCCACCCGCATTCAAGCCGCATGGTTCAGGGATCTGGGTGTGAAAACCTTTGAACTTTTTGACCGCTGAAAATGCATCGTGCAGGTGAGCACGCCCGGGCAAGGAACGCGACTTGGGAAGGCACACGCATTGCCAACCCACGCAAATCAGGAGATGGGCTTGGTTGGCACTGCCAAAGCCAAGCAACATCATGGGGGGGGACGCCCTCATTCAAACCACATCCTTGCTAGGCATGGGTCCTTTGCAATTCAATGCGGATTCCGAATCCCTCCATGGTCGCTTGTTCCTTGGTCCTGGCAATGCCACCTGAAGCGAACGGAGCAAACGGGATTCCGATGAGGCTTAGTTCTTCGATGGCTCCTGTGGCCCCAGGCGGCTAGGGCAGGCTGGCAGGGCGAAGCGGTAGGAGTGCGCCAGGTGCCTCTCCGCCAGCGCTGTGTATGGGGTGGGGGAGGCCCCTCTGTTGATCGACCTGCCCTCCCCCTAAAATGAAGCATGCCTAACGCAAGTAGAAAACCATGTTCATCTAAAATTGCTTTTCTGATAAGTTCCATGTTTTCCGATGGGAGGAGATCAGAAAAGACATCTCGCCCTGAGTCTTCAAAGGGGTCCGGCCCCTAAATCCCAAACAAGGGTGGCTTCCCCCGTCTGAACGTACATAGGCACGCGCATCACATACCCTGCTTATAGGGGCGGGGGACTTGGTAAGTGGTTAGTAACGATGGTTATAACCCACTTACCATGTTCATAAGTCTCCTAACTGGGTCATAACCATAGTTACCAACCACTTACTAAGCACCCTGCCCCTTTAAGTGGGCACATCTGGCCTGGACTTCCAGGCGGGGAAGTCTGGGGGCAGCGGCAGTTCCACCATGGTGTACTGCGTGCACAGCCTAGTGACAGATGTCAGCGCAAGGAGTGGTTTAGGGTGTAGGGGGGCTTGTTGGAGTCGGTTTGGGTCGTTTTGAGGATTTGGGCTGCGTTACCTCCGTTGCTTCCGTGAAAGCTCCCAGTACATACACCTCGAGAAGATGAAGTTTCTCTTTCAAACAGGTAAAACCAGCCTGAGGGCAAGTGGTTCAGTTTGTGGATCTTGATGGTCTTTGTTTCAGGCGCCCAGTATAGGAAGACAACTTGTAGGTAGCAAGCTTGCTATCAACATGGTTGCAAGACTCTACATTATCCTGCTCAACAGCGGCACAACCAAGAACTCAAAAAACGGGACAGCGATCAACATATGTTTTCCCCCTCAGCAGCTATTTTGGGCTGCCCCATTAATAAGCCTCACCGCAGCCGCACCGGGAGTCAGAACTCTCATTGCTAGTTGGTGAGGAACCAGCATTTTGCGAAGAGTCACAAGGCCATTCGGTCACCCCCACAAGCCCTGAGTATGCAGACAAGATCCTTCGGTGTAGGGGTAAATCTGTTCACTCCCTTTGGCTTTGAACAAGCTCATGTCGGGAGCTGTTCATCTCCTCTTGATTGAACACAAGGGACACCAATTGGCTGTGTCGACTAGGGTCAGAGACGCCGCTCTTGAAATGCAAAGGTCCAGCATATGCCCGATGTGCGCAATGGGATGCCTTGGCCCTGATACTCTGCAAGGAGGTTCTGCTCCGTACTTGATGCAACGTCAACAACCGGACAGTTCGGACGCTACGTCTACTCCAAGCAGCTGGCGGGTCCTAAAGTTGACCTTCGACCTGAACCTTTGCGGACTCCTTGGCTGTCTGCCCGTCGAGCCTTCCACAAACCTGAGTGACAGGCGTCATTTCACTCCAGCCCTTTGGCATTGTGAAGCCGTGGTAAAGGAGATAGTCGGCCTGCCGCGGTCATCTGATTGGTCAAAGCGCTCTGTCTATGAGTGTGTGTGTGTGTGTGCGCGCGTGTAAATCGGCGGCCGCACGTTGGACCGCACGCCGTAGCCGACTGTCACCGCCTGGGTTAACAAATTGGTGGCGTGAAGATTATCAGGAACCCAGGCTTCAAACTCACAGCCACCAATCCCCAAACCACTGCCTGAGCCGCATTGCGACCGAAAAACAACGACTTGCGAACCTATCATCTTCATTCATGTGCACTCAGAAGCGAAAGCAACACAGAAATCAAACAACATTCAACTACCAACTTGCAGCTTTCTTTTCGCGCACTTGCAAAGAGGGAAACCCCATGTTGCCACTGGAAGTGTGTTTCTTTGCCGCCTCTTCCGCTAGCAAGAGGGAAGATCAAGTCATCAACTTCAAAAGGCGCTATGACTTGGAATGTACCAGAACTCACCCCCCGCCAATCTAGCAAGGAGGATTCCCTGCTCCTTGCTAGCAAGTTCGCACCCAAAAAACAGGCCACCCCCCATCACTGCTTCACGCTTTAGGACATGTCCATGGTATCAGTGGCGAAGCTGACCGAGGCACTGCTTTTTTGGGGAGTGTGTCCACTTCCAGTTGGAAAGAGGGAAACACAAACTAACTTTCCTTTATATTAGTGGCAACCACGGCAGCCAAAAACCAGCTTCACTGACCTCTGCTTCGCGCTCAAGGCCCCGCGCTGAGTTCGCGCTCAAGGTCCGCTTCGCCTTCAGCGTCACTGCCGCCAACTCTGCATCCTTGGGCGGCGGTGGTCGGTCCGGCAGGGCGAGGCAAACAGCGAGGCAACAGTGGAGCCCCTAAACATGGCAAGTATAAAAAAACATGGGAACAAGATTCGAAAACCCCGGCAAGTCAAACTGCTGCAACTCAATTGGCATGGTTTGTGGCTGTGGTTGGCTCGCTGGCAAGCAGTTCGTGGCCTGGGACCTCTCCGAAGACAAAAAAAGAAGGCGCAAAAGAATCCCCAAAGATCGGCTGCAGTGTGAGATTGTCACCACTGTGACACTAGCCCGATCCGAGCCCGTGGCATAAGAGATGTTCGTTAACGAGCCGGACTCCTAGCCCACAACGAGAGTTCCACGGGCAAGACCATGCCATGATGCCACCAGGCAGTTGGCTTTCTGTTGTCCTTTCGAGCTATCCAGGGTCACGCTAACAAGAGGTCCACTTTTCATTGGTTTCTGAGGGATCTATGCACAAGCTTCGATTTCGAAATGGGCAGGCCAGCCACTTCCAAGCGCATGAAGGCCCCTCAACTCCTGGTACTTGAGCAGGTCGTCTGTCGAGAACAGCGGCTTCCTCAGGACTTCTGAAAGGGATTGAGCTTTCGTGCGCCCCCAGCAACAGACTGATTCTTGGCCAGGGAAATCCAGCAAATCGGGAAACCATGGGTGTGTGCTTTTTGAGGGTACCCTTTTCAGGGTGCTTTTCAAACGTGCCAAAGGAAAACCATCCCTTTGGGGGGGGGGGGGTTCGTAAAGAAACCCGACGCGTCGAATCTTAGCTTGGAACTCCGGAGTAGGCAAGTGGTGGTCCACGAGGTCAATCAGAGGCATGATGGCCAGCTGGGGCGAGGTCTGACCTGCTGATTGTGGGGTCCGCAAAACAGTTAACATCTGCAGAATAGTCCCGGCTGGCCCATCGACTACTGGGTTGTGACCGAACCTCATGTGGGTTGCTTAGCCGTCTTTCTGCACTTGACATCGCGATGCTTCGAGCCTCTCCAGGAAGAGTCTGAGATAGTCTGAGATAGTCTGAGATGCGGGCTCCGATTGTCACGGTCCGGCAGGCTCACGGTCTCACCCCGGGACATGACCACCATTGCCCATTTCTTGAACCTCGGAGGCCCAAGGCAACTTCCCCCAAAAAGAAAGCTGGGCTAGTAGAAATTACCACTAAACACTAAGAACCGAAAAACCTAAGGTGATGGCGGGGCTGGGAACTTTTGGACTACCTTGGGCGTTGAATTTTTGAAGGACTGTCCTCTGAGTGAGAGGGACAAGCTCCAACTTTCCAGCAGCTCCGGATCTTTTTGAACGCCGCTTTTGACCAATGGCGATATCCTCCAGGATCCACGGCAGTTCCTGGACATCAGCAGCTTGGAAGGTCCCTTGTACCTGCCCCTTCAACTTTCCAACCAGGGAACTGAATTCATCAAGCAGCTTAGACCCCAAACTCGTTCCCACAATTGACCTGCAGTAGTCCAAAAGGCAAAGAGAGGCCTGTCCCTTATTGTTCATTTTCACTGCTAAAAAAAAGCACTGCTTTCGCATGGCGGGAACCCTAGCGCCAAACTCCGCCACACTCATTCCATTCCCACAGTTTGGTGCCTCTCCCATGGTGGGCTTCATTCTTGCAAAGAAGCCTTTCCAATCGGAAAGGTGGGCAACTGCTCGCCAGCCATGTTTGTTGGGAGGCTCGCTTTGGAAGCCTTTGTGGATTGCTTCGAAGGGGAACACACGGAACCAGGTCCATGTTGCTGTCCGGGGCCCCAGCCCTCTCCACTACCTCATCGGGGATGGACCCCTGCAACTGCAGCTTCACCTCCGCCAGTACGGCCGAGAAGTTGCCCGTAGCCGGGCTTGCCGGCCTCGGCGGTCGGTGTTCCGGAGCCGGCGCCGTTGGCCTGGCGAGTCGCGTGGTTTGGAGGTGGTATCTTCAAGCATGTCATTTCCACACTGCCATTCGCCACTCGCCGACATCTGTCCGCATTCATCACCACCACTTCCAGAAGCTGATCCCCCGACACGCCCCACCTGGGCTGCGGCAGATCTGCAGGCGAGTCCGCACTCGTCTCGGGGTCCGCGCTGCCGCCGCCGAAGAGTTGCTGGCAGGTCGTGGCAAGGAACCTGGAGGCCTGGAACGGGCGCTCGGAAGCGCGTGGACCCCGTGGGGGATCTGTTGCGCTTCGGGAGGGGAGGGGAAAAGCTTCAAGGGTTCCTTGCTTTGGGACAGCTGCAAAAGACTGATGGTCTTGCGTTTGGCCCTCTTGCCCCCTTTTTGGTCACCAAGATCACGGAGAACTACTTGGCATCAAGTGTCAAACGATCTAGTTGGGCGCTTGTGTGTGTCCAGGAGGCGCTTAGCAGAACGACTCTTGTGGCTCCCCTTCCTCCAACGGGAGCAACGCATTTAAGAGGCTCAAGCACTGCGAAAGCGATCCAGGGAGGAGTCGAACCTCCATGATTTGCTTGTCAGCAAGTGCTGCAAAGTCCCATAGGGCAACTGGATCTCTGGCATGTGAAGGCAAGGATACATTTGTTTGTGACCCACCCATCCAGCCCGGTTTGCCTTGCCCGGCTCCTGGCTGCAGCGCTCCCTCCTTGGCAGGGTGCAAGGCCGAAGCTCTGGTGAGGGATCCCCTAGATGGGGCAGTTGTTTTTTTTGGTTGTTCAAAAATCCTTACGGTGACCAACAGTGACCCCCAAGTCAATAAGACCCCCCATAGCTGAGGCCCCAGTGGTCCCGAAGCACAATGAACAAAATGTGCTGTGCGAGCAAACAAAACACAGTGGGATAATCAAAGAGCCACAAGCAAGTCACTTTGCTCTAAGAACGATGTCTCTACCACCAAACCTCTGATGTAGTGCTTCAATGTCTAGCATGGTTTTCACATGGTGGATGCTTCTTGTCAAGCCCAGCAAAGGCTAATAAGCATTGACCATTGCTGCTCGTTGTCGCCAAAGTTGCAATGTAGCTTCATAGGATCCCATCCCCACCCCTACAAACACCACTGATTTTGCGCGGGGGGGGGGGGGGGAAGGGGGTTAGGGACGTGGATTGGAATCGTATTCCTGGCCCACTCCTCAGGAGCTCGTGCAGCTGCACGTCCTTGACGATCCAATCTTCGCGCTCCTGCGAGGCAAAATGCAGCCGCGCAGGCCGAGGACCATCTCATTGATTTTTCGTGGTTTCAACTTGAAATTTTGTCCCTCCAACCTCCCTTCGGCTGACATGGAAGTCCCCCATGAGAGAACTTCCATGCTACTCTGGGGGTAATGGACTCCCCAACCCCAACCCTCATAGTGAACGGGGGGGCCAACAGGTACAACAGGACACCCCCTTTTGTTGCTGGTTTCTTTGAAAGGGAAACAAAAATGCAGAAAAGGAACCCACCACACAGCGGGTCAAAACACCAAATGTACACAAAACGACAACACGCGGTCACTCGAAGGGGCACCTCGGCAGTTCTGGCCGCTCTGGCCCTGGCCGCCCGCAGGCGCTGCGCCTCCTTGCGAATGGAAATATGGGACAAGCGGACAAATGTGAGCGTACAACATACATATGTAGAGGTATATTTAACAGATGGGTGTAAGCACACCACGTAGCGCGTTTAGACAATCAAGAACAGGCGCTAGGTCCGTGTGTACGCGTGCTATTCTGTGGCAGGGCGAGGGGGGGGGATTTGCGGAGTCAAGCAAAATGTGGCTCATTGTGGTTCATTGTCTACTGTGGGACAAGAACAGGAGCAAGGATTGGCAAGGACATATCGAAACCAACATGATTGAACTACCTAAGCCTGTTGTGATTCGCACAACTTTGCTCGACACATGATGCTTGCCGTCAAAGGGCCAAATTGCAGTCCAATGCTGGCCAAGTGATGCAGTGTATAATCATTCCCGGCAAGGGCTAGCTTCACTCGCTTCAATTTTGAGAGCCTCCCCAACCCACAATAAAAGCGTGCGGAAGCCGACAGCGCCACTCCTTAGCCATCCACGCGCGCTCCCTCCTTTCCATATCCTCTGGCAGCTTGGGGCGTGTGCTTTTCGCCTTTGGGCGGCTCGGGTTGTCTCCTACTGCCGTAGCCTGCTTGGCTGGAGGGCTGGGGCGGGGGCTGCGGGGGCTCTCTGCTGCTGTGGCCAATGAGCGTGGCCGCGGCCTCCTCTTCGGCGCGTGCAGCGCCACGTCACGCTCGATCCACTGGCGTTCCCGCATTGCCCGCTGCTCTGCTGAAAGCGGCGGCTGCCGCTGCTGCGCTTGTCGCGGCCGGGCAAACCTCGCCACATCTTGCTGGAGCCAAGCTCGGTCCTTCGCGCTCAGCTTGTGAGCGGTCGGCAGCTGTGCCGGCGGGGTGCGTGCCTCACTCTGAGCCTCCACTTTGGAAAGTCCTTGCACCTTGGGCCTTTGCTCCTGCTCCTTGGGAGCAGCCCGGCCCTCAGACCCCTCTGATCGCTCCACCGGCCGGCTTTGGGCCGGTGGCGCGGCCTCCGCCGCCAGCTCGAAGAACTTGACCCACTTGAGGCGCTCTGCCGCCACTGCCCCCTCCGCCGAAATGACCTCGAAGTCGCGGCGGGCCAGGGCCACCTTCAGGGCTCCAAGTTTTCCGCGTTTCTCGCCTCACCAAGTTGCCCAAACCTGGCTGCCATCGTTGATTCCCCGTTTAGATGCGCCAGGTCCACGAGAACTGGTAGTCACTGGAAGTCAATGGTAGTCACTAGTGGCATCAGGGCGCCGCCTTTTCGGGGTGTTGAAGCTCAAGCAACGACCCCTTTCCTGCACACGTCTATCTCATGTTGACCCTGAATTCATCACCCCCCCCGTTGATTGATCGGGGGTTCCACTAAAAACAAGGAGCACCTTTTCCCCGACTGCTGTTGGCACTACGCAGCGGGTATTCCTCCGCAAAAGGATCAATGAATGGATATGAATGGGGAATGGTCCTTTTTTGCGGTACCACCCCGATTGCAATACATTGGACTCTCGCAGATGAACATGGAACCTGCAAACCCATGTTGCTTTTAGAGGAATCTCCTTGTAGATCCCCTTTGATCGTGTTCCATTTCAATCTGTAGGGTACTTTGGGGTAAGCATCGCGGGACCGACTCTGACCTTGGCCGCCAGTACGGTGACGGTGTAGGTCCCCGGCGCCAGGCGGCTGCCCAGGTACCGCTCCCAGATGGGCCCTGCAGATGCCAGCTGCCCCCCGCCGCGGTAGTGCACCTCGCCGGCCGCGCTCTGCCACAAGATCTGGAGGCGGCCTTCAGGGAGAGAGGCTCACTGGGCATGGGTCAAAATCAAACCACTAGAAAACCACAGGTGTTAATCCTTGGTCTCATATATCAGGGTTCCATTTTGCATACCCATGTTTGACCCACAGCCATATTGAAGATGCAGCACAGGGAGCATGGCGCGGGCATTTCTAGCGCCCGGCCACAACAAGATCTCAGCGGCAGAACCGGCGCCCGCTTTGGAAAGCAAGCGAACGGTGAAAACGCCTTTCTGTTGAACGGGGTCACCCTGATGGGCGGGTTTTGGGATTTGCCTGCCCGGGGTCCCGTTGCCCGTAGCACTGCCAGATCTTGGAAGTGGTGAAACCCTGCAAACAAAGCGGGCCTCGTGGAAGCGATGGCAGAAACACGCTCAAAGCACTAAAGCACCTTGACAAATCGATCCTACGAAGTGATGAAGCCCAGGCAAAAGCAACCACTTTCAGACAAGTGCGACAACCCCCAGTGCCCCCAAAGAACTACTTTAAAAAAAGGTCGCTTTGAAACGAGCTCTCAGTAGCTTGGGTGTTGTCGTAAAGTTGTCCGCAGAAGTGGTGCAGCCCTGTAAGCAAAGCAGAGCTGCTTCGGAACCATTTGCAAAGGCAGGCCAGCCACCCCTTCACTTCTTGCGAAGCCATGAAGAGAACCAATTACACCAGCATAGACCCCAGCTACCCGGCCGTCAATCTCGCAAAATGCGCCCGCACAGTCACCAGCACCTCAAACAGCACCCCAAAGAGCAGCACCCCAAACTGCATGTCCCCTAGCCCCATTTCTCGAGGGTCTGGACCCCCATCCCCGAGGCTTCTCCAGGGGACCATGCCTTCTCAATGCTTGGAACCGTTTTAAAGGGCGCTATATCCAGACATGAATGTGCTTGATGATTGCTTTCCCAGCTATCCCCCCCTCACACGAAGCGCACTGAGTACTCTTTCTCTTTCGGCGCCGTTTCACAAGCAATCTGGGCCCCTGGGACTGGAAATGGAACCTTGTTGTTTTCCCTGTGGTCAAAAACCAGCTAGGATCCCCCGAATTCAATCAGGGGATCCGATCAGGCCGACGTGACCTGGGGGGGGGGACCTCCCGAAAAAATAATAAAGAGAGGGCACGATGCCCCGGGGAAAAGCCGATGTGCATTTTTACTGTAAGGTACCTTATTTTTGGCCATAGGCTTTTCCCAAGTGGACAGTGCCTTCTCAGCTTTTATTGTTTTTAGAAAAATAAAAATAAAAATGAGCGAGCACGCAGAGGTTGGGGGAGCACGCAAACCCGGAGAAGGCCCGCAAAACCGGAGAAGGCCCGCAAAATCCGGAGAAGGCCCGGAAAAATCTGAGTCTGTTTTGTTTGGCGATGTGTGACGTGCAAATCCGCATTCATGGCTGCTGGTGATGCCTGTGCTGCTGCTGATGCTGGTGATGCCTTTGATGCTGGTGATGCCTCTGAACTGGTGATGCCTAAAAGTATCTAGCCAGAGCCAAGGCTGACAAACAAACATGCCAGCCCTTGAGAAGGCACGCTTATCTGGGGGAACCCGCAAAATCCAGAGGACGCGTGTCCAGACTTCCGAATTTATCAAATTCGCCCGTGACGTCACCAGGCCCCCCCAAACAACCCTGCGCCAGCACCGGCATGCCCGAGCACCCTGCCGTCAATTTTGCAAAATGCCCCCGCACCATCACCAGCACCTCAAACAGCACGCCAAACAGCACCTGCAAGGACACCCCAAACTGCACGACCCCTAGCACACAGCCATCAATCTCGCAAATCACTTTCCCCTCTTTATTTTAAGAGGGAGCCCCTATAGCTTTCAGCTATCTGGGGAACAAATAAAAAATCGAATGCAGTCCTCATGCCTTCTGCAAAGAATGAAGAACTTCAAAACACAGAGGATTCTCGATGAAATATGTTCAAATAGCTGGTAAACTTGATTGCTGACAATGGCCAAGGACGACACACATTGTGTGAGGAACCTGTCTAAAGCCAAATGGTCCAACCTTGACAGGACTCTCGGTGGCGGTCTTCAATGGGGCAACCAACGCACCAACCAAAACTACACCAACTTAGATGACAAAGGTCTCATATGGCTATGAGGTTCGAAATGCTCTAGGAACACGACATGGTTTTGGGTCGTGTATAGTTCACACCGACCCAAAATGGTAGAGCGCCTGATGACGTGAATACAAGAAACAAGTCCCTGCCGCAGGAAAGTCCATTCGTTGGTCGAGAAGTTTATGATAGGCAAACGTCATGATGAATAACGGATATGAAAGAAGAAAGGCCAAGCCAAGTTCTAGCTTCAACCGCTGGAAGTCAAGGGGGTGTCAGGTCTTAAGACAGTTGTTGGCCAAACCCCGCCTGTCCAGCCAACTTTTTGGCACGGGCCCGAATCTGCAGGCAGCAAAGGGAGGAGGACCATCCAAAGGTCATCAGTGGCGTCAGCTGGCACCAGTGATGCAAAACCTCGAAATTCTAGGGAATCGCCATCCCAACCTGAGCCGATGCGGAACACGTGAGGGAACAGGGTGGGCAACTTTGCGCCGCAGCTCTTCTCATAGTCCATGCTCTCTCCTTGCGTGCCGGCATCTGGAAGAAATAAAGGCTCAACCATTTGGGACATTTGGGACGCAAAATCGATCAAACCAGCCAAAAGGTCAGCTCCTGCCGATTTGCTGTTGCAACGGAGTCGCGTATCAGTCGCTCAGGAAAGGGATCTGCAACAAACAGTCGCTCCGCGAGGAAGACTTCCGCATCGATGCTGCAATCAGAGAGCCGCAGACCTGTGAAACATATCTTGCTTTTCCAACGTGGTCCATCTGCAATTGTGATAACTTGGTCACTTCGAAGGGGACGCCCTCAACACAATTTTCCAGAACCATGCACCTAGGGGTGTCAAAAAACTCCAAGTCGCACCCCAAAGCCCAGAGCCACCCTCGATTGTTGGTGTCCCCGTTACGTGCCATCGCCCCCATCGAGTTTAGGGCTGCCGGCTTTCAGTGCTCCTGCAGCTGGCAGCTAGCGAGCTCCAATAGACCAAAGCAAACAAACTACTTCACATACACAGGAACAAAGCATTTCCATGAATCCCCGCTGCTAAAACGGATCAAAGGGTATCGGTACTGGTACACCACCTTTTTTCCCACGCCTTGTTGGCTGACAGGACCTCTAGCCAGGTACACACCTCCAACTGGACATTACATGACTCTGGGTGACTCAGGACCATCCAGTCCTCAGAACGAACTTTCACTGGGTTCCCAATATGTCCCGCAACATCACCCCACCAACAAACCAAATCGGTGATGTTTGAAACCAAAACGGGCTGAGGTCGCCATCCGCACCTTCCACTGCCCCTGGGACTTCGCAGGTGCCGTTCTCCGGGCTGAAGGTCACCTGGCACGCCGCAAGTCCCAAATAGGAGCATTGCATGTCGAAAACTTTGGCCCCCACCCCCAGGAAAGGTGTTCGCCTAGAAGCTGCTTAGAGGCTCTTAGACAGGTTCCGAAAACGTGTTTCTGCAGGTAGGTCCCTTTTGCTGTGCCTTGGCGGGCTGCAGGGCTGCAATGCACGTTAGCTAATAACTGGTGTCACCTACGAGGGTCTAATTTACCAAACCCAAACAAATCCTTGGCAACCCGGAAACATAGGAAGAAAAAGCAAAAAAAACACTAGAAACCTAGAGAAACACAAGACATCCGGCGAAACCAAACCTCTGACAAATCAAAACCTCCGCCTCTGCCATCATCTCTGCGCCGCGCAGCGAAACCGCCGCTCCGGACGCCGGCCGGGCGGCGAGGCGCCGCAGCTCCGTAAGCCGCTGAGAGCCTCGGATTTGGTTTTGTGGAGCCCCCAGTCAGTTTTCCATGCGAGAGGGTGGGGAAAACTTAAGAACACTGGTGGCAATTGCATCCAGTCTGCACATAACAAAGCATGGATTTCTGCGAAGCTACAATACGCAGCGAAAATCGCGCTGTTTGCACTAGTGATGGCCAGTGACCTCATGACGTCAAATGAACCATCCTGTGGAAATGTCGCAAACAACCGGCGGAAACACCAACGAGAAGCTTTGGACCATGAGCGCGTGCAGCAGCCAGTAGGTCTGGTTCCCGTACCTTGACCTTGGCTGGAATGCGTGCAACAACTCAGATTCTGGCAGCTCTCAGATGCCTCCTTGTCAGTCATGGCCATGGTTTCTCCAAACCCTTCGCAATGAAGCCCTTTGACATCCGGTGTGCCAGATCTTCTGCCAGGTCTTCCGGAGACTCGTGCTTCTTGATACCCATGTGAGATTCTGACCCGCAGAACGTGGCAACAAGCCAAACTTCCCCAGACCTCACAACCCAGGGGCATCCACGCAGGCTCCATCGCCCGGAACTTCACCCCCAAATCGTAGGCCTGCACCGGCGAAAGCGCCTCCTTCGCTGCGCCTCAGGGGCAAAGCCCGGCAAGCGGCAAAGGGGCGGAAGCTCGGCCCCGGAGGGGAAACTTAGGAAACCTTAGGCCATTTTCCGGCCTGCGATTTGATGATTCTTACTTTGGGGCCGGATAAGCTAGTTTTCAAGGGAATGCGATTGCCCCCTCGGAGTGCCGAGCCAGCGCTGAGCTCAAACACAAGCTGTTGTTGACCAATAAGGAGCCTTCCCCCAAGTCAACGATGGGCGACGATGGGTTTATCCGCTAAGCCACCCAACCCGAAAACTCTCTACTGTGCCGCCGGAGGCTCGCTTTGGCTGTTTCGTCTGGAGCAGGGGCTGGAGGCCCTCGCCGGGCCGATTCATGCACGCAGCCAATTTGGAGAGAAGTTCAGCACTACAAACATGGGACCTTGCTGCTCCCTACAAAGACTTCGGAGTCGGAGGGTTCAACAAACATATCATAACTCTGCACAGCGGGAAATGCCGGCAACAGACTCATGGCCAATGGGCTCGCTTGTTTGACCCCCGGATGATACAAGTTTGCCCACCCGCACCTGGTGCTGAGCTTTGCAGCGGCCCAGGGACAGGCCCTGAGCCCAGAAGTCGTGCCACTGGTCGACGGTCAAGTCGCTGATGGTCGGGCCTTCGATGACCTACAAACATCCGGCAGAGTGTCCCTTTGGACAAACATGGCGGCAATTGCCAATCAAAACAAGCAACAAAAACCCGTGAAATCAGTCGCGATTTGTCGCGAACTGAGGCCTCCCTGCAAGACTGTTTCTGCAATGATGGGAGTCCAGGTGCTAAAACAGCGAATCCTTTCTGAATCGGAACATCACCTCAGTAAAGACCGGTTTAAACTGAGTCCGGATCGTTGTTTTCGTTTTGCTGCTCCTTGGGCAAGGATATACTGTAGCTACAGGTTTGGACTTACTATCAAGGAGAAACCTGATCCCACGAGGATTGAAGTCCTCGAAAAAAAAGCAGGCACGTCAATGATAGGTCAACACCCATCCACTGAGATGCATCAGGCCGATGCCTGCGCTTTGGCATCACAAGGGTCCTTGCTGACAAAAGCTTCAGGGGCCAATTGGCTGTTGTCGCTTGACCCTTGACCAAGCCAAAAAAAAAAACGGCAAGAAACTTGTAGCTAGCCATCCAAATTTCAAAAGCATGCAACGCCGACGGCAAAACACTGTTGTGGAACCCTCGCGCCCATGAGGATTCATCTCAAAATATCTGCGTCTGCTTTGAAGTCTCCCTCGATCGCCTGAAACGTTCAAAGCTTGCATGCGGAGTGAGTCGTTAACCATTCAAAGGGAAAATAGCACTACCCTGAAACAAAATCAACATTGGTCCAACCGTTTTTTTGTTTGAACTTGCAAATGCAAGGGCAATCATATGGATGTTTCTCATAAGGGCCCTCCTGATGACTGGTTTTCTGTCGGCTTACCCCACAAAACCACCCAGCAAGCGGGAGCACTTTTAAGAAACATTCTTATAGAGACCCCTGCTGGCCATTGCAGGTGTTTGGCCGTGCCTCCTCCAACAGCTGACGGCTCAGAACGAAGGATTCCCCTCCGATGCTGCTGTTGAAGGCCGCCAGCCACCTGCGACACCCCAGGCCTTCGGAAAACGTGGGCCTCCACTCCATGCTTTCGTGACAGGCAAGACGCTTTTGGCTTGCTTCTGGAGCTTTTGCGGGGCCCCAAAAGCCGCGCAAGCAGCCACCCACCGGCACTGGGTCAAAGAATTGAAAGTGTCACCCGCCTCACCCCGAAAAGGCACCTGAGGGAATTGGCACCATTTGCTATAGCTTTCCTTCTCCGGCAAATGTCAACTACCTCCCTATATGCTGCTGTTTCATATTACGCCTTGGGTTGGATCACCCCAGTTTGTGGTAACCCATTTTTGGCGATCATTCAATGAGTTCTGGTCTGCAAAATGCATGCCTCTTGGTTTCTTTGCGGGCCATATTGACGCGTTATGCTTGGGCCTTTCATTTTGTAGAGCTTGGGCTTGGTTGAAGCTGTTCGGCTCCCCCGAAGGCGCCAACAAGCGCAATTGCACCCAGAAGGGCGTGCAATTGCAATCCCTTAAGCAGGTGGCATCGGCACGTGTGTTGAGCCAGTCCCTCCACCAACACTGGTAGCATTGAGGGCCAACTCGCCCAGTACAAAATGTCATTTGGATTTCAGGGGTGCCCCCATGACATAGATCCAGCTTAAGTGACGCAGCTTGACCGCTTGACCTTCACCCATGTTGCAGGGAAACGTAGAGGGAGAGCAACACAAACAGCTATCAAGCCACGCCCATTTGCCACATGTGATCAATGCTCAAGCCCCATCGACTTTTGGTTCTACCAGAATAGTATTAGCGCTTTTCTACCGCGTAAACCAATGGATCATACTTGGCTAGGCTTGTGATGTGTTTGGTCTAGCTGTGGATGCCCAACCCCCCCCCCCCCCCAAAGCCCACATAGCCCCCATGACAGCGGCCGCCGCCCAAGCGCCTTGCCAGTAGCAGCGGCGGCAGCTGCGGGGCTTTGGGGCGATCGCCCAACTCCAGCAGAAAGTCCCAGGGGTGGTCCAGCAATAGGCGCGCCGCCTCCCAGCGCAGGTCCTGGGCTCAAAGGAACGTCATGTTCTCTCCTTCAGGTTCCTTGCTTCCTGAAGTCTTGAGTGAGCAACCCTGTCCTCCCAAGATCAAAAGTTGTGCTTCTCTTCCGGCTGGGCCCGCCCAACATACGGGATGCCTACGGATCCTAAACAGTGCAAAACGACGGCACTCCAACTGCAACACCCCACACCACCACCAACAAGAATCGGAACTCAGAACTTCCATAAGCAACATCACTGGCTCCCACAAAAAGCTTGGCCAAGCTGGGGTAATTTCTTCCCCAATGTGTGAACTGTAGTTCATTTTGGACTTCTGGTCGACACAGACCCTATTCTCCTTGTGCTGGCCCTGGAAGAAAGCGGACTCCGCCATCACGAACACGTTGCTGTATCCCCTCTGCCGGATCCAGTCATCCAGCTGCGCTCGGTGACCACGGCCCGCGCAGACCACGTACCTGACGGGCACGCCAGGGTTGTCAGGTTCTCACTGAAGCAACGGGCAACTAATCGGAACAAGGCCATATACCCTTTCCCCCCACCCAAAAAAAAACTGGCGGAGGGCCCTCACCATGGTTTGGTTACAGAATCCACCAGACTCCGGACTCCGCGCAAAAAAAGCACATGAGTACCCGCAACCCAAAAATTACTCAAATGTCACAGCCTTTGAAGGCATAGCACATTTCGCAAAAACCTCAATCATACGTTTCTGGTCTTAAGCAGGGAATCAGGGAATACACCAAAAATGGTTAGGGCCGAACCCGAAAAGGAGGGCACCCTCAACAAACAAACGAACGTACGGCCAAAGCATATGGACCTCGAGGGCACACGTTCTCGGGGTCATGAAAGGCCTCCACGGCAGATCGGCTGCTCTCCTGCGTCCGCCGACCCAGTGTTCTCAAAGTGGCTGAGTCTGAGGTTGACACGACCAAGCCCTAACTTCTCCAACCTCTAACTTCTTGCGCCCCTTCAACCTCTGACTTATCGAACCTCTGCCTTCCCTAACCTAATCCTTTCTTGCTATTAATAAACCTTACTGTAATTAAAGCCCCTCCAGCCGACCCCAAAAATTGCAAATACTTATTTCGATACTAAACCAATAATTACCAAACTCTTCCGAACCCAGATCCACTCACGAAACTCTGCGGTTGTGCTTTTTAGGGGTCACCAAAGGGTAGGGTTTTATTATGTGGGTCTCTAATGAGGAGGTTTCGTTTTGGAACAACAAGGTTCTTACCGAGAGATTGCAGTTTGAACACGTTTTCTGCAAATCAAAGGGGACCCTCTTTCCTACGTGTTGCCAGCACGAAGAACCGCAGTCTGAAACAGTTCTGGCCCAAAACCTGGGGACCCTAATAATAAAACCTCCCGGGGGGGGGGGTTATTATGAGGGGGGGGGTTTATTATTAGGGGAAGGATCAAATTGCTTCCTCCCGTCCGCCCCGCACCCCATGTGCAAAAACCTTGCCAAAAGTGCGACGGTGTCCAGTCCGCAAGCAACTCTTACACCGTGTCCCAAAGTCCAATACGCCCCTTCAAAAGTGATTTTGAGAACAGCCCCGCACGGTCCTCTCCATCCACGCAAGCCCCCAGCAGCACGGCCACCCGTACCTGCGGATCGGGCAAGAGCCGCGTCGTAGCCACCGGCTCGCACCTGGAGAGTGTTCGTGCTTCCGCCCCCCCTCTGTGCCCCCAATCGGCTTGTTTGCAAACCAAGTAATTGAGTGGGAATATGCTTGATATACTTGGTAAGATAGAGAGGCCTCCCAGACTGGCAATGACTTGGCTTGCTTCATCCCTCATCTTGCCCGTTCTGGCCCCTGGGGACAGGGGACCAAAACAAGGAACCACAAGGTCATGCAGGCCGAAGCGAGTTGGATCACTAGAGCAAGTTAGGGGGTTGAGTAGTCCCAAATCTCCCAGCCACGCGGGTGTGCGAGCCTTGTGCCGGCAGCGCTGAGACACCAGGTGGCCAGCAGCACAGTGCGGAGACCATGGCGAAAACTCATTTCATGCCCTCAACTCATCCAGTACCTCACTCAGTTTGATTCAAAGCTCGCTTTCACAAAGCAAATGCCTACCGTGAATTTTCTGAGTGTATGCGAAACCAAACAGCTGAAGCAACCAGCCATTCCGTCTCATAAGGAGCCAGAACACTATGTAAAGGGCTTCTTATGCTTGGGGGATGACGTCCTCACACCAACAAGACGTGCTCTGCAGTGCAGCGTCCCATTTGCATGGACCTTGTTCGGATTGGGCCGGCCCTGTTCCGACATGCTTTGGCAACTGTTGCTCTGTTGTCCTATATCGGGCAAGCGACCTTCGTCTTGGGTGAAATCGTGTTACCGAGCTCACCCAAAAACAGCTTAAATGAACTACTTGGGTTCCCCTTTGGAGAGGTCCGAGATTAACTTATGACAGGTTGAACCCGGACCTGGACTGGGCAGCGGAAAGCTGCCCTCCAACAAAGGGGGGCGGCCATTGCCTTTTCCAACTCATTGCGTTGTGTAAAATGTTGAACTCCTTGAAAAGGATGTGTCTAAATCAAAGAACACACTGCATATACTGCCATTTGAAGGTAAATTTGGCACAAAAGCATTTGTCGCATCTTTGCGTTGCCGAAGGCCGTTTCCTAACCCCACCTTGGGCTCATGGCCCCAATGCCTTTACTGAGGCAAAGGCTCCACCACCGTCACAGTGGACTCGATGCTGGGCACCAAGTAGGCCAACTTGTGGTACTCCGTCCTAGGATTTGAGTCGGAAGTTGGGGCTGTCGGGGTGCGAATTGACTCTTTGCACCTAGAACAAGCCACTGGTGCTCTGTGAAAGCTGAAAACACCACATTTCCCTAAATGGTGGCACATATTTCCCAAGAAATTCTCAGTGTCCCTTGCCGGCAGGTCTTGCAACCGCCTTGGACATGGAAGGGTTCAAATGCAAACCACAACTCCTCTTCGGTCTGACTAGGACTGGGTAAATCGCTGTTTGGCTAAGAAACCAAGAGTCAAGCAAAACCTCTTCGCGGGAAAACGATGGCACTGGCGGGGGATGATATTCATGAAGCACATGAAATCTCCTGTCGCAATCACTTTGCCACTGGCTCAGCTAGCTTTCTCAGCTTAGCCCACCCAACGAGCTGAACCATGCCATGTCTTGGGGTGCCGGGCTCTATCGCAGCATGCACATCCAAAACATGGACCTCACAGGACAAGCAAATGAAGCAGCTACCCATTGATCATTGCAAGCAACATGCGCTAGCATGCAGTGCCTGAGGGCCGAGCATTGGCAAGGTCCGTTCCATTCAACCATTGTAAGCTATCCTCAGTGTGCGGACTCTTGCACGCTAAACGCTGCAACCAGTGGCACATTTGACTCTAGATGAGAGAAGCCCTCGACCGGCAGGCGAAACCAACTTCGGGTTCTAGTTTGAAACGAAGCCAGCAGCAGGCTGCGTTCGTCGCCTTGACTGCAGCGGAAGCTGCGGAAGTTGCATGAAGAGCTGAGCATCCGCACGTCATCCCAGAACAAAGGCATGTAGGACCTCGGGATGCAAGACTCAACTCTCAACTTCATATTCAGGTATGGGTTTTGGAGACGCGGGTTTGTGGCGGAAAGGATGCCAACAAATATGGAAAGAAGCATGCACCAGCTTCTCTGAGAGGTATACCTGACAAATTCCGTGGAGAAGCCACCGTGAAAGGCCCGGCTCGGATCTGGGCACATGTGACTAAGCCAGCTCGGGCCTCACAAATGATGGGTGGCTTGTTGGTCTGGTCTTGAATGCCCCAAAACCCGAGAGGGGCCGACCATTCACGTAAGCAAGACCCCGATAAAATGACCAAGGCTCTACCAGAGTTGAAATGGGACCCCTTGAAGGAACCACAAGGTTCCAATCCCCAAACGTGATCTAGATCCAGCCACGAAAACAAGATGTCTTCTGGATTCTGTTTTCCCCCGATCAAACAGATGCAAACAAAATCCTTGTGGCTTCCTTCAAAGTCTGACATGAATGGACCCGCAAATGAACCAACGCCATTTTGGGACTTTTTTTGTTGGCTGGTCCATATAAGCCTTCGGAACCAAGCCAAAAGAAGTTCCGCAAGCAACGCCAACATCCGCTTGGGCTTTGAGATGGCCCACCCGGTCACTCGCTCAGCTTCCAGCAATGAGGCATCCACATATTCCCGCCGCAGGAGGGTATCAAATCTCCAGCCTCAGGTCAAGCAACCTGGGCCTCGTGGAGACCGCTGGGAATGAGATTCAATCGGGAACTCCCTGGTGCACAGGACGTACCGTTTGCCACCATCTTTGAGGGTGTTGGCTTGACATTGGGAAAAGGCCAGCCTTGGCGGGCTTCAAACAGAAGGAGGAATGAGTGGGTTTGAAGGTAGCCGTGGCAAAATCCACCAATTCCTGGGGTGCGCGTCCCGTTCTTTTCAACGAATCCTTTGAACCAACTTGAGGGACATGGGTCGAGGCACCGCACCGAGCATCGGGCTGGAAGCAGCCACGTGGTCCTTCTTGGCATGGGCCAAGGTGTACAGAGTGATCCTTGCACCGGGACGGTCCAACTCCAGGGGTTCTATGATTGAGCCACCCTAGGGACCCTCAGCTCATGGCAACCAGAATTGGAAAATCGGGAGCCAACCTGCTCCTCCACTGTTGTTTTCACAAGCTGCTTCAGTCTTGCTTTCCACCTATGCCACGAAAGGTGTCATCTCACTCAAAGATTGTCCCCCCTCCGAATAGAAACCTTACGCTTATGGGCCCCTTTGAAGAAGCCTTGCCGACTCAACAGGCAAGCCTGACTCCTCCTTATCCTTCTCTACGTCCAACAAACAAATGGAAAACAAAGCGACCCAGCTGTCCCGCTTAAAGTTGCTGAAATTGCTCAACCTGGGACACCCATACAGCAGGGGAAGCCAACAACCAACATCCACGGAAAACCAACATTTTGCATAATCATTCATGTGGGTGTGACTTTGAAGCATTCCGGAAACCACTGCCCTGCCATCTGTTTGGATTGGAACTTGGCTGGCCTAAGGCCGGCGCCAGGTCCAGGGGGCGATGTCCACCTGCTCCGAGCTCTTCTTCTGGGCCTCCACGACCTGGCCGGTGCTGGAGCAGGAGCCCCGTTTTGGGAGCAGGGGTGTCCTTTTGGGGCAAATGGATGGGTTCCCTGGTAGATGATTAAACCACCAGGTAAACCAGGGCCATCTATGTTTCGACCAAAACAACCAAAAAGGACACCTGTGGTTTTGGTGTGGTTTTAAGGGGGACCCTGAAAAGGAGAGGTTCCGTCTTCACCAGCAGCAGGAAACTGGCCAATTTCAAATGTTGCCAAATTTACGGGGATGCGCCAAATTTGAGACGCACGTGGGCGCAGCGTGGAACCTGGCATCCCTCAACCAAAGAGACTCAGCGCGTTGCAAACTAAACGGGCAAGCGAGTCTTCGACAACGGGGATTGCATGCTATGACAATGGTCCAGCGTCCAGTGTCCAACCTCACGAGTTGATCCACGCCTAAGCGCACGGCCACGAAAGGGAGTTACTAACATGATGCAGGACCATAGCCAGTGGGCCAAGACCACGGGCATCCTCAAAGGGGGCAAAGGGTCTTTGAATGCCAATATTGGGGGTTTATGCTAAAGGCTACATCAAGTGGGTTCAGCATTCCAAGTCCCGCTTTCTGAGTCCCAGTTTGGCCCCTTTCACTTTTATGAACTATCCATTCCAGGTCTTTCCTGGAGCCAGCCCTCTCCCTCTCTTGTTCTGGTTCTCGGCCTGGCGGATGGTCTGATCCTGCAGGTCTTGCCTCATGCCGGCTGAGGTGCACCAGGTTGCCTCCCCAGGAAGACCCCCCTGCCTTTCCCGGGAGTGGGGGGTGGGGGGTGGGCTCCCCCTCAAAGCGGTGTCCAGGAGAACACCTCTAGCTTCACACTTGACACCCCTTCAGAACACTGAGCTAACTTGTCGACCTGTGTCTTTAAGTCTTTGCCTTGTGTTTTTTGGTGCTTACCCCAGAAGCACACAATTTCTACTGCTTACTTTACTTTTTTTTGTTTCTCTCTCTCTCTCTGTCACTCCCATTTTGATCGATAGTATGGGTTTTCAAGGTACGGCGGCTTATATGCTACCAATCACTATACGAAAGGCATGACAAACCCCCACAAGTCTATGAGCTCCATGCCCTCGGCGTTGCTCGGCCCGGCGCTGGCAGAAATCCGCCGACAGCACGTGGGACAAGGGCAGCTGCACGAGGATCTCGTCCTGGCGAGATCGTTCGCTTTCTCCGTTTCGGTCCCGGTTGCAATGGGCGTCGTGGGCCATTTTGCACCCAGTTTGGCTTCAAAAGAAATGCGGGAGAAGCCCAGAAACATGAGGTTGCTGACCTCTTCCGTTAGCAATGGGAACCAACTGTCAGTCACGCGGTCATCGAAAACTTAGACCCTGCAAATTATCAGAAGGAACCCCCAACAAGAGGGTACCATAGGTTCCCCTAGTCCATGTCAGGGGGACCCCGGCGAGAACATGCTGTTGGCGGCCCCCTCACAGTTGCATTCAGTGTCAGGAATCAGCAAAATTCAGGCAACTTTGGGGGTGACTTCAAGAGCGATTTTCGCCAGCAATGAATGGGGAACGTATGCTTGCCATGAAATATGCCAAATATGCACTTGTTGGTTGCTTAACTTTAGCCACTGGGAATTAAGCTGCAAAGTGAATCCTTGCTCTTCGCCAAAATGACCTACCCCAACCCACGCAGTTTCATCAAGCTGTCACGTTGGCGCACAATGCTTTCCAAAATCTGCGTTCAGAGAGTGCCCCACAAAAAGGTTGTATGGAGAGCTTGTTTTTCCGCCAGGTGAGCTCGCCACAAGCCGTGCAGGAATCAAAGGGCCTGAGAGAAACAGCTATATATCATCTGAGCCAATGCCAGGGCGTTTCTTGGCACGTGTTCCAGAGCAGCTCCGTTTTGGCCAATGCGGGGAGGCTCCCAGCCAACAGGAAGCCAGGACTCTTTGAGCTGCTGGACCTGGGTCTCTGCTTTGCAAAACCCGGGGCCTGTGCCACCGTCTCCATCACCTCCAGCCGACGGTCGTAGCGGCCTTAAAGCCGCCGCATAACATCCAGGGACTCCTCCAGGTGGGCTTCTTTTGGGGACAGCCCGATGGGACTAACCCAAACGATGACCAAAACCAACCAACCACGGTGGGAGGGCCCTTCTTTCTTGACTCACAGCCATGCACCTTGCAAAGGATTTCAAGATGCTTCTATGAGGTGCCATGGTGTGAAGCAAATGCCATGGTCTTACTCAATTTATCCTGAGAAAGGTGGCACACATCCCACAAGCTCCAGTTGCACACACCTTGAACCTTCCTGGGCCCAGACCTTTCTCACTGAGATAGTCGTTGACCACCTGAAGGCATGAAATCGCGGAAGACTTCGCGCAGGTTTCTGGCTCCTTCAAACCCTTGCATGTACAAATCCTCTCAATGGTGACACGTCTTTGACCCCAAACGACCTTGAAGCAAGTGCAGCGGCTGGGATTGAGGCACGGACCAACTTATTGCTGACCCAGCCGCCGGGTCCTCCCTCAATCCTGGCTCGGGGCATTTTTGGGCTGGTGGCATGGGTTAGTCTTGCTGCACCATTTGGGCAGTTGAAAGGCCAAAGGTTGCTTGCGTGCACAGGTTGCACTCTGTAATGAAGGATTCTGCGAAGGTCTAAAAACCATTCAAAACCAGGGCCCCTTCCAAACGGTCGGCTTCCTGTTGCTTGCCTTTTGAGGCGGCCCAAAAAGAAAGGGAAGGGGCCAGCTGTTGACACGTTCCCATGTTTCACGCCCTTGAGCACCATCAGCATCCATGCCAGCAGCACCACTTCTTCAGGCTCGAAAATTGCTCCGCCTTGGAACGTGGGTAAAACCAGCGGCAAACCCCCGCCCCGTCTGGGGCATTGATCGGGTGAGATGTGTGCATTCTTGCGAAAGGGGATATTTGGGAAAGAGACCACTCTGTTGATCCGTGCTATCACATCCGGATTTTCCTTTTTCCCGATTTCCAACCTTCGCCCATATTTTCAGCTTTGGGGTGAGACGTGGGAAGGCGCCGCGAACGACCCAGGGGTTGGCGAAAGGCCAAAACTTGTATTTGGAGCGAACCCCAGTACGTGATTCTGTGCAAGTCGTGAACCGGGGAGGTGCAAAGATGCCAAATGATTCTGTGAAGAGGAGGGCCTGCGAAGGGCTCTGCGGACTAACGTCTTTTACTCACCTTATAGTGTTACCCTCATGTTGCCCATATTTAGCAAACCCTGCTTTGAAGGGAAAGCACACATTTCAACAAACCAACCCCAGGAGATTGACAAAGTGGTGTTCCGGCGAGGCCTTCCTAAGGAGCCCAACGTGGGAAGCCAGAACCAAAGGTCTCAGCGTCTGGCGGTCGCCGAGTTGGCCGTTGCGTTCCTCAGCTTGAGTTAAAATGGGAACCAAACAAGCCGTGGGGGCCCAAATTTTGTTGACCTTCTATCAGAATGGCCTTTGAGGCTTCCATGGTGCTTTTTTGGCATTCGTAGCCGCTGCCTGACCAGCCCGGGGCAGGCACTTGTAGAGCTCTTTCTGCAGTCCGTGCGCATCATGGTGGAACCACCTGATCTGAGCTTCAGGCATTTGAAATCAGTGACCTTCTCCGGCAATGGGTTGGCCAAAACCTAGAATATTTTGGGAATTGTGTTCCTCATTTGCCCTTCAAACATCAGTACAAAGAAATGCAAGTCGATAAACTTAGTCAAAACGGTGACTTGTCGTCCACCCAGAATGAGGAACAACAGGACCCTTGCGGAAACTCTCGGGGAGTTGTTCGTAACAACTCGAGATTTAAGGATAGGTCCTTGTGACTGAGCACTGGGCCGGACCGGGTTCCACTCATCAAACTGAGGGGAGATGACACCTCAGCCGTGAAGTCGGGAAGATCTATTCTGCCTCCACAGCGCAACCTGCGTTCCCCGTAACATCAACCCATCGAACTAACCTCACTTGCCTTCAACACCAGGCGCACCACGTGTTCCAGCTCCGCCTTCGCTTCAATAAGATCCATGCACTGGGCAGTGCCACTGGACAGCCAGGGGCCAACAGGAGGAAGGCTTGAAATCGGTGCGGTGGCAGGTAGCCACGAAAATCAGTGCTCGCCCTTTGAGCGCACTAACTTCATCTGGCCATGCCACATTGAGCGGCCGCTGTTCCGACTGAACCTGCCACGGGCAAGAGATCAATGGCGCTCACCGCGGGCCAATCAGGGTCGCTCCGACTGGCACAAGGGGACGACTTGGTTAGAACATGTCCAATCCGAAGGAAGCCAGACCAAATGCGCCCACTAAAGCCCTGAGGGCTTGGTCTTTCGAGAAAAAGAATGGGCACGGAGCGACCCTGGTGACCTGGTGACGCTTCGGCTTCATACCAGCAGGGCTTCCCCGTTCCCCGGCTGCTCTCTGTCACTGCAGCCCGAGCGGTTCACCCGCTTGATGTCCCCCATCGCCAGCTGGACACCCCTGGCCAAGGCTCGTCGGTTCATGCTGTCCGCCACCTGAGTCACAATCAAAACGGAGACATCAAGGCTTCTTGACAAACCTGAGCATGGCAAAACACAAGTCCCCTGATCTTCACCAACTGCGGCACACATACACACACGAGGCCTGTTGCAAATCCTGGAAGACACCAATTGAACATCATGAAATGAGGTCCGGTTGAACTTCCTCAATCAAGTTGCCTGATGAAAGTGAAGGCTATAGGGTTAAAAGTTGAAACCCTACTGTGGATGGACAAAATCCTGCGCCACCTAACCAAAAAAAAACATGGAATCATGTTTCCCTGCCCCGTTGCCAACGAACCTTATGGCTTGGTCCCTCCAATTCCTCGGGCTCTTTGCTGAAAGCCGGCCTCCTCTGTGACCACGGGCTCGCGGGTAAAGATTTCCAGGGCCTTCAGGCCGCTCCAGCAGGAGTACCTGGGCCGAAGCCACGTTCGCCCGGAGTCGTTTCTTCTTCTTCTTTTTTTGCTTTGAGGTAGGGGCCTTTAGGGTCAAAGGCGCATGCTACCCAAAGACCTGGGAACATCGGAGAAGAGTTGCTCCTTGGCCAGGCCTAAGTGGGATCCATGGACGTGCAATCTGCCTGAATCGGCGGTGAATGTTGACCCACATCAACTTCGCGGATCAAAGGATTGGTGGCGGAGAGTGGGAGACAAAGGGTTCCCATGTCCACTTTTACTGTCACCCAACCAAGAGGTAACTCACAATGACATTGGGCTGAGAGGCAATGTCCATGTATTTATTCTTCTATTTTTTGGATAAGAACTGAGACACCCAAAGCAAGGCACAGCCCCCTCCTACTCACTCTAAGGCACATAATCAAGCCCTCATAGTCCCCTTTGGCATCCTGCACGACGTCCACCACTGCGGTGGGCAAATTGAGGCCCGGCACATGCGCTGGAGGATGGGCGCGTTTTCGGAATACCCCTGCCGGACCATGTGCCGTGTACTCCTCCGCGATTGTGAAGGGGCCGAAGCCGTAGATCACGCTGAAGTTTGTCATCATCCCACCAGTGGTGAGGTTGGTTCGCCTAACAAAAGACAAAAGCACATCATACGTAAGCCAACCCCTTTGGAATCACCTCAACGCAACTATGCAATGCATTGGCTGCTCGCAGCATGCCGGACATGGAAGACGTTGTTGAAGCATCAGCTTAGGGCCAACGAGTCACGCGTCAATGGTCTGGCACTTGCTGGCGACCTGGGCCAAGTCGTGGTAGCTTTGCTCATACCACTTGCCGTCAAGCTTTGCCTGGGAGCAACACGGCTGCGCCCCGCTTGAAGGCACCTTTTTGGAGAGGGACATCAAAGGGAAACACGCACACGCACACACACACACACACACACAACACATACACACACACACAACCCACACAACACACAGACACTACAAAGGCACACACACACACATGTTGTTTTTCTTGGGCGCGGGGGAAACGCGACAGCCCTATTTCTTTTTAGGGGCGGGTGCAAAAGGGAACAATGACAAGTGCGAAATCAACAATTTGGGAGAGTTGTTGGTTTTGAACGACGCATTCTTATGGGTATTGTGCAACCGGAGCTGAGTCACTTCATGGGGTTGAACTAAGGGCCCAGTCATTTTGCAGCCCTGAAGATGTCCCTTAGCACCGCGAGCAGATTCAACAAGCTTTCTCAACGCAGCCCAAGGTTGATATTCTCGCCCGTTTGGCTGCAATGTTAGTTAACAACGCCCAAAGGGCCTGGAAACAAAAGGCACGCTTAAACCGATTCACAGAAGGAACCTGACTGGAGGTTTTCCCGGTTCTTAGAAAGCTTCCTGGTGGATGACATGTTGGTGTAACCATTTGATCGTTTAGAGCCTTGACAGGACGATGCTAAAACTGGCTTCAAATAATCCTAAGCGGAGTGCAGCTAGAAATCCGGGGTCCAAAAAAGGAGAACCACTTTTGGGGGGATCATTATAAATTACTTCGCATTTTAGGGGTTGGGGTCCCCATTTTGGCAAGGTTACACAGCTCCGGGAACGGATTCAATATCCAGCAACTCATCAAAACGGAGCCATTTTGGGTTGGCTCAGTGAAAGGTTTATTGATCACCAGGCTGTCGCAAATCGGCGGTTCTGACCATTTCCAAAATGGCCAGTTGATGCTCCTATCAGAGAACCTTGGTACAACCAAATGGAACAAATACAGGGCTGAGACGCTAACTTTGGCGAGCGTCCAATTCAAAGGAGTCCTTGACGAGATCGCTCCGCAGGTTCGCAACTTCGTCGAAGGTGCACGCCGAGGATCGCAGGAAAAGCCCGAAAGCCGCAAGCAGAAAGGAGGCCATTTTCTGTGCTCGTTTGTTTCTTTTCCTGAAGGCAAAGCAAGCCCTTGCCTGGAGCCGGAAGGAAGTCAGGTAGGTTCTGAGCGGCGCTTGGCAGCCGAACCACTGGGTTGTGGTTTAGTGTGGCCTCCAAGTGCCTCTGAAGGCCAGCCAAAGCCAACCCCTTGTCACAAGCCTCCAGTAAACCTGGGCAGGGGTTTGGGGTTGTGTGGGTATCATTTTCATTTGCCTGCGCCACGCCTACGTGACGCCTGCGCGAAATGCGGCCCCTCCCACACAAACACCTAAGCAAGACCGAACTGCTGGAATACCTGCGTGACGCCACCGCGGCAGTGCGCATCTCCACCATTTTCGGTACAAGCGTAGTGCATGAAGGCCTTTTGGCAGCTGCAGCTCGACCACAACTGCTCGTACAAGCGCAGTAAGTATGCGAAGTCCACCTTGCCAGCTCCAAGCTGAGCCTGAAGAGCCCATGTTTGGATTTTGGACGTCATGCCTACGAAGTACCTACGCGAAATCTACAAAATCTACCTGACCTTTCCAAATTTGGAAAGCGGAGTGCTTGTTGGACACGCAGGGCTTCTCCCCTCCCTCCCTTGCTACCAACTGAGCCGCGTCCTAAACGTGTCATGATTTGCTATGTCGCATCATTTTGCTTTCGCCACCTTAAGCGTGTGAAGTTTTTGCTTGCGCGACACATGTGGGGGGTTTTGCTTGCGTGCAGCATTTGCGTACGCACAGGTCGATATGACACGACCCCTACTAAACATGTACGCAGAGGCTTTGGACGCCGCTCAACTGTCGCTTCACTTCACTAGTGCCAAAATTAATTGCCACAGCAACGCTTCACATCATTCACCCTCAAAGGGTCGCCTACGCGACTGCCCACGGAAGGCTTCACAACACGAGCCCCTGCGAAATGCCTACACACGCCTACGGTCAGCAGCCTACGCAACATGGAATCAACGTCGCCAAGAAGATAGTGGGCGTCTTCCCTGAAGAAATGTTGACGCTGTTCCAACCAGCCATTTCAGAGCACCTCAGACAATGCATGTTTTGCTGCGTAGCAGCCAAAATAGAACCCGCAGGGTGCGCTTGGCGTGTGCGTCAGCAACCACCCCACTCATGGTGAACAGCACTTCCCCCACAGGCTCCAGCTCAGTGGATGTGCCAAGCTCCAGACCCATCTTTTCGCCCATCCATATCACTGCATTCACGGCCTCGGCGGCGACAGGAGCTCAAGCTAACAGTTGGGTGGTGCATTCCGCATCACATGTCAAGCCTAGCATGTGCTTTACAGTGCCTGATGTTGTGCATTCCCTCTTGTACCCACAACAGGGACATGTCCACTAGCTACAGTGCTGGCATGAGCACCTGGGCGCCGGGCACAGTAAGCTAACAGGATCCAGAAAATGTAATCAAAGAAAATGCTCATGTACTCCTTGCAAAGGGTTGGGGATTGAGGCTTGTGGTCGCAAAAAGGTTTAAAAGCGCATCAAGTGACCCTTGGGAGCTATGGGTGGTCTACCCCTAGAACCACCTAAGGTAACCAGGGGATTAGCACCTCATTCCCTTGAAGGCTTCACACTACAGGATTCGCACATATCACCCCTGCAGCCGTCGCAACTCCTGAAACTTGCTGGGCTGCTCATCCATAAACACCACGCCCTCCTGGCGAAGCCAAACCATATGCGGACAAAGGCAAATGCAGAATATGTACGGGGAAGGGTCCCTTCATATTTAACCTAGGGGAGCTGGTTTGGAGCTACCCCCCCGATTGGGATTGGGGTGGCCGAGGGTTCCTGATTTGCACTTGGCTGAGCAGTGTCAGTAGGTTATTTGCACGGTCGGTTGCCACCGACAATTTTCGACCCTCTTGTGGTTGATGTTTGCAAGAACGCCAAGAGGAGCCAACCTTCCTTTGGGAGGGTTCCGTGAAACTTGTTTGAAACGCCAAGAGTATCGGTCCTGTTCATCGTCTTCGCCGCCCTCGTCTCCTTCGGTTACGTGCCAATCCTGAGCTTCAAGCATGGCACGGAACCTTACAGCGCACAGCACCCTCTGAGGATGGGGGGCATGCAATGCTCTGGGCCTACACTATCGGGGGACTGGAAACAGGGGAGAATGAGGAAACTGGCCACAAAGATACAAGCAAGACACGCCATTCAAATGGGAGGGGGCATTGGGCCAGAGCGCTAAGCCCCCGTGCATAATGCACTGGCACCGGCCTTCTTCTCAGACCTGCGTCGCGGCGACCTTCTTTCAAATATATGTCGCAACAGCTTGTGTTGAATGCCTCAACTTGCAAAAGGGGTAACGCCTGGGACAAGGCACCCCCTTGGCCTCTTGAAAAGCATTGGCTCGGAAGGAAGGGAACTCTCAGCCTAAGGCCCGTGTCATTCACATTTTCCCATGAATAAGAAATCGGAAACAACCAGGTGCAACGGGTGAGGGTTCGCTGTTTGTCAGACAGACAGAAAATTACCCATAAACACCAGTGAGGGAACTCATTTGCCCAAGCAAGAAAAGACTGTTCTTCTTGCGTGCTCAATCAGCAAGGGCAACTTTCCTGTAAACTTTCAGAGTACACTAAGCAAATGGAAGCCTGGCAGAGTCTCATTGCCCAAAACCAGGCAAAGAATCAACCGCCCGGGTTTTGCCGCACCTATTCATGGTTTGGACTGCCTTCTGACCTCCACTTGTATACCTTGCAATCCACAATCATGGACCAGCCCAGCCCAGCCCACCCCAATCCCAACCCAATCCCAACCCCAACCCCAACCCCACCCCCACCCCCACCCCCACCCCCACCCCAACCCCAACCCACCCCACCCCCACCCCCACCCCCACCCCCACCCCCACCCCTACCCCCCCACACCCACCCCTACCCTGGTCACACCCCACCCAACTCCATATGTCAGCTTCCACGGGTTGGAAAGGCACCTTGGGTCTCGTGCGACGGACGAGCCGGCCTCCATCCGAGCCACTGGCGCCGCTGGGCGGCGGGGGTGGCCTGAACCGAAAACGCGGTCAGCCAAAAATACCGGTTGAGAAGGGTTGCATTACTTAATTAACCTTGGCAAATGACCCTATGTTTTCTTTCCAGGGACATCTCGTGGCAAACGACCCCATCTACAAAGTAAATCCAAATGAAGCCTCTTGGAAACCCTCTGAACCACTTGAATGACCACTGCCCAAGGGTGCAACCCCGGATTCCTTTGGCCTTGACTGACGGCCTCAAAGTCCAGCAACAAGTATCAACGAAACGGGTGGCCTCGAAATCAAGGTTTCTACCCAAAAGCAGGACACAGCAACTATAAATAGGTGAACCTGCCTGATGAAAAACAACTTTAGCTCAGCGACCCCTACTAGGTCCTCCAGTGGAGAGGTTAGAATAAGGTTACCATTTTTTTTCCTCCCTGTAGTCTATTTTAGTAGGGGAACCCTCTCCCAAAAAAGGGTCTGTCAGGGACGTCTGTTCGAAGGCTGAGGCCCTCACGCTCCGCTCATGCTAGGCAGCACCTGGCAATCGGTTTCTTGCACTACCCGCTCATGCAAAGCGTGCCGAGCCAAGCTCCAAAAACAAATCGTAAATCAAAAAACGCAACGGGCGTGGACAATGAACAAATTAAATGTTGAAACAAACGTCGTGAAAGAGGAACCTAGTCTTTTCTTTGAGACAGTTGTCAACTACCAAGTTGGAACCAACAATTATCACCTCATGGACCCCAGGGGGGCTATGGGGCTATCCCTGGATAAGCCTTTTTCATAGCCATATGGCCATGGGTCAACACCCCGTACCCCCAGTGAACATCCCAGTCCCCACTAAAATAGACTAAAATGAGTGGTGCACCTATCCTAAAATGGTAGCATTGTTTTTGAACCATGGCCATATCTTCCTTTCTTTTGATTTAAGAAGTCCAAACGAAGCGACCAAACTGACGCAACCTCCGCAAAACTCAGGGCGCCTGAGCTCCTGGGCCGTTGCAACCAGCTGGAGCCACTGAGAGGTTCGCGCGCGGGGAGCCTCGCGCCTGTTTTTGCCGCATGGCCTTACCCGTGGGCACTGATGCGTTTGTGGGGCACCTCCAGGTGGCTCTGCTTGAAACTCGGATCCAAAGAACTCACTGGACACAAAAAGTGCTGAGTGGCTGAGGCCAAAGGCATGGCCAACGCAATGCGCGAGGGGTGCCTTTAGGCCTGAAGCCAGGGACTCGCCCATTTTGCTACTCAGCTGGATCTTGGCACGCACCAATGGCAACGCAGGCTTAGGGGCGGTGTGTCCGATGGCCTTTAGATTCGAGCTGGCTTTTTTCAGGCCTTGGCCCTGACACACCAAGGCATTTACCAAGCGACGAATGGCAGCTCTCCGTCGCAGAATGGAAACTGACTGCCTTGGAATGAATGCCAGCCGATTCTGCGACAAGAGCTTGTCAAGAGGTGTTCATGCACTCGCTGGTGAATGGAAAACGGGATCAGGCAGGGCGCGTTCTGTCACATGCCTGGCAGTCTGCCTTACAGTCGACCTGGGTAGCCGCTGACGTGGCTATCAAACAACAAAAGCTATGACCAAATTGCATATAATGCTTTGCATTCATTTTGGGCTCGTGGTGGACTGAGCAAGGCTCCACTGAAATGAGATTCAACACATTGACACTTCGACAAAGGTTTTGCACTCTGCATCCCTTGGGCAGCTACATGGCGTCTTGGCTTGGCAGGTCAAGGCATCGAAAGTGTGGAACTGCGAATCCGCTTCTGTCCGTTGATTCCGGCAGGGCGGTGGGCTTTGAACCATGCCAATTTCCTTGACCTTCACGGCCTTGCAATTTGGATGAAGTCAAACAAAGGGGCTCACATGGCGCAAGCCAATGCTAGGCTTGGGTAAGTTTGCTTCGTTCCACTCAGGGTCCAAAGCCGCACTGGAAACTCACCAGCTGCCAGCGGTGGAATCACGCGGGTGTTGGCGCCTTGGCTGGCGGTGGCTGAAGGGTCTTGGCTGAATTTGGTAGTGACAATCAGCATACCCTTCAACTCTCCATGCCAACCCGTGGAAGCGACCAACCCTTTTAAGGAAAGTCCTCTTCCATGTCAGCTGAGGGATGTTTTTTTTCTTTGACCTGCTGTGTTTGTGCCTTTCTCAAAATCCAGCAAGGGGACTCTCTCAAAACATGGTGGCTAGTGCCCCTGTGCGAAAACGTCTACTTGTTTCCCAACGCGATTCATCCCAGAAGAGTTGGACCCTGACAAAGAATGAGAAAAAGGCGGTCACCCGTCTGCCCCCCCCCCTTTCCAGGAAAACTCGTCCTACTGGCTAGACCTGATCTCTTATTTGAGCGGGGCGATTGCCTATTCGACAACCTGCAACTACGGGCCCATCACACGACACACAACCACCAAGCATGCCGCTATGTATGTCGTCGACTAAAAGGGGGAATGCAAACACCACACAAACACAAACATCAACAACCACAAACACAGCCAATCCAACAGACGACTGCATACCATCTGGGATCATTCAGCATAACTGAAGGAGGAGCATGAAGAAGATGAGGATGAGGAAGAGGACGATGAGGAATAGAATTCGGATAAGGATGAGGAAAGGGATGAGCCATCAAGATGATGAGGATAAGGATGAGGATGAGATGAGGATATGAAAGGGGATTAGGAATAGAATGATGACGATGCTGATGATCAGGATGAGGAACAGGATGAGCAAAAGGATCCTGAGGCTGACAAGAAAAATAATGAGGATGATGATGATGATGAGGATGAGGATGAGGATAAGGATGATGATAAGGATAAGGATGAGGATGCTTATGATGAGCAGGGGAAGGATGAGGATAAGGAAAATAATGATGCGAAGGACGATGATGCGCATAATCAAGATTGTAACATGCTTGTTCACCCAACCCGAAAGAAAGGACTGAATTTGAAAACAGCTTTGGTCATGGGGCCCAGTGGTTGGCTAACCAAACCGCCGCTGGTGAGGTCGCTGTAATTTGCCAAAATAAAAAACACACACACACAAAACACACACACCAGGGTTGAGCCAACCGCTTTCAGCAGCACCTTTTCATTTATCCGCTTCAAAGAAACACAAAGCCCTGGTTGCTGAAAGCTTCGCACCCAGCCCTGGGTGGAAAGGAAATCAACGGAGGTGAATTCCCGCACACGCCGGGGCCCCCGAGCCGGCTCCATGCGCGCTCTCTTTGGCGCGTGACCTGATGCGCAAAACCCCCGCGTAGGGTTGGGTTGGGTCATAGATGTCCCAAAATAGGACACGCGCGGCATCCAATTGAGTTTGAGGGATGCCATTATTGGTGGCACCAAGGTGAACAAGCTCTGGCCAAAGTTGGGCAAAGCTGGCTCAAAAAGCCAGGCGGATGTTTAAATGGCGGCTGGCTGAAATAATTCCTTGTCCCCGAAAAAGCCATGGTCGCGTGAAAAAATCAACTTCTGCGACCTCCATCGCAAAGCATTCGCGGGGCTCCTTCCGGGTTCCCTTGCTTGCAGTGGCTTTCTTCGAATTTGCCTTTTCGGTGCCACATGTGCACTAAAGATTTGAATCATTCATCCGCCATAACCCTTTGCATAAATCAGCACCGAAGGCCAACCAGAAGCGCCAACTGGGAGCACCGAGTTGAAGCCACGAGCCGAGAAAAACGCCGCAGCCCACCTTAGCCATCAGAAGCTTCAAGCCCAGGGGGCCCGGCTCAAAGGCCCGAGCTGAGTCTTGAGTTCCTGTCGCGCACGGGAGGGCGCCGGGAGAAAGGGGCACAAGTGGAGAACGCTCCCCATGGAGAGCAAAGGATGTGTCTGGAAGTGATGGAACCCTCGTTTCATGTGGCTTCCCTTTGATTTCCCTTTCAAGGCATGCCTTTCGGAATTGAAGTGCACGCTCGGCAAACCAGGGTCACCAGGTAAGCTTTCACGACAGTCCCGACATGTCCCGACCCACACTTGGCTAAATTCTAGGATAGCCACCAACATGCAACGAACTCCAAAAACAACGGGAAGAACAAAAAAATGGGGAAACTATGCAATCGCCAGTGGTACACCGCGTTTCAAAGTTTCAAAGGACCTCAGGCGCGCGTCATATGCCACGGTCCAAGGGCCGTTCTTGATGAACAATACAAATTCGCTGCTACCAAGAAAAACAGCGAATAACAACGAACAAAACATAGAACACAAAACCTAGCCCACCCGGATGTCTGGAATCGGTTTGGGCAAGGCTTGCAAGCATGTCCCGTTTTCATTGCCCTCGCAACACGTCACCTCCTTGGGCTTCTGCGGTGAAGCCTGGCGTAGGCAGGCAAATGAGTGGCTTTCTACGGGCGCCCTCAAAAGAAGGGAAGCAGTGAAGGTATAGATATGTCTGTGTGTGCATACGCAAAAATCCATTCAAGCTAAAGGCAGTCGCTTGATCATGCATCAAGCGGCCCTCTCCCAAAAGCGGAGGCAATATGCTTGATCAGCCCGCTGTTTATCGCATGGAGGCGCGTACTTGGCAACGAGGAATCTCCCGAGACCGAACGATGCATGCTTGACGGACAGGCTTTCAGGAGTTGAGGGTGCTTTCTTGGTGACGGGCATTGTCTCCAAAGAGAGGGCGTGCTCACTTGGCAATTTGCGCCCTTCTGCAAAGAAGGGCCATCTGTTCAAGCAGGAATCGCAGTTCTGCATGGCTCACGCACACACTGGCCAGACCACAATGGGGAAGGTCAGCCACAAACTCAGCTTTCATGGCATGTCTACCTCGTCTGCCTCGACTTGTGGGCATGTGCATGTGTTTTTCTATCGGGTAACTCGCCATCAACACACACTCACAGCCGCACACATGCGCATGCTCGAAAGTAACATGTTGCTCACAAGCAAGGGATGTACACGGGCTCCAGCTTTTCATACTGCGGCAAAAGCTTGAAGATGTAATTCTGAGACTTCTCAGGGCCCCGCCATTGGCTAACCCGGCCCGCTCCCTTCTTCATATTCCCCTTTGGTGGTGTTGCAATCCGGGCGGCCGCGCCCCACGATTCGCTCTTGCCTGCAGTTCATCGAATCATCCCCACCAGCTACAAAAGCAAGGCCCCCGTCGCAAAGGGAGAAAGTGTTGGGAAGGGAACTTGCTGGGGGGTACCCGCCAGCCTTGTTTACACAAAAGGTGAAATGTGAATATAGCGGAAGCCCCTGCGAGGGTGAGGTTTCCAGCGGGAAGGGGGTGGGCAATGTAACGGCCAAATAGGCCCAAGCCAAAAGGATGGTGTTGGCCAACGGCCCAACTCTGGCCCGACTGTGAACCGCTCTTCTGGACTGAGCTTGGCGCCAATCTTGCTGCTGTTGAAGCTGCAATAAAAGTCCTGTGTGGAGGTACCAAGGAGGTACCAAACCGGGAGACCGCTTTTGAAAGCTTTGAAAGAAAGCTCAAGGTAGTCACAACTTGGAAAGAAACCAACCTTGAATCTTAGAACATGCTCAAGGAGCTGTTGACATTGCGTTTGGCCCTGGCTTCCCCAAGGAAGCCTACACAAGCGCTCGCACAAGGCCTGCGACGCCTTGGGGCCTGAAGGGCTGAGCTTGAATGTGAAACCATGGTATGAATATGTATGAAGCCCTAGGTAATGGGTCAAAAGCCCCCCACTTTGGTTGTGATTTTTCGCAACAACCCCAAGGGCACCGAAAAGACGCGCCCTGGCCCAGGCTCCCCTGAATTCGGTGACTCGCTCCTGCGCACTCTGCAGGCCTTGGGCTTTGGGCCTGGGATGCGCCCAACTCCAACTCTTGCAAGGCGGCTTGGCAGCCTGTTGCCTGTCGCAATGCAAGGTTGGAAACCCTGTTTTTGGGCACTGGTAATGGAAATCCTTTGATTCAAATTTGTCTATGGACATTTGCCAAGATTTGTGGGCCTGCCTGGTTGTTCCTGATTGCGCAGTCTAATTCAATGCGCCTACTTTTGATCGAGCACCATCCGCACGAGTGACTAAGCACAGAATCAGCTTCGCCCCTTCGCATAGGTATCTCCACTTCAGAGCCTCGTATTTCTCGTGATAGATGTACATAGCATATATATATATATATATAGAGACAAATAGAAATTTGTTGTTGGTGTTGTTTACTTTTTCTTAAAAAAAAAGTGTTCACACACTGGGAGGACTGTGTGCCAAGTGCCAAGGGCAATGCCGTACCCTGGAGTCTTCCCTCCCAAGCCCCAGCCAAAGGCCGCGCGCCTGGCTTCGCCTCCTGCAAACGAAAAGGGGGGCTGCTGGAAAGTGGTGAATCTCTCCGAGCTGCCCGGTACCCAGCTGGAACTGGCCGAAATCGAAATGAATTCACCCCCCCAAATAATCAAATACAAATGCCAAGAAGCATGCAGTTTCAACCTAGGTGCCCAAGTCAACTCACCAACTTCGACTCTCCAAACATCGCCTGGCCGCGCTTGCGGCCACACTGGCTGCAGAAGAGCGCTTGCGGCGTGTACGCGCTGCCACAGGCAGGGCAATGGCCCTCCTGGCGAGCAAGTGATCCCCAACCCAAACTGCAAAAATGGCCCCCACTCCATGCACTATCGCCTTGCACCTTGCACCCGAGGTAAGATTTGATGCCGAAGGGCTCCTTTATTGAAAGTGCACGCTGCAAAAACGTCCTTTGTTGGGTGTGCACGTCCATATTTTTACAGTACACGCTGGGATAGCAAATCTCACAGGGCTACCCCGCGTTACACTGCAACCTGTTCCTGGCAACCTACCAGGAGTGAATCCAGCGCGAGTCCCTCTTTAACAAGGTACACCTTTTTTTTTGCAAATTGCACGAGTGCAGGGCGTGTCTGTTTCGTTTCCGTGGCTCGCCCTAAGGCTCGCGCTTCCAAGTCGGCCGTGATCACCTCCGGGCCTTGGGCTGCGCAGCGGCTGAAGGAGCCAGGGCCAGGCAGGGTAAAGGCCAACCGAAAGAAAAACAAAAACAACAACAAGTCAGGCGGTAAGATGCATGCAGCACAGAACTCATTGCAGGGCTGGGATTTCTGTTGGACGTCCTTTCACATTTGAAAAAGGGCCAGCAAGCAGAAACACACTCCCAATGTCCTAAACCTTGAGTCCTGAGTCAATCAAACCAACATCTCCCCCAGAGAAACGCTAACACGGCTTCGGCCCCGGGCGCGCGCCAGCCTGTGCGGAAAGCTCCGGCCCAGCCTCCGTTGATCCACCTTTCGCCCTAATGGTTTTGGTTTCCAACTTGGGGAGCATCCGGCGGCTGGCAACCCCAAGACGGAACCTCAAGCAACAGGCGCCCCGAGTTGCATGCGGCAAGCGTGCAAAATGCCAGATACATGGTTGGATCCAAAAGTAGTGGAGCATTGGGAATAAGAGAAACCCTGTAGCCTCACAATAACTTCAGGCTGGTGTACTTCCCTGTGGATGGTTTGCCGAGAAGCAAGGTGCGCTCCAAGGAAGCGCAGTAAGATCAAGAAGGGCCGCCCTTCAAGAGGCAATATCATGTATTATTTACATGTATGTATCGATCTATCTATATATATATATATATATACATGTGTGTGCCTATAGATAGGTATGTACTATGAACATCTTTGTTTATGACATTGCATTTCAGGCGCCTTCCCTGAGATTCCAAATTAGTGTGAGGGAGGGTAAAAATGACAAGTTTACTGCCAGGGTTCCCTACTTATAAGGACACTGCCGCTTCAAGGACGTTGAGAGAGTAGCGCTTCGAATGTCGTAAGTATAAATCTGTGGCTTTAGGGTCAAAATCCTCGGAGGATCAGCGAGGCATGCAGTGCTTTGCGTCAACGACAGTTTTAGCCGCTCACGGACCACGGGTCAACGACGCGCACAAAATTTCTTATGACTTACCAGCCTGAATTAAGAATTCCTTGAAGGGACTTCGTCATGGGTGAGCTCGATTGACCGTGAGCCTGCCACAATTCGTGCAAAACAATGTGTCAAGGGTCAACCATGTACGCACTCCAAGACCAAATGCGTTCACGACAACACGGCAGCAACAATGCACCTAACAGTCCCGGCTACCTTGCCGTAATTACATGAGTGTTCTTAGGCACGCCGTGCAGCAGCCAGCCTCGTTTGCTGGAGTCGGAGTTGGCCTTGTTCGCAACTGGATGCGAACCAATGGCACGCCAGGCCAACAATGCATAGATTAATCGGGCTTCCGCTACGGTATTGCCGCAAGTGACCGCCAACTCTGGCAGTTTGCAAGGCCATCACAACACCTGCAAAACCCTTGGCCGGCAAACACAAGTCTCAACATTGAGTCTCTGGCACTACCTCCTCTGCTGTACCGGCCTGTGCCGTCGAAGCACTTGTTTCGGTAGCCTGTCGCAAGCATGCTGCACGCCACAATCTGCCTGCGAGCAGTTATACGTCCAAGCCATCTGAAACGCAATGCAAAAGGTTATTGCTGGAGAGTGGTAGCCTCAAGGGACGGTGTTTGACATGACGGTAGTTCCAGCACACAACATTCTTGTCCAGCCATGCCATGTCAGCCTCGGTTGCGACAGAGACAACCTCGGCATCAGCTTCTTCATCATCACTGCTATCCTCTTCCTCCTCCTCTTCTGCCTGCTCTTCCTGGCATGACGCAGTCAGGGTTGATGCCCTGCTCGGGTCGCCCATTGGTTTCAAAGACAGGCCAGAGCCTAAGATGTAAGCCACCTAAAAGAAAAAGGCCACGTGGAAATGTAACCAACACCGCAAGAAGGCTGCCTCCACACTTCACTTGGCTTTGCCTTTGAGCTTTGCCGCTTGTGCCGCCCTTGGATCCCCAGTTGCGGAAATTTCGATGACGTGGAAAAACACGATCCCTTTCCTTGCCATGGTGGCACTGAACATTCCGAAGCATCTCAAGGCCAAATGTCACTGGGGGAAGAACAGCCAAATACAAATGGTTCGTGCTCAGTGGATCCAGGAGGAAAATATATGGGGCTGCATCCTTTCATGGGGCCCAGTATGCAGCCTCACCCTTTCCCAACAATACTTCGAGGCCAGTTACACAAAACATCTTGGCACGCATGCTTTCAAAAGTCAAGTTTTGTTGGGGTCCGGTTAGATCTATGACCCTGACAACAAAGAATTCCTACCCATTTTTGGGACTCCCCATTAAGACCAATCCGTGTACCAAACCAATCTCCCTGCACAGGTCGCACTCCACGTCTGCCTCCTCCTCCTCCTCGCTGTCCGAGTCACTGGAGTCGTCGCTGTCCACTTCAGCGCCGAAGATCTGGGAGAAGTCCTGCCTCGGATCCCCCGAAGACTGATCTCATTTTACTTGGTTGCTGCAACGACCTGCAAACCGTTTATCACTTTTTGGGGGTTTTGGGGGAAAACGCAACTTGATTTCAACCAAAAAGTTACAGTCTAAAGATCCAACCCAATAGCAGCCAGGTTGACCTGACCTGGAACCTGGAACCCGGCTTGGACCATATTTGTTTCAAGGTAGGGCCCTTGGTATAGTAATGGTGGGTGCTACTGTGGATGGACGAAATCCGTTCCGCACCACTTTGAAACCATGGTTGAACCCATAACGGTTGTTTGTAGTAACAAGGGAAGCATCCTTCCACAGCTTCTTAGGTGGTGCAGGATTTCATCCATCCACAGCAGGGTGCTTCCCTCACAATCAGCCGGAAAAAATATTTGACCGACCAGGGTGTTGATGAAACAAAGTGCGGTTTAAGCCCAGTGAGAGCATTTGCCACTCCCGGTCATACCCAAAGAACCGTCCGAATCTCGGGCAATCCCCTCCCCTGGGCCCCTGGGGCCCTTGCGGGCTGCTGTCCTGTGAAACATGAGCCACTGGACGCTGATTCAAACAGAATTCTGAGCCAAGCGTCACCAAGCGTCTTGAACTTTGTCAAATGTCAGCTGTTGACACGCTTCCACCTTTGCTTACTGTCGCAAGTGTTGCCTAGGCTTGAACAAATGACTTTCACATCTACCCGAAAGAGCTTTAAGAAACAAATCGCCAAATCCGACCTCTCCGAGTCAGAGAGCCCCTCGCAAGAAACCAAGTACGACTGTTGCTTTTGGTCATCTGCCCCTTGTTCTAAGCTGGGTAAGCCAGACCCGCTTTTGTGCATGGCTGCGCGAATAGTGGATGTATGAGTGCATGCCCAAAAGCGACGCTGGCCAGCCTTCACCTCGTCGCCTGCCTCCGGTACCTGGCCCAAGAATGACCCCAACGGACTGCAGGGAACCATGGAACGGGTTTTGACGGTTTCGGCAACCGAATAAATCAACAGGAATCCAGGGCACGATGCTGCGGCTTCTCTAAATTACGCAAGAAACCCTGGATACAAAGCACGTCACCCAAAAATCCCATTTGCAAGAAGGCTTGAACCTGATGGTGCGCGCTTTCTGCTTCTCTCTGCGGGAAACTTGGCGTGTCCCATGTGCGCCTTCCCCTTGCATTTACAACCTGCTTGATACATTCACCATTGCACTCTGTCTAGCTCACATGGTGCGACAAATTGCTGAAAGGATGCATGGCTGCCCCCCTCCCCAAGCAACGCCTTCTCCGCCTGCACGCACCTCGATCTTCTGCATTCAGTGCTAAGATGTCAACACGCACAACTAGCTCTTGGGAGAGCCTCCCCGCTTTTGGTCTCACCTGCCTTGTGACATGAGCCCTCCATGTTATCACTCAAGCATGTTCTTGGTTGATTTCTGCTCCCCTGCTAAGGTCGAATGGAAAACCCACTAGTTGGCAAAACGTCAGTCCTAACATCCAAGCAACATGCACTCAGGCATGGTTTGCCGTACCACAGCATGCATGCAAACCGATAAGGCGCCGGCATGCCCTGGACTTCTCCATCTGGGCCAAGCAAAGAGTTAGCGCGGGAGGGAGCAACTCGGGAAATCCACGTGGTGCTCGTCTGTCGAGCAAAGCCAAGCACATCGGCAAATTTGGTCGCTGAAATATTCTACATATCTTCATGGTCCAGGTCATGTAAGTTAAGTAGCTCGCCCCATTGCCCAAAGGTTGGAAACAGTAAGCGCCATGTCTTCTATCTCACAGGCCTGAGGGCCGCTTTCTGTGCCAAGGGAATACCCTTTAGCAAAAGCGGTCATGGATGGTCATGGGGATGGCCACCGTGGTGTCACAGAAACACGGCCCCGCATTCCCTGATTGAGTCCAAATGTGTTCTGCTTGTTTATCGGGATGATGTGTTACAGCAGCACCCAATGACGCCAAAGTGCTTCAAAGGTCAACACCGCCGATGCTTCCGATTGCTGCGCGCCTGCGGTCGCATCGATGAACTGGCTTGCACGCCGGAGAGGCCTTGAGGCTTCGGTTCGGCCGACGTGCCGTCAGGATAAGCACCACATGTGGGAGTGGAGCATCAGGTGTTGCCGTGGGTTCTCTTCATATGGTAAGTGGAGAATGGGGAAAAGTCGCGTGTAGCAAGCGTGGGCTGCTCTCGTCTTCTAGGGACTTCCACACCACTTCAAAAACCATCTCCGAAAGGCACAACTGCATGGCAGGCAAATCCACTGCCGGGGCCGGCACGCCTTGGCCTTTTGCCGGGCCTTAGTCTGCGCTGGAAAAGGGCATGTTTACTGCCACCCAAGCGAAGACAAGCCATGAATTCCCAATACCCACCAGAACAGAATAGGGGACGGGACCAGGGAAGTAGGACTCCCCTAGAAAAAATGTGCTCCTTTGGGCGTCCTTAGCACGCCAACCCTAAGGTGATTCTTGAATATTGCAAGTGAGGTTAGCGCAAACTATGATGAATTCCGGCACCTTCCTTGTTCCCTACTTGCAGGGAATCAATCGCAGCGATCCCAACCTTGCTCAGCTGTCGGTTTCCTTTGAAAATCAGAGCCTTGAAGGAAACACACTCTTGCTCTGGAAATCCCAACCGAATGATCTTTAGAAGAAAAACATAGGAATATTTCGAATACTTGTAGGTCCTGAAATAATTCTACTGGGCAAGCAATGGCCCGGAGAAAGTGAGCACCTCCTTGGCAATTTGCTTGCAGCTCGAAGCGATGAATGACTCGAGTTTTGCACATCGCGCTGTACAGCTGCCAATGCCTGCGGCCTTTGCGTCCGCCGAATTCCCCCCTCTGAACAGTGTGTCGACGTTCAAACCTGATTACGAACCCCTTGTTTTAAGAACCACGTTTCCGGCTCTCAAAAGCTGGGCCTTGCAACCTTTGGTTAACCAACCGCCTGAACGAGCCGGGTTTGGGCCGCAAACATCCTGGAGATTGCACTCGTGGCGGGCAAGCAAGGCCCCCGCTACCTGGCGCTGGACATGGAGCACAACCCTTACTCCAAATTGACCATGACTAGACCAGTTCTCACTTTCAAGGGGAGGACATTTGTCCAATGTGTTTGTCCACCATGCTTGAAGACGTCGATTGCAGATCGGGATTTGGGTGGGCCCCAGGTATTGCCCTATCACCCTCACCGCAAGTCTGTGGCTTTCTTGCATTCAGTAATGTACCATCTGGCAGTTAAGGGCAGCAGCAGTATCCAAGAAACCAAAGGCAAGGCACTCAGCATCCTGCCATCTGCATTCACATATGAGAGACACAGCCCAACCAGTCTAGCAGACAGTTCATGACAAACTTGAGAGAGGACGGACCGAAAGCTGGCACAGTTTGCCAGAAGTGCCAATACTGCTTCTTCACCAGCCCCCTCTAGACAAGTTCTCTTTGTAGAGAAGCCCCCCCCCCCGGAAAGCCGTAGTAACGGCAGCAGGTGGAAAACCAGGCCAGCCCAGACAAAAGAGAAACGTCCTAAATAGCAAGTCCAAACAAATGGCATAGCATGCGGCCAAGCAATGTCAACATGTGGCCCCTGCAAGTCCAGCCCGGACAGGGCGGAAATCAAACACCCTGCCGCGCCCCAAAAAAAGCAAACTGCATCCCCCTCCCCCTCAGACCTCAAACTACGAAGCCCGCAATCAGCTTCGTCTTTCCTTCGCATTCATCCCAAGAAGTGATGGTCTCTGGGCCATGTCACCACCCCACTTTGCTCGTTGCCTTCACCTTTGGAGCCAGTAAGCGTAGGGTACCTGCCAAATCCAAGCGCCGTTTTCAGAGAAATCGATTAGATTCCAAAGCAAACCCCTCCCAAGGGATATTCCTGGTACTGTCCATGCTGCATGTTGCTACACATTGAAACGAGGGGAAGTAACTACATCACGGACCACAGCACAAAAACCACGCACACGTCTCAAAATGAGGCCTGCTATACCATACCCTTAACCAACTGGTCCTGTTGGTTGGCCATTGAAACAACCTCTAAAATACGAGGTAACTACCCAAAATGGCTCGATTCCGCTTGTCCCAAGTTGAGCCACAGAGCGGTACTCACAAGGCCCGCCTTCGTATTTCGTGCAAAGATCGGTGACCAGCGGCTTGGCCTCGCGGAACTGCATCCGATCCCCCGGCCCTTTTTGGGGTGCGCTTCTAGGGCAGCCAGAAGAGCGATTCCCTCCCACATTTGGGGCGCACCTATAGGTTGACCAGGTTGGTTCCCTTTTTAGGCCAAGAGCAGAAAGAATGCCTCAATCTCCTGGCTTGCCCTCATAGAAGCCTATTTGGCCACGGCCAAAGAGACAGTTCTTGCGAGAAAACACAAACGCTGGTTGTCTGGGTGTGTGGGTCTGTGTGTGTGCAAGTGTGCCTCTGTGTGCTTGTAAATTGAGCGAGTCCACAAGTCCGCTTCCTCCCAAATTTACTGTAGGCTACTCTTTTCTGCTCAAGCTCATGTAACACTCGAGAGATATGAGCATTGCTTGCACAAGTGCGAAGCATGGCTGCAGATTTCTGCTTGCCAGCCGCGGAAATATCCAGCACCTGGCCCAGGACGTGGTTTTCTCAAGCCCCCTTAACGCCTCCCATTCTACCCACTTTGGGTGTGCGTGTGCGAGTCTGCTACCCGGGCGCCCCAGCGTTCTGCAATCGGATCAGCTCCAACAACTCTGCCAGAGCAGAGGCCTGGTGATCGAAGACAGGGTCCCAGGATGGCTGGACGGCACCGCAATCCAGCGGAAAAAAAGGGACCAAATTCCAATGGCAATGATACCTTGAGGAGTCCACATCTAGCGTGCATTCAACTGCAGCTAAAGGCCCATCTAAGATCATCTAATTAAGCATGTATGAGCTTGTGCACGCGGGAAATCTTGCGCACATCGCAAACTATCCAAAAAGCCCTTCCCACTCACCCCGAGAGTTGGGCTTTGCCCGCCATGCAACCCGGCAAACGCATGGCGCACGGCCCCTTTTTGGAGGCGCGCCCGCTCTTTGGTAACCTTCTTTCTTTCGAGAGTTTGAGCTTGGGCCTTTCTGCGAGTCTGGAGTGGCCATGACTCAAAACAGCAGCTTTGACACACCCAAGCCCAGCACCAGCAAGCCACCCCCGAGGCACGGCGGGCGCAAGCCTCGGACTGGCAGGTGCCTTGAGGTGAAATGGGTCTGCGCCTTTCCCTCCTATCAACAACAACAACAACAATCAAACAAACAACAAAAAATAGAAACACAACAAAATAAAGGGGGCACGTCTGTCAGCGCCTGCCGGAGTAACAAGGTATGATGGGACTCTTTTTGGTGGGTGTCCACCATCAGAGTTGTCCTTGCACCACATCCCATGGGTGACTCACCTCTAACCTCGCCTGGGAAACCTGGGTGACGCGACCCCTTACGCCAAGACAAACAAAAGAGGGACTCCGGGGATGCAACGCCTCTCGTTCGGTGCCTGCAAAAAGTTTGGCCTCCCACCTTGAGCTACTTGAAGCAGGGCAACATGCTCGCAAGAAATGTGACCAAAAGTTGGCTTCCGTTGCAACTCTTGGACAAATGTCGGAAAACACCTTGCCACTCGTATGACGCGCTGAAACCGCAGACTGAGTGCACCGCTCTGCTCCACCATGTCAAAAATTAGGCCCTGGCCGTCTGCGACTTGGATCAAATTGCGGACATCTTAGCTGAGGGAAAGCAAATGCACGCCAACCACCAAGCCGGTCCCCACAGGAGTGCTCAGTCGCTTTCTGGCCACGCTCGTTGCGCAAACAAGTTGTGCTTGAAGAAGGCAGCCGACAGGCACGGCAGTTGACCAACAGCAGCTCAGGCTCCGGCAAATACACCGGTCTCAACCATGTGGAAAAGATACATGTGGTCCTGCCAGGCTTGCCCTTACGTTCGCCAGACGTGTCGCCGAACTAAGTGTCCCCCACCCCAGCACCGCTAAACACAGGGCCTCAGGGCCTCAGGGCCTCAGGGCCTCCTCACAAACCACTCGAAGGAAACACATTACTCCTTCAACTGCGGGATGAGAAGAAGAGAGGAGCGTGAGACAAACATGCCGGTGTCCCCTTTGAGGCACTCCGCTTTTGGTTGGCGTGGAAGGGAAACCAATAGGGGCACACTAAGTTTGCGACAACCTAAGTATTGAAGCCGTACGCCCCGTCCCACGTGGAAAGAGAAACGCATCGCCTCTTGCCCTGAGCGGATGGCAAAGGCAAAGGCACAAGACCTGGGGCCTGGGCAGGCACTCCTAATGAGAACCAGCATGAAACCAGCGTTTGAGGACGCCCAATCTCGCGCAAGGACGGGCGGGAGAAATCCTTTGCAAAAGGGAGGCAGTCCGACAGACGTCAGGTTTGCGTGGGGCATCCAGCCATAAGCTATGGCAAACATCGCCTGGGCCAAGTCCCTGCATGCTTAAGCCACCGTCTCAAACCACCTTGCGATCCTCACGCATACAAAAAACATGGGGCATTCTCCGACTCGGCTGTGTCCTGCGCTTTCACCATGGCCTTCACCTCGCACGAAAGCAAAGCGGGACATGAAGCGAGGGAGGAAAAAACCCTTTGAACCAGAAGTGGGTGGTACATGCGGCCAGGTGTGGGGCAAATGAAGCAAGCGACATTTCTATTCTGCTGGCCCGTGACCAGCACTTTCATGCAAGGCAACAAAAAAACTAACTTGTCCATAGTCTTTCATTTGGGTCGGGGTGCTTTTTAGCCCACTGGGGCTGCTTTTTGTTTTGTCACAAACGCCGGGTATTCCTAGGACTGGCAGGCATCCCAGCACCACCTTTAGGTTGGGCTGGCGCCTTCGGGGTGGCTGGGAGCCTGACCCCAACAGCCTAGACATCAGCCTCTGCCGAGCCTAAAAGGCACTCATTGGGATCTCAGGCAGCCTACGACTCACCCTAAACGGATGCGAGCAACCCGCCAACCAACCTACCAGCCAGCCAGCCAACAAGCCAACAAGCCCAGCCCCGCTAAAAAACAAGCCCTAAAAAGAAGTATCGGGGCGGAAACCACTAAACAAAGTATCGCACAGCGGCAGTCCCGGTTTCGTTTCCTCCTCCGGTTTGCAGTGATTTGAGCTTTCCCGCAACCTTCCAGCTTCCTGCAGCCTTCCTGTGCATTCAGTGAGCCAAAGGCTTGCTGGCAAGGTTTGGGTAATCACGCTATCGGTTGGTTGTCGGTTTTGCTATCTGTCAGCCAGGTCGACTACATGTGTTTCCGAGAAAACTGCTTCGCAGACTTACCTGGGGTACATGTTCTACCCATTCAGGGCCCTAAGAGCTCCAAAGAATCGAGCACGGTCCCCGGGCACAAATTTCCTGCCACACTACCCTTTGACGTGTGCGTACAACCCAAGCACGCAAGCCACGAGTGACATCTTGATGCTTGACCCTTGCAGGTTCTTGGCCATGGGAAGAAAGGCCACTTATTTTTCCTTTTTCCGGGGTAGTACCGAGTAGTACCCTCCCACCATCTCCGACCCTTTTCACGCGGAACCTGACGTTCGGGGGTCCTGGTTTGGACCATTTCCCCTTGAAAGGATCGAAGGCGCCCCGTCAGGTTCCAGGCGAAAAGGGGAGGGTACCAATTTTCCACCATCCTTTCAAAGGGTAAAGATAAAGACCAAACTTGCTGGTCAGCCGGGGAATGACGGAGTGACCCTTGTAAACCATCCAAGATATAGATCACGTAATTGGGTGTGGCTCCAAATTAAAAGACCTAGAGTTACGCAGTTTTAGTGGTTGTTTCCATGTACCAAGCTGCCATTGTTGGTCTCATGTTTTTGAGACACAGCTATCGCAGCTATTTGGTAGGAAGGTCGTTGGACCGTTCCGTTGGCCCAAACCATTTGCCTCGCCGCCTCGCTCCCACCGGCTGTGGATATGAGGCCCCCGGCCAGGCGCAGCGGGGCAAGCTGCAGGTACCGGTGGGGCGAGGCGGCCGCCACGGCCACGGCCTGCGCATCTGAACCCAAGGAGATGCCACAAGCTAGAAATAGCGCGTGTGTATGTGTTTATATATTCTTCCTATGTATATGTGTATATATCTCTATATATATATATACAGCCATATACAATATGTCATGAAAAGCAACATAAAAGAGAGGCATGAACAAACAAACATGGCAACAAGAACCACCATCAGAACACAAACGCACATGTGTACGGATCACGTCTCAATGGGTTTGCAGCCGTTTGGGGTGGAATTGTGAATCTATCAGAATCGATCAGCGCCTCAAAGATAGGATTTACCCTTTGAGGGTTAAGGGGCCGGTTTGTCTTGGACACCATGGTGTGGCTCACCAGGGCAGAGTCATCTGTTCCTGCAATGCAAGGGCGACAAGCTTGGCTCCTGAGGACGGCGAAGCCGATCAAAAGAGAACAATAAGCTGGGCGAAGTTGTGAGCCATGCCATGTTCTGAACAACCAAGCCCTACACTCGTAAAGCAAGCACCCACCCCTTCCTCAGCCAGGCAGCAGCTCATTCGCTGCCCAGAGTTCGCAGCAAACTATATTCATCCATATTCTCTCAAATACTGTCAAAATGAGTTGGACCCAGTGAAGAGCATCGTACGTACCCACCCTGAATTCTGGTGTCGTGTGGTTCGCTTTGGCGACTGGGATCAAGACTCATGAAAATCCCTTGGCGTCAGCGGGCGCCTTGTAGGCCAAGCTGTTGTTCTTCATGAGAGCCTCTGGCCGTCGGCCGTGATTCCTCAGCTCGCGGAGTCGGTGAGAAGCTGTTGCGTGCGAGTGGGCATCACAAGGTGTAAATTCCAGGGATTCAATTCAAGGCCCAAATGAGTGACCCCCCAAGGTGTTCAAAACGTTTTGAAGGGAGTTTGAGGGGACCCTTGCCACAAGTGGATGCGCACGGGGTGGATAAGGCCGAGTTCTTCCCCGTCGGATCCCATGGCCCATGGCACGGTTTCACACCTCTTGCACACTCGCTTCCCATCCAGTTTTGTACCGGAAAATCCCAGAAGGATCCCTACAAAACTCGCCAACAATAGACATCCTCCCGTTTGGGGGGTAAAACATATAGTGTGACAAAATCGCAACCTAGTCCGCTGCAAGACATGTTTGAGCCTGGATTCATGAGCAACAGTTGCATATCCAGAAGTCCAACAATTTCTTCACCTGGACCAAGCAAAATCTCTACATAACAAGGCAAGGATTAATTCTCAGGTGGGAGACCCCTCAAGAGTTGAGTTCCTACTTAGTGGGGAACTGTTTCTGGTCAATCAAGGGCAGATTCCGAGCTTCCAAAGCTTGTTGACCTGGAAATGGCTACCATCAAGGCTTGTTGCTGCGGTAACCTGGCCAGGTGCAAGCCCCTCCCCCCCTCCCACATTTTATGGTGTCCTTTGGCGGGTCAGCCGGGAAAACCAAAGGCCCACCCAAATAAAAATCCAAGGCGCGCCACGGCAAAGGCCAGCAACTCGCAGATCACCTGCATGGCCTCAAGCGGTTGAGAGAAACAAATGCCGCAAAAAACATGCCGGGCACCAGGGGTTACCCAAATACGCTGGAATACATGGAGAGAACATGACATTTCATGCCAAGGGCGCCTTTCCAGGCTTATATGGCTGAGCCATGCGGATCTTTTAAGTGGCAGAGAAGCATGTTTAAGCTGAGGTGGTTGAAGTGGAACTATCAAACATAATCTTGTCGTCAAGGACAACGGGAAACAGCTCAACCTCGGAACTCTTCGGATTGCTCAACGCCGTGGCCGCTTAGCCTTCGCGTTGGTCTCAATGCGGTGTAGTGCATTCCCTGCAGTATGCACTGATATGTATACATGAAACATGTAAGTAACTAGGGAGGAAAGGACAAATAAAAATGAGAAATTATTTAGCCAACCCGAAAGTAGGTGGATCTACTGTATCCTGCTTAGGCCTGGACATAACAGCCGGATTGGCTCAAATTGGGATTCCCATCCTCGGCAAGCGAGCAGCTGCCCACCTTCATGCTGCTACAGTGTGCTCACAACACACACAGTCTGTACCACTTGCAGGCATAGGTTTGGTTGACTCTAACATGTGCTACTCGAATTATCTCAAAGCAGATTCTGACAGAGAAGCGCACCATGACATGACTCAGGCACCAGCTGTTTTGTTGGCAATGTCGATCAATGGCTTTGCCTCTGGAAATTGCAAATTAAGCTCGCACTTCCAAGAGACCCCGGCTCACCGTACATGGCCAACCACCCCTCGTGAGCATGGTCCAAAAACGGCCTGACAAAAGAAAGCGGTGGCATGGGTGGGCATGGGCAGAGGGACGACAGCAACTGTGGTGGGTGCAACTCCCTCACGTGATCTGTGCCACCTCCACAACGAATGGTGTCTTACGATCCTGATCGAGGGGCGTTTGGCTGGCGGAACTTCCTGCGGCAACAAGCAAAGATCACCAAGAGGACCGCGGAACACACGCTGCTCTCAAGTCCCAAAAAACCACGGAGTTTGATTCACCAAATGCCTTGGCAACGTGGAAAGCCGACCAACGAAGCCGTCGCCCCTGCATTTCTAAAAGCGTGACTTGTTGCGGCGCCCGTCTGAAAGAATTCAAATCTTCAGTGACTCTGTGACTCATATTTTTAGATGCAACTTCGATCAAAAATATGGCGATGCACTGTCAGACTGCCCTTGATTTACGCTACGCCACTACAATGAAATCAACACGCCCTGAAGGGCTTCAGTTCAATTCTTGATGTTGAGCTTTCGGGGCTCCGGGAGCCGACCCAATATAGACAGGCGCCGAAGTTGAAACTCCTGGGGCGCCCCAGGACCTGTTTACGTGTTGTTTATGCTGTTTCGTTCTTTTGGCTCAGGAAAAATCATCATAAAGGATGGGAATCTGCTTTCAATCGGAAGTGATTCAAGTCTGGCTGAGCCTGTCGCGCCAAGGAACGCTTGAGAAAGCTAGGCCAGGCAGCACACTGCGGCGCTGCGTGCTTTCGCATCCGCCCTATTCAGCCCTGGGCAGCCCCACAATGAAGTCCAGCACGCCGTTCCCATACAAGGCGTCCAAAAATGTGGCACCTGCCCACGCAGTACAGCCCACAAGCCGTTCCAGTGTCGCAAGATTGGCTGATCATCAAACATATGCGATAAGTAGAAATCGCAAACCCCGCGAGATCAATTAATTCAGCGTCTACAACCAGATTTCTGGGCAAGCACCTTCAAACTCCCCTGCTTGGCCTTGTCCTGCAAGCCTCGCACTCTCCCACCTCTACCCTGTCTATGACAGCCGCTAATAAAACTCAAAGCTTTTGACTACTGACCACGCTGCACCAACTTGCGCTGCCAAGCCTGCCTGCCAAAACAAGCTTGTCTGCTGCCACCTAAACTATGCTTCGCCTAGGGCACTGACCCTTGCAACAGCCCCATTGCCGTACAAATGATAGTGATCACATACAGCCAAATTCGGTTGGTGTTCTGCTGGCGCCCCTTAAGACCAACCAAAGAGGGCTCCCTGAAAAAGACACCCGATGGCACCCTTATCTGTGGCTCCGGCGGCTCTTTGCAGCGACTTGGCTCGCGTCCATGACCTGCCAAGCCAGCGCAGCGGTGTCTGGGGCGAGTCTACAAAACTACGTGCCCCTACCACCCATACACTCCATTCGAACAAGCGAGGTCATGGCCTTAAATCCAAATACACATTGCGAACATGAAAATGCCATAAAATGCCCATGCCAGGTGCTCCAAATGTGGTAAGAGGTTGATCCACATGAACCACTGGCAGTACGGATGAGCTTTGGAAGGGCTAGCTTTCTGTCATCCCTTCTGCGAAGAATGAACCCCCTCCCCGGCAACCAAACCACCCGCAACAGCTCCGTGGCTCGAAGCCCTGGCCATCTGGAGGATGTCCGCGACCTGGCTCTGAACCTGAGTGACCCAGAGTCCGTTTCCACCGTGGATGGTTCACACGCAAAAACTGCCTGACACCCCGTGGGCGAGTCATCGCAACGACCGAGCTTGCCTCGTCCCAAGCGGGCAACATGGGCAACGCAATGTCGCAACCACCCTTGCGCCCACCCCCAAAGATCCCAAAAGATCCCAAAAGCAACACGCCTCCACACCTTACAAACCACCAACGACACTGAGTGTGCTGCGCCGTGGTCGGGGTCTGCCAAGAGCAAGCAAATGAGGTTCCCCAGAAGCTCAGACCTCGAAACCAGTCCTCATCCTTCCCCCTTGCCATGAACCCTACTCTTACAAGGCAAGAAGCTCAAAAAGGCCAGCGTTTCTTGTGGGTTCCAAGAAGCGAGTTACACAACCCACAAGATCTGGGACGCCGGCCCGTCTTGGCCTTCTGCTGTGGCTTCGCCATTCAGCAGGAATCGTCGCCTAAGGGTGACTATGCGATTCGATTCGGTTTGGGACCAGCGGGGGCGCCCTTGACGTTCCGTCAGGGGTCATAAAGAAGGGTGTCAAAAGCAACATCTCTTGCTGAACAACCCTCACGTAAACAAAATGCAGAACCAGGGCTCTACGCAGGAATGGCGCAAAGGAGCACGTTTGATTGGGCAAATGAGACCCGCTTTTCTGGACTGCAAACGGCGGCATACAAAACCCAAGGGAGCGCAGCCTGAGCCCCAAACAGGTGTCCAGCATCGCTCAGCGTTGACTGGACCAAGACCTGGCTGGGGCCCGGGGACTCCGGTTGTCAAGCGGAGCTCTTGCTTCGCCTTAGTGGAGATGTCTATCTTCCAGGTTTCTGCCAAGGTCCCATTGTTCATGTTGCCTAAATAACTGACGGGTCTGGAAGCTTCAGGCACCTCAAGGGCCCGGAGAAACGCCGCTCGCAGGGATCGCTGTGTCCTTTTGCAAGGGTCTTCCAAGCGGCTAGCTCTGACGGGGATTGCCCGTCGCAAAACTTGTTTGTTTTTCCTTTCTCTTCGGCAGCGGTGAGCTCGCTTTCCCCCAAACAAGTTAGCGCAGAAAAACCCCCGCTGCATAGCATCGCATACCATGCCCCCCCGCAAAGGCGCAGTTGAACCCTCCTCTCCCGCGCCTCCATTGCCAAATGTCGAGGAACTGGGCCCTGCATGGAGGATGTGTCCAGAAGCCGAGTTGCGGTAAAGCTTCGAAGCCCCCCCCCCCCCCATTTTTTTGGGGGTAAGCAAGCCTCCACGCCCCTTGAAAGGAGCTTCTTCGATCGTCCCAAGGTGCAAAAAATCACCGCCCAACACGAATGCCTCGCCATGCCAGGCCTCAGAGCTTTTGCTTTCAGGCATGTCCTGCCGGCATTCAAAGGCCAACCCGCCGGATGGCTTTTGACGAACGGCTGAAGCCAAAGGTCATTGGACCCTCTGTTCAAGAACGGAGGTGAACAAACCTCTTCAAAACACGACTGCTTGGAATTCAAAACTCCCCTGAGCTCTGCCAGTCTCTATGAGTGGAGCGCAGCAGCCGTTCTAGGAACTTTGGTGCCTCCCTGCAAACTTGAAAAACTGATCTAGACCTTGTCTGCTGTAGTTTTTATTGCCAGCCTGGGGGCGATGGTGACACATGGCAGTTTTTGCTTGATTCATTTGCAGCTTTGAAGCAAGCTTTCCCTCGCGCTGACTTTATCTTGACAGGGGATGGCAATGTCCATTTCAGCTTCTTGGTTGATCACCCACCAACATGCAGATGCATACATTGTTGCCAATCAGCGCAAGATGCGCGAATAGAGGAACTTGTCAAACTGGCGGGTCTACGCGTGATCAACGCCAACGTGCCTACGCATGTGTCAGGTACCGCCATCGATTTGATCCTCGCCTCAGGGACGCTGAACTTGCCATTCTTCAAAGTTGATGAACTTGTGGGAAGCTCCGACCACCATCTTGTGTACGCTAAGGTCGCGTTTGATCGGGAGAGTGCAAACAGAAGCAACTTGGGGAGAATTGCGTGGCTCTCAGGTGGGATCTGGGATGTGGCCTTGCAGGAGATCGCTGTTCCTTTGGGCGCCCTGGCTGAAGCCATTGAGGCGGTGCTGAGACTAACGGGAAGAGACGGGGCAGTGCCTACCATCTTGCGCGGTAAAAAGCTCAGACGCAACACTTTGGACACAGCAGCGTGGTCCAGGGATGTGCTAGTGGTTTGGGCAGGCCACTGCGCAGAAGCAGTCAAAGTCAAGGCAACGCGGAAACCACAAGGTCCCAGAAGCTTGAATCCGGCCAGCTTTGCTTGTGACCGAGATTTCCGTGAGGCAATCCGAGAGGCTGTCAACGAGGAGCAGAGCAGAGCGGTTCGCCAATACACCCAACTGGGGCAGCTGAGAGGTTTCTATCCAACTTTCTGAACAGGGAGCACTTTGAAGTCAATTTGATTGATGAAGTAACGGGCGCTGCCTTGACCGATGAAAACATGCTGGAAGCCTTGATGGAAGACATGATCGGCAGGGCGCACAACAATTTTGAGCATGACGCCGTGTTTTTACAAGGTGTCCAACATGAGGTTGGTGACTTCAGACGAAAATGCATGATCCAAGGGCATGATGCGAACTCTCAGGACCTCTACACGCACGCTGAGCTTGAGGAAGTCCTCCAGAAATGTTCGGCTTCCAAAAAATGCCTGAAGGGTTGTTTCTCTCTGATTAAGTCACCAAACCAGGCCAGCCGGCAAGTCACGCTGGCTTTGGCCAACCCCAGCAGGCGCTTCGGCCTCACTTCTTCTTTATGGTCACTAAGGCAGTTTTCGCACATCAGGAAGTCTGATAGTCGCAATGTGCGACATATCAAGTGCCTTCGCCCAGTGAGTTTGGTTTCTGATATGGCACACGTGGTTGACGGGCTATGGATAGGCCGAAACAGACTTTTACTGGAGCACATGGCAGGACCGGGGCAGGTGGGTGGAGTTTCCAGTCCGCAGTTCTTGGTCTTAGCCTTGGTCTTGCTGACTGAACTGCGGTCTTTCCAAGGGCTGCCTCTGTATTTTGCGATTCTGGACCTACGCTGGGCTTTCGATGTTGCCTTGTTGCCTTGCATGAAGCTTGCCTGCGCACAGGCAGGTGTTGCTGGGGCGGACTGGCTGTTGCTGGATGATGTCATGGACATGGACACGCAGTGCGTACAACTACATGGCTTACTGTCAGAGGTCTTCACACTGGGGTGCGGCATTGCACAAGGGAGGCGTTTTAGTGTACATGTCTTCAACTGGCTTCTAAGTTGGCTTAAGGTTGAAATTGACAAAGCTTTGCCTCGTGGGGTGAGAGCCTGGATGCCACCGCAGATAGCAAGAGCTTTGGCTCACCATGGGTTACTTGACACACCTGCAGATCTTGTTTCCTGCCCCTCACCAGTGAGCTTGAAGCAGGTCACTTGCTACTTGCAAACACACTTGTCGCAGCAGGTCTTTGACAAGGCTTTGAGAGAAGCACTCTCCAATCTGCCATCATTTGCGGACAGGTGCGCCCTGCTTGACTCCTTGGGCCCTCATCGAATTGGGCCACTGCAATACGTGGACGACATCACAATACCTTGCCCCTCGCCCCGAGCTTTGCGGGCTATTGTGGGAAGGCACAAGGGCTCTGCTTGCAGTGCCTACGCTAGGAGGACCAAATCTAATTTCCATTACGGCGCAAACAAGACATGCGCGCTAGCCATGATGGGTAGCCCGGAGCTGGACCAGGACACCCTTGACTGCCAGGTAGTGGACCAGAAGAGCATCTTGGGCGTGTTGGTTGATTCTCAGCTCACTTTTGCGCCGTTGCTTCTACAAACAATTTCAAAGGCGTGGAACCTGTTCGAGGCTATGTATCACACTGCAGAGGCCGCAGGTTTCTCGGCCCCAGTTGTGGCCGCGCAAGTCATCACGCGTATTCACCCTGTTGTCCTCTTTCCAGCGCCCTTCCTGGCAGTTGCCCCATCTGTTCTCCGCAAGCTGGATTTTTTGCAGTGGAGGATGGCCAAGACCATCTTGGGGTGTCGCTACCAGAAGGGGCTCAGACATCACGTAGCGGTGGCGCAGTGTGGCTGGAACTTGCACCTTGGCACTTGCCTACTCTTGGAAGTAGCTATGTACCAAGCGCGGATGCACTTCTTGCCCGCTGAGCACCCTACTGTCGTCTTGAGCTCTCTGATTGAAACTTTGCCTTGTGTGTCTTGGTTCTCCAAGGTTTGTGACTTGTTCCAACAAGCTGACCTTCATGAGTCCGTACCGGCGATCAGGTCTTGCGGGCTTTTTACAGGCGACCAGATAGAGCTGGCGCGGAGGGAGCCCAGACTCAGAAAGAAGTTGCTTTCCCGCTACCGCCGAGAAATCCTTCCTCTATTTTTGGAACACGACCGTCGGCAACTCTACCAGCAATTGAACGAACCCATGCAGGGGCTGGGTGGAGTCACGCTGGGGCAGTTGCAGTTTCAATCAATGGCTTGGGTATGGGAGGACCTAGGCATTGACCTTAGTGACGTGGATATCACGTGGTTCAATTTTCGGGCCAGTATTGTCCGCGTCACGGGAAGATGGCCTCTGCCTTTGGACGACAGCTGCCAAGGTTGTTTAACTGTCCGTCTTGCGCCGCAGGTGCAGTCCCAGTCAGCCATGTGTTTTGCGCTTGCGTGAGCACTGCTGGTTTGACTAGACAACTCTGCTCTCTCCCCCCGGGCATGCCTCCACGGCAAAGCGAGGGCAGCTTTCTCGCACACATTTTCAGAACACAGGACACACCGCAGATGCTGGCACTGATGATGTGGTTTGTGGGCGGCTGCCTGAAGCTAGTTCTACAGAAATGAAGAGGCGCAGCGTTGGTGCGGCATAGTTGTTGCCAGGGAAAAAAGAGGAGGAGGGTTCATTACGCGCCTTGGACGGGATTTGGCAATGTCAGCTGGGGAGGGTCTTGCACGCTGAGCAACCAGTGGCCAGTGAAAGACCTGGGTCATGTTGCTGCCAGCGTCGCTTGGCGCAGCCCGCATTCTGGACAATAGGCGGATAGCCGTGTCCGTTTTACGGGCTCGCTGGGCGCCAACCATTGGGGTGCATTATTGGCGCACCGCTTGGTTGTGATGGCCATACAGATACAGATACAGATACAGATCAGAACAGGACATCCATGTTGCGGAAAAGCACATCCCTACTCGACGGCAGCAGCCGGCAGGAACAGGAGTCAGGTCGGAAACCAACTGCCGCCCCTACCCAGGAAAGTTTCACGGAACCTTATTCAGGGTTCTTTTGGTCGGGTTCCCAGAACCTTGATATTGGGGGTTGGGGCAGTAGGGAGTCCTGTCTCTCCTGAGCATTTGCGTCCAGCCACGGCCCCCATAGCAAACAATTCTGATGGAAGGCCTGGCTACGGCTTTGTACGGCATTGCTCCTCGGTCAAAAACTGCAGCAGCACGCAAAACAGGCCATGCCTCAGCAACCGCGAGCTTGACATAGGCCAAGAAATGGGCAAAGCTGCCAGAAGCTTCAAGAGATTGGCAAGGTTGGGCGCACAAGTGGCTGATTTCAGGAATCAATCAGTGGATCCACTGGATTTGGGTTCAGGCTGCTGCGGAATATCCACTTGTTTTCAGGCACACCAAAGACATGGAATCAGAAGCTTTAAGGTCACATAAGGTCGAATACCAAGATTCGACGCGGGGCCCCGGCTGCACCATCTTGTCGTAAAGCAACTTGCGCTCACCTAGCGCTTGAGTGGCAAACGCAGGAAGTCAGGGAAAACCAGGGTTCCCCACACTTCCTCGTTAAACATCACCAACAAAACTCACTTTGAATTGGCCGCGGCCCAAAAGGTGATTTTCAAAAAAAATCCAAAAGGCGAAATTGAACGGCTCTGAATCAGGTCCGTCAAACATTCCTCAGCTTCAAGCCATGTATTACCATGCAATCGATCTTTTTGGAAAGTGCCCATTTTCCACGAGAAGACAACAAAGCAGTTCTTCATTTTGTAAAAATTCGGTATCCCCTCGTGAATCCACAATCCCCCCATTTACCACATGATTGTGTCCCCCACACCGCAAAGGGGGCCTGAAAGTTCATGAATGTGGCGTCCCCCTTTCGCCATTTCAGGCCTGGTGGCATGGTCTTGGCCAGGCGGCAGGCATCCTGGTGCTTTGGTCAGGAAGTGCACCCCGATTTCTCGGAGAAGCTGCTACGTGCGGATCTGTTTGCGGGATTGTTGATATTAGCAAATCCGGAAATCGGTTTGGATGTGGCGTTGGTGGTTCCACCCCTGTAGAAGGTTAAAAGAGTACTAAAAGATTACACAGGGGGAAGAACAGGTGAAATCCACAAAAGGCGCATCCAAAACGGCTTCTAGATCAAAGGACATGTCCGGCCGACATATTTCTAGACATGGAAGTGCGCAGACTTGCTGTCCACAGGGACTTGAATAAACTGCGCATGTAGGTTGGCATCCCTTACTTTAAAGAGAGTATCTAGTTGGGGCATGGACGCTCGCGGAAAGCTTTCAACAACAAATATACATATTCAGTTATTTAGTTATGTATTTATCTACATATACCTCATTGTAGTATATAAATCTAGCTATATATCTACATTTGATTCCCAAGGACTCAAGAACAGCGAAAGCAATGAGGCAGTATCAGGCTCCACTGCATGACTCAAATTGAGTTGACCCTTTGGCCTGGAACCTGTGCCTCCCCCACATCCAATGAATCAAACTGGGGTTGGGATCTTCCACAAAGCCTGCCCACTGGACACCTGCGGGCGGCGACCGCGTGGACCCCTTCCCCCCCTCCTGCAAGAAGAGCAAGCTTTGCAGGTCCTGAGCACGCGGAAGCTCAATGAAAAGGCGCACACACAAACCCACTTGCAGACTTCTTGGTTGCTGTTGACCCCCCAGCAAGCAGTTTAACTTGATGGGGGTTTAGTGGAAAACACCTTTATTTCCCAAAAAGTTAAAGTCTAAAGATCCAACCCAATAGCAGTCAAGACTTGCCCAGTGGGAAGAAAAGGGATTCCTTCTTGGGGTTCACTTAGCCGACCTGAGAACTGGCACCTCATGAGACAAGGGTCGCTCTGGGGCTCTGGCCGCAAAGCGGCACTGCCGCGCAACTTTCTTCAAACATTTGCCCCTCCCCGTCCTCAAGCCCCGCATCACGTGCGCTTGCGATCTTCAAGGCCTATATACACACACCGTTTTCCTGAGTAAATTAGGCAAGGGGAATTGGAATGGGCATCTTGATGTGTGTCTGTTTTCAGGATGTTTTTGGGGGTGTTTTTAGAGGAACCCAAAAGGAATCTGCCCACTTTGAACCATTTTCCGCATTTTGGCGCCCCCCCCCGTTCCCCAAAGTCACCGTCCTTCTGCCTGAGACCATCGAAGAGCTGCCTCACGAGGGCATCACTCCTCAGCCACGCTTGACGCGCGCCATGCGCATCCGGGGCGTTGCGCCAGGTAGATTTTGGTTTCGCGGGGCTGTGGCTATTCTCACTTGCCCAGTTCGGACCTGGCAATAAAAGGTGTCACCTCTTGGGACCACTGAAACTAGACTAAGGGAAAACGTCACAAGGTCGGCTTTGAACAACTGAGTACTTCTTCAGGGTTTGGCATTTCCTGGCGAGAAGAAGGACCAGGGTGGACCAGGGGTGGAAAGAGGGGCCTCAGGTTGGCTCCAACCTCTTCGGCTTTCAGCAGATGGACGCAGATCCGAAACCGAAGCATTTGGCGAGGCAAGCGGATGACGAGCTGCGCTTGGCTTTCCGAGGCCTTGGCTTCTGCAGGTGATTCAAAAGGATGGTGTTGTTCATCATCACCTCAGTCAAAGCCCAAAGAGGCCCATTCCAAAATCAAGTCTGGGCTGAAGAGCCTCAAGCTTGTGCACGCAAATGTCATGCACCCCCGTGATTCTGGACTCCAAAGATGAGCGAACATGGTCGAACGCCACGCAGGCTTTTCTCTGGATATTGCAATTTTGCCTATAGAACAAAATAGTGGATGTACTCGCCGCCAGGACGTTGAACAACTAAACAAACAAGTGGGAAACATGGAAAGTTGTGCGAGCTCAACCAAAGGAGGGCATCGGGGCTGAGGCAAAACGGCCGAAGCGCAAAGATCAAGTTGACCAAACATGATAAACGCATGAGTGGAGAAAATGATGCCTCGGACTGAGATGAATCCAAGAAGCCTCGTTTTCACCAGGTCCCTTGGGAGTGAGTGCACCCCTTTGTGCTCGCCCGGTGACCCCTTGGCTCGTTGGCTCCCATCCCCCGCGGCCCTGGGCCCCGGTGCGAGCTGCGACAAGGACGCGAAGGCGGCATCGTCCAAGGCCCGCGCCAACCTGGGATCCCAAGTCAGACTTAGTCATCCATTTCGCACCGAAACTTTGAAACATGTCCTTCCATTTGGTTAACGCCTATGTCCAATAGTGATGAATTCCCCTTGAAACCAACAAGGGAAAATAAAAAAGTGTTAAGCAAATGGAGGTGTTGTTTCCTGCTGGGTCCCCTCAAAAGCCGCCGAAAAGGTACCCTCAACGAACAAAGACCCCCAAGTGCTATCCAAACAGCAGTCGTTGGGGTGCTGGTGCAAGTAGTCCTTCGACTACTCAAGGGTTCTGCGGTGGTTGCGCGTCGCCCCATTTTCCTTTGGTAGAACGCCAGGGTTGGACCAATTCCTAGCATAAACAAGCTCATCTTGTTTTTCTTTGCAGAGACCAGGGTCTGGTTGTTTCAGGCAACCGCTGCGTAATTGGTGGTTTGGCCTCCACGTCGTAATTTGGCTACGTGGTATCTGCGGGTTTAGCCAAGGAACGCGACTTACCTTGCTCAGTTGCTGTCGAAACTCATGGCGACCCGATGCGAGCAACGGTTTCGGGAACGCGCCACTGTTTGCTAAAGTGCATGCGCTGTTTCTTCGACTCGACCCATGCGGCATCGAATCTGAGCACTCGGCACGTGATCCTTCAAATACTGCCTCGGCAAGCCCGGCACGGGCCCGCGGTCCAAACCCGCAAGGCTTCCCTGAATGCAGGCTGGCAACTCACTCATGAATACTCATGAAATACAACACAAATCTCCCCTTTGTTGCCAAGCGAATGGGGGCCAGTCTCATGAGCCTCATGGCCGGTCTGAAAGATGCTGAGCTCAGTGCAAGCGGTAGTTCAAGTGAATTCTTTCCAACCTCGGCCAATCAAAGCCAAAACAAGTCTGACAAAACGCACCACCAAAGCACAATAAGCAAATTGCAGTTTGCCCGGCCTTGGCCACTCGAGCAAGTCTTCTACATTCCTTGCTTCGTCGGCCTTGTTGTTTCGTCGTCAATGCTTGTTTTGTTTCGTCGTGGTTGCTGGCGTTCGAAACCTATTTCCTTTGCTAGGCAACCCTAGGGCACTCGCCAATGCACAATGCGCCAAGCAACGCCCATACTATGCACTAATTTCACGAGAAGCCATTCAGTTCTCCTGTCTTGGTTGGTCAGTGCCCCAACAGGAAACTCATTTCAAATTGAAGGTGATTCAAACTTAAACATCATAAACACCAAAGAGGGGAACCACAAGGGCCCCCAGCAACATTTGTCGCGCAAAAAAAAGCGGTATCCCCGACGGGGGCCAGGCATCTCAGCGTCTTGGAATGCCAGGACCTGCTTGAATCGCACGGCGACCTTGCAGATAGCCAGAAACGGAGACGGGACTTGGTTATATTTGGCACCGCCTCAGGCCTCAGGACCCCTCAAGATCAGCAGGCCAGCCAGTTGGTCACCCAAAGGAACACATACTTTTCAGCAAGACACTGAGCTTCAAGAAACAAACAGCTTGGCTTGCCGGCGCATGCTTGCACGGGCAAATATGGCCTTGATCGGGCATCTTCCCTCAATGATTCGGAAGGGGCCGGGCTGCTGATACCAGGTGTTCAGTCAGTCACGCCTTCAGGATCTGTCGGTGGCAAACCCGCTTCTCAGCCGACACACCTTGGCACCGCATGGTGCGAGGCAGCTCTAAACGCCTGCTGGCCAACTCGCGGATCATTATGCATTATTCTAATTAGGTTGGACACAACTCTTTGGTGGACATGAACCCCCATATGAATGTGGTACCAACCATGTTTGAGGTTGCCGATTGAAAGTCGCCACTTGAATGCGTGACTTGTGATTGCGCAAGGTTCTTGCGAAACCGCCGCGGGCTGGCACCGGCGGGATGGGCTTCATTTTGTCCACTGCGGTTGTTCTTTTGCCACGGGTGCTTCCCTGTGCTCTCTGAAAAGAAACCGACGAATTCCCATGAAGCAAATCCGTGTGTAGCTTCCCACTTCCCCACTCAAAAGTCGTTTTTCCGCTAGGGGGCAAACGCCCCTCACTCAAGAGCCCGACCCTCGTCGTACTCAAGCATGCCCATGGTGTCCTCGAACATGTCGTGCCTGCCCGGATAATATCCATCCCAATGAACGCAACAGGAGCCAGTCACCCCCCCCCCCCAGACCCCCCCCCCCCCAGGCCCCTCCCCTCGCCCCCCCCCCCCCCCGGAAATTTCGTCCCCCCAGGACTTCACAGCCTCGGCCAAGTCGGAGATCCTTTTCAACTGGAAAAACCAACTCCTCTTGGGCCTTGGACAGGTTCTGACCCATCGGCCTCAGGTACCGCTGCGTCAGGGCCTGGTTCGCCAGCATGAAGACCTGCAAGGCTCAGCCGGAGTCGCAGATCCGGTGGAACACGGATGGCCCGTGGAACTGTGGTCCCGGCTCCCTTGGCAATGCGCCAGAGCAACACCAAATCCTCAGAGCCACAAAATACTGAACTCTGGCCGTATCGTCCGCCCGGAAGAAAGAAGAAAGGGATCCCAAAAGGTAAGGGTCCTCATCACATTTCATCATGCCACCTGTGAGGTCGCTTCCCTCTGCGGTAGCTTGAAGTCATAGGAGCGCCAAGCGGTGTCTAAGAGCGATCTGAGGGCCCTGCTTGCTCATTGCCACTGTCTTCTGCTGTGTGAAAGGCCTGTCCGGCGGCCGTGAAACAGTTTGGAAACCCTGTACAGGTACGCCTCCCCCCTCGTAACTTCTGCAATTGCGCGCGATGGGGGGCCCATGACCGGCTCTTGCCCAACAAATATCCCCCAAAAACAAATGACTTTTACCTTCATCCCTCCCCAACCCCACCTCCCTTCCCACCCCCCAACCCCCAACCCCCCACCTCCACCCCCCACCTGCACCTCCCACCCCTCCCCCCCCCCCCCTCCCAAACCGCGGCCTGGCGCAGGGCGGCCACGAAGTGGGGCTCCAGGCACTCCTTGGCGATCTGCTCCCGGAAGCCCGGGGGCACCTCAGGCGGGAGATTTCTTCCGATTTCCACCTGGAAGTCTGGGATTGAGGCGAAGAAATGGCGGGTTTTTGGCTGGTGTGGAACTGGAAGAAACACTCGGACCCCAAAAAAGTGGGCGAGTAACTGCGGTTCTAGTCGAAAAAGGGCACCTCTAACCAAGTGAGTGGGTTGTACACGTGGGCAACGGCATCTCAATGGCCCAAAGAGGCGAACCGCTCGTGACTCATGGGACTGGTTCTGAGGGCCTTCCAGGCCGCCCAACAGGTTTCACTTGGGTTGGGCTTTTGGGCTGTTGTCCCTTGCCCCCGAGGCTTCGCCAAAATCAATCAACTGGGAACCACCCTTGGCAACACGTAACATAGAAGGGGCCACTTCCCCCTTGCCTTGGATCGGCGGTTTGTTTGCAGGTTTGGGGATATCTTCCCATTTGCATCACTTCCTGAGTGGCAAAGTTGTGACTTGATGTTTGCCACTAAGAATCATCTTTCCGAAAAGGTTTTAAAAATTAAAGTCCGGAAAGTGAAATTGGGGGGGGGGGGGGAAAATCACGAGCCGACCAAAAGAAACTCCTGGGAAGGGACCACATCAAGAGCTCTGGGCTTCCCTCGTCCAATGGAGACTCCTTCCGGGCCACCCGGGCGAAGCCCAAGCTCTTAGCCAGCTCTGGAAGGTCTGAGCTCGGGGTGGCGTTGGAGGGTGGAGGTGAGCCCACACATCGCCAAGAGCATCCTCATACGGTGGATGGAAGGACTCCTGGAGTTTGAGATGGATGAAACCCTATGAATCTTGGGAGAAGCCATCAACTGCAGGAACTTGTCAAAGGTGCAACGCGCAGTTCGGACTCTCATTTTCCGTACGGACCCATGGAAGCCGCTGAGTTGCGACCTGTTGGCAGCCCGCTTGGGAGGGCAGCTTCTGGAGCTAGTGCCATGTTTCCAACTGCCCGGAGCTAGTTGCTCAGGGCACAGACTCCTCCCCTGGCAGGCTATTTGAATGATTTCCTCTTGGCTGCGCGATTGTTGTCCGCAGTCTGTGTCCGCACGAATCCGCATTGTCCAGCCGGGCCAGTGGCGGCGAGCATCAAAGCAAGCAAGCTAGACAGGCAGGCAAAGCAGGCAGGCAAGCAAAGCAGGCAGGCAAGCAAAGCAGGCAAGCAAAGCAGGCAAGCAAAGCAGGCAAGCAAGCCAGCATGCAAGCATGCAACCCTATGCCACCCTAAACCAAACGGGCCAGTTAGTGGCAGTTAGTGGCGGGCCTTTGACACAGGGAGTTGTTTCCCTTAAACTGAAAGTTATCGTGGGAAGGCAGATGCTAAATCAACCGCGATCGGCTTTTGAGGTGTTCCCCATTCAACAAGAATGGGCAAAGCGGCCAAATGTCAAGGCAACAGGCTTCCGTTTGATTCGGAAGAGTCGTTTAACATTAGGGGTCCAAGACAAAGCTGGTGGCCAAAAGAGGTTCACCAGCTTTGTTTTGTTCCTGTCGGTAGGTTATTTGCATTTCTGTGGTGCCCAATTCAAGTCACTTGGTTTCCTGTGAATGGCACTGAGGGAGTACATGGCTCATGGGGTCATGTTTCCAACATGGAATTGGACCTTGTTGAGTTGACAGCTGCACGCCACGCCAACGTTTTGTTCGCTGCACGTCACGCGCCCCTCTCTACCCCAAATCGAGGCTGGGCCCGCGGCTTTCCACCTCAGGGCACGGCAGCGCTCGCTTGGCCTGACAGGATCGACGCACGTGTGGTCCAGACGTTGCGGGTGTCAAATTGGGGGTGCCCTAAGATGCCCTAAGCACAACATGCATCCCCTGACATTTCCTTGATGTTCCATTCTGCTGCTTCTTTGGCACCCGCAGAATCGCGCACCGAACTCTGCTCAGCCTTCAGCGAGCGCCGCCTTTTCCTTTTTGGGCATACAGAGTTCAATTGCTTCGGCCCCCTGCTTTGCGCTGAAGCCACACTCGCCCACCCGAGTCTGCAAATCGCAAAAACAACCTCCCGGGGCCGGACTCCGAGTGTTCTGCACTCAGTCGGAAATTGCCACTCAACCCGCAAAGAGTGGCAGGAATAAAACATACAAATAGACAGCCGCGGCATCCGCACGTCATTTGCGTGCATTTCCCAGGTCCTGTTTAGCCCAGGGTCTTTGAAACATGAACTATTTTGGATACATTGATCTTCATAGATGTGTTTTCAGCATACTTTAGCGGCCGTCGCACCCGCAGCGCCCGAGCACCGAGCAAAAAACACCCTCTCCCTACTGAGTTCAGACGACTCAGATGACCCGGAGCAGCTTCTCGCCTTACGTGCTCAGTACCAGCTGAATGTATGAGCCAAAAATAAGCCTGCTATGACCCAGTACTTTGCCACATGAAGAACACAATAGATATGGCCTTTTTTCCTAAGGCGGCCACCAAGATTGGGGGGTCCCATTTTTCGGGCATATCCAACGCGGATGAATGGCAATTTGGGATTATTTTGTAAACACTATTTACATGGGGATTTATGTTCACCCGGCAAAAAAGATGGGTCCATGCAAGCAACATCCTCGAGAATACTCTCGAAATTGCACCCCACGTTGACTTTTGGAAACGCGATATGGCCCCAACAAAAACGTTGAAACACAACATGTCGAGCCGCCGTCCAGGCGGAAGTTCTGCAGGAACCGGGGGGTCTGCATGAAGCTTGTGGCGTCCTCAAGCAACAAATCGGCCGGCTTGGGAGAGAAAACGAATGGCTCGCAAGGGAAGGAAGGTTTCGTAAGCCCAGGTTTCCAGTTGATTTCCGGAGGAAATCTGGAAAACACATGCCTTGTTCTGCAGGGATTAGTTTTTTGAAGGGAAACTACCGGAAAAATGAAAACCAGGTCACCACTGGAGGTCTGGGTTAACGGAAGGAATCCCCGCAACCAAATTGCAACTGCTTCCTTTAAGGGTTGCGGGGCACGGGGCGCAATCACCATCAGTTGAGCCCCTAGACTGATCCAGGGCTCAAGACTTGCGCCCCCCCGCGACGACCTCCCCCAAACACATTGGTGCGGGACCAAAGGGTGCTTGCTTATTCAAGTGTAATACATGCTCAATGTTAGCACCAGATTAGTAATGGGATAGTCAATAGTGCAAAGTTTTTCCTTATTGCGGTTCACCCCCATTGTTGATGGGGACCAGATGGACTGAACGTTTTTTTTGCCCGGGGAGGAAAGTCCAAAACATCCACAAATCCAAAAATATGCATCAAGTGTTTCTTTAAAAAAAACTAGTACACAGTGTTTAAAAAATGAAAAAACAAACAATCAGGACAAGGGTACCCCCCACAGACCCCACTGAACCACAATCATGGCATTCTTTAGGGAACCACATTAGTTGCAAGCCTCCAGCCCCCTCCAGAAAATAAACTGTCAGTTGCTTTACTCAAAAGCATTCCCCTGTTAATTGGTGGCCCACTTACTTAAAAGCATTCCCCTTTCAATTGGTCGCCCACTCGCTTAAAAGCATTCCCCTTTCAATTGGTCGCCCACTTGCTTAAAAGCATTCCCCTTTCAATTGGTTTCTTTCTAGCTACTAACGTAATTAGTATTCCAAAAAGCATGCTCAGGAAGAAGTGGTTTGCAATACTAAAGTAGAATTCCAAAAAGAAAGTGGCTGCAATACTAAAGTAGAATTGGGCCCCAAAATCCTCCATTGTTTGGACAGCCCAAAAGTGAGCCTACAGAATTCTAGTGCCTCCATTGTTGAGGGGGGGGCCTTTATTAATCAAGTTCCAACATTATTAAGCGTGTACTACGCCTTTACTGGCTTACAAAAAGTGTTTATAGCCCCAAATAAGGAATTTGCCCACCACGAGTCAACTACCCGCTGTTTGTGCATTGGCTTCCCAGCACGTAAACTTGCACATTACTTTTTCTGCTGGACCGTTGCAACCCCACACGTTGTTGCTTTTGGGGCGCTAAACCGCCAAACGTACTTACTAAACACGCCAAGCGCATTAAAAAAAGAAAAAAAGAAGAAAAAAAAAGAAACACATCCCAACAACAAAAACAACGCCCTCAACTACAAAAAGCGGAGCAAAAACGGTGTGTAGTTTGAGTCGAGTTGTTTGAGGCAGTCAACTTGGCAAGTTGCCTGAGGCAAGCCAACACAGAGTCAAATAAGACGTTGTTTCTGTGGGCGGGGGGGGGAGGAAGTCAGGGGTGCACTTCGGACCCCCATGACTTCCGGATCCACGTTTGCAATAATTCAATCGGCAAAACCAACTGGTGGGACCTGGGAATCCGCTCGATTCTGCGAAAGCTCCAGACACTTCACGCCTAGGATGAGCGGAGCAACTGAAACTCAATGAGCTTTGTCGATCGAAGCCTAAGTCTTAATCCAGGGAACCAGAAAAAGGGGGGGGGTAGGCGCCCAACACAGTTGGTTTCCATGTTTGAGGGTTACATCCTGGGCCGCTAACAGTGGATGAGAACAGTGGATGATGAATATCTATATTTAGTACGCAAGCTGTTCAAAGCATCGAACGGCGGAAACAACAATAACGGGGTCACTACATTTCCCAGAAAGACTGCACCAGTCAGGGAAAACCTCCAAATGGTAATGAAGCTGCAAGGATCGACCCCGCTACGGTTGGGGAAAACGTATGCACCAACCTCAGGAGCGGTTGGCCCAGCCATTTGCAACACGATAATAGTTTGTCAGCAAAAACGTACACCCATACTTCTGCGCCAAAGAACAGGCTCCTGACGCAGACTGGCCAACTTGCTCATTCCATCTGCACATGCTACAACAAAATTGGATCGACCTGTCATGAGTTTTCGCTCGTTTCACCACCGGGTCGGAATCGCTGGCCGAATCGGCGGATTCCGTTTCAGACCCGTCCTGCAAGCTGAGATCCGCGTTCTCGATCTCCCGCAGCACCTCCGACATCTCAATGAAGACCTCCGGAAGGTTTGAAGGGAAACCAATCGGAAACCAGGCAGTTGGGTTCAAAAGGAAACTATATAAAGGAAGCACTCATTTGGGGGTTCCCCCAAATTGATGGCTTCACCCACATAAACAGAGGTGCACAGTTGCCAATTGTTGAAACCAGTTTCCTCTTGGAAAAGGCCCTTTCAACTGGAGACCTCAGGGTGGCCGACTGCCCAGCCCCATTTCATTTCCAAAGCCATGTCTAACGAATGTCGCGACCCGTTTTCCACAGGCTGCCTACTGGTCGCATCACTGATCCGTGGGTCAAGCCACAACTGTGGCAGGGGGCAGTGGCAAGCCTGATCGTCGTCGACCCTAGATCAGTGGATCAATCCCATCCGCCTCATCAGAGGTTCCCATGAAGGAAAGGAATCCCGCTTTGAAAGGGACTTTCTGGATTAGCGCTTCACATGGGGTATGTCGGCCTTCGTTTGAAGGGACACCAGGCGGAAACTACCGGTGGTTCCCCTATTGCGAGACCAGCCTTCTTACAAGGCGCCCCAACTCAATGCGTTAACACAAAACCGCACTCAGTGCAAGATCATCCTAGAGGTTTGAGGGAAGGAATGCGCGTCCCTGACTTTGAGACCCGCTACGAGAAGAACCGAACTCATCGAGGTTGCCTCAAAATTGGCCACGGTCATGCACGGGCGGCTCCTCCTGGCCTCTCAATCTTGCCATTTCAAGATATTTCAAGGAAGTTGAGGTGATGCTAATAAACCTTGACATGAAAAGAATTTACCCAGCCGAAAAGAGTACCAATCAATGAACAGGCTTGGCTTTGTGGCGCCTATTTCTATCTGAGACCTGCCCCCGATCGCGCTTCGCCTCTTCGGCAGCCACGTCCCTGCCCGGGCGGCTCAGCTGCATTTCAATGGCCTTCTCCTGGCAGCCAGTCACGCCATTTTTAGGTAGTTCTGCACGTAAGGTGTTGGCTTTCGATGAAGTCATTCCGTGGGGCTCGGATATGGAACGAACCCGGACCCCCCGACCAACTTAGTGGGCTTGATCAAGGGTTGGCTTTATTTGTCAAATCTGCAGACATCTTAAAGGGACACCAGTCGGGAACGCTCATCGAGTTGTGTTTTCTTGCCTTTTTCTTCGTTCTTTTGGGATGCAATGGGAAATCAGCGGGTGCTATAAGCAGGATCGCCCTTTTCGGCTGGTTCCTTACTCGTACTTTAGACCTTCGGCGACGCCCATGCATCAACACGAAATGAATTCTTTGGGGGTGGGTTCTTCCAGGGAATCAACGTGAAACTGATGATTTGGCGTGTCTTGGTGACACATTCCCTCGTGGAGTGGCCCTTTGCAAAGGGTGCAAAATGAATTTTGGACATGGGGTGTCAAAATACCCCCCCCCCCCCAGAAAACATGAAGAAGCAACAAACTCAAATCGGGGGGTTGCCCTTTTTGCTTCCCTTTCAACCAACTTCAGAAAGGGGTACCCAAAAAAAAGCGCGCACGTATTTGTCGTCATCTTCTTGCCACGGTCGAACTGCCATATGTCGCTTCTTTAAAACATGGCCCTAACATAGTTGAAGGGTGGGTTCACCTGCTTTACGAAGGTTTCGGGTTGGTTTTAACGAAGTGTTTGGTTTGGTTGAGGTTGGGACGTGTGGTTTGGGGTTGGTTCACGGTGGGTTGGCTGGCCTAATTGAACCTAGTGGATCCTCAATTACCCTAGCTAGTAGGTAAACAGAAAGTGTCCTGCTGGTTTTGAAAGGTCCTCAGGTGGTTCAAGGTGGTTCCATTGGTTACCTGCCATACAGGTATACAATGGATTCGTTGGGGAAGGCGGGCCCCACGAACTATTAAAGGGTAGGGCCGACTCGAAGTGGGCCGTGTTTGGCAAACAGAACTAGCGATGAGGGATGCACCTAACGTTGGGCTCAGGTACTTATCTGCACACTCAACAGGTACCACAAAGGGTGTTATTTCATTTTGACCCCGTGAAGGAGTGTGTAACAACTCATCCCGCTTGAAAGGCCAGAAAAACCCTCGGTTTCGCTCCGTTTCCTTTGAATTGGCTCGGGTAGGCAGGTGGGAAGCGGCTTCCCGCCAGGATCTGTTGGACTCTCTGGCGCCGATCCAACACAGGACATTTCTCCCAGAAATTCAACGAAGCATGGATGGATCTTACCCATTTAAAGTTTGAGATGAAACAAAAGACAATGCGTCCCACAAAAACATTGGGGGGGTCCAAATTTATTTTCCCTTTCAAGGCACCATTTTTTTCTGCAACAGGGAGTGACCAAAAACACAAAAAGCCGCCCTGCGAACCCTTCCGCGAGGGCCTTGAAGAGCTTCTCCATCAGCGCCATAAACTGCTCCGCCATGGGCCCGTGGGCCAAGTACCTCGTGACGCGAGAGGACTTGCAAGTGGCCCCAGGGGTCGTCGGAAGTTGGATCTTTGGCCGCTAGAATGGGATTTCATTCTAGGACAAGAGTCTGGAAACCTGGGGAAGTGCTAAAAATCCGGATGATAAGAACAAAGTACAGCCTCCACCCCCCTCTCACAGAAAAAAAGGGCAACAACCAAGCAACCGAGCTATGTATAGATATATATATATATGTGTATATATATATATATACATACAAATATGGACTTGCGACTGTGAAGGCAAACCATCCACCTGACACATTGCCTTTCCGAACTCCACCCGAACGCGTCCCGGGCTTTCTCACATGCCACCTCAAACTTGCCTACAGTAGAAGATTCCAAACACAAGGGATGGGAGCATCCCCTTGTTACCCTAGAAAGGCCTAGGGGTTTCAACAGACTTGGGGTTCTAGCTCACCTAAGTACCTCTCTGCGGCTCAGTGGTGCAGCTTCATCAGCGTCCAGGTTTGCCATAGTTGGTGTTCTTAGTGGGAAGTATAGGAGGGTTTTACAACAACACATGTGCTGTCCGCGTTCATTATTGTCCGAAAGAGGGTAGCTGTAACCAGCACTTTCCACACAAAAGAGAACCTAAGGAAGGACTACAAAACGAAAACCAGAAGTCGTGAACCCCTGACCGACGTGGGCCCAAGGCCCGCCTGCGGAACTTCTTTCGGAGCTCCTCCGCCACCTGTCACAAGCTGCGGTCCTAAGGGAAGCCCCCTATGTTCCATCCAAAGGAGATGCCTTAAAATGGTTCATGTGCTTTCCGAGTTGCGGCCAAAACTCCTCCTCGCAAAGGGAAAAAGAGCCCTGGGTCAGCCTCCGCTAAAGGACAAACCATCCAGAACGTGCGTGCTTGGACACACGCACTTTCAAATTGGCACTGATACTTTTCCCTACGGAACACGACCACGTGCTTGCAAGAGTGTTCCCCAACTCGATGAATCGCTTGATGGGGCTTGGAGGGTCCTGTGCTTTGACCTATGGTCCCGGAATCTGAACACGGAGCTCCCAAGATAGGACCCCTCCAAATGGGTTGCGAGGTTCCAGGTTCAGCGGCGGTGTAAGCTGCCCAACCACACCAAATACCATACCCCAGACCATATACATACATGTATATATATATATATGTGTGTGTGTGTGTACACACATACATAATATAATACATGTATGTAACTGTATGTATGTAAAATATTGATGAATACATATGTCGGCGATTCTTTTTTGCTTGAGACCTTCAGGCGCTCCAAAGTCTCCTGGGCACCCCCGGCAATTGCCGGGGGTGGGCTCGATTCGCGCCTGGTGCTTCTGGCTCTGGATGAACGACTCCTTAGTGCCAAACAGGGTGCGCCGAGAAAGGCAGAACAAATCTAGGCCCTTTTGGTTTCCCTTCGGGGAAATGAACAATGACAATTATGGCTATATGTAGCGCAACAGCAAACTCAACAAAGCAAAACTCGGGGCCTGGGAAATCTAAACATGCCCTGCAAATAAGCGCGACCCCTGAACACCAATCGTTTGTTGAAGAAACTCCTTTTGGGGGACCCCATTGTTGGGTTACTTTGCATGAATATATTTGGGGTTGTCTCCAAATAGGGGACCCCGAAATGAGTGGCTTTCGTATGTAAAAACGAAACACGCCTTATCTGACAGGGAGTTCTTCTTCAAAAGTTGATCAGTTTGCTGGAGGCATCCATTAAAAAATTGCCACTTTGGGAGGTCCCCAAAAGTGAAATTGCCCCCAAAATGCTGGGTTGTCCTTTTTGTGCTGTCCCTTCAAAGCCGCCAAAAACACGGGGCCCTCCAAAAACGATGCCCACTTTTGCTTGGATGCCAGCATCACGGCGATGGCGCAGTCGATGTCCCGGGTGCTCACGTGCTGGCGCAGCTCCAGGCGCGCGTTGGCCTCCGCCAGCCGCACCAAGGAGTCCATGTGCCTCGATGGCTCCGATCGGGGGCGATGGGCGATGGGCTATGGGCTGTAGGCTTTGGGCTGGGGTCATTTGGCGGCGGTCAAAACCGTTGTGGGATCCCATTTTAGTTGGTGAATTCACCATCCAAATTTTGGAACCTGTTTGAGTGGGGATTGGGATGTTCACTGGGGGTGCGGGCTTTTGACACATGGCCATTTTCTTGCTGGTGCGAAATCGGCAGGGAATGAGAAATGGAATGACCCCCAAAATCCCTCAAAAGAACCATCCAACTGGGGTGTTCATTCCCTCAGCACTAGCGAGTTTTCGGTCCAGGGTCCACCTGAAATCAGGTTCACTTTGTTTTTCTTTTTTTTTTGTGGGGGGGGGGGTATCCTTTGGTCAGAAACTGGAATGGGTGGCGTGCCTTGAAAATAGCGTCTTCTTTTTTCTGGACTGGAATTGGTGATGTGCCTTGAATTGAGGGGGTTTGACCATTTCTGGAGGTTAAAGTCAGAAACTGGAACTGGTGGTTTGCCTTTGACCTGCCTCTTGGGGGTAACTTTGATACTGGTAGAATTATCGGCCAGCTCCATCCCATGCGGATTCCTGGCGATCCCGATCCCTGTGCCAAGAGTAGAACGCGAATGAAAACTGAGGCAAAACAAAACACCAGTGAAGTATGCTGCATACTGCATCATACCGCAACCTTGCCTTGGAAAATGACAAAGGCAGCCCTGCATTTTTGGGTTTGAACTCAATTTATAGGGAGTTCCAACAAACCACCACCCACCACCCGCCACCCACCATGCGCCCCCCTGCCCGCCTCGCCGTCATGGGGGCGCCCCCGGTTCGGAAGGCCTCCGCCCGCATCTCCGAGTAGAAGCTGGCCAACTTCTCGGAGTCCACGTCCGTCATCTTGGGGAAGACCTCAGCTGCCAGGCGAGCGCAGGCTGACTCTGCTTGGATCATGTTCTTGGGACCTTCTGGTGGCTTACCTGTCCGGTGCAAGGCCAGCTTCAGACTCCTTTCAATACATAGATCGGGTGGTTTTCTTGCGTAATTGTTCGTGAAGCTTCCTTAACTGCAACATCTTGCACCTGCTGCAAGGAAGGCTTTTGGGTGGCTTTCATTTGGCCTCCCTTTGGCGCATTCTGGCACAACTGCCACTTGTACCATCATGTGGGCTCGGCCGGGACACTCGCTGCCGGGCATACACGATGTACTTCTTGAGCAAGTCCTTGCATTGCAACACCAGCTGCAAACATTGGTGGTCGACCCTGTGCAACAATGTTTCTGTCAGTCTCTCCTTCTCTCCCGCTTTCCCTCTCTCTGCATCATGTCCTGACTGGCGGTTGGCAACAGGCGGTCATATGCCCACCGGTGAAAATTAGCATGTTTTTTGTCGAAGAAACGGCCAACCAAGCCAGGAAGTTGAATCACCATGAATCACCTTTTCGGCTGCCAGCACCTAGCACCCCCAAGCAGCTTTCAAGCCAAACCAACCATCCTCCCTTTCTTCTAGCAACAAGTTCTCAATACTCCATAGCTGCTGTAATTCCAGGAGCCTGAAGTACGACCCCAACATGGGGTTCGAGGATTTTCGGGATAGGGGAGACACCCGTAGACTGCAGAATCAACACAAGGTCAAGTCGGAGACATGTGCTGTCCTGGGGGATTGGCTGCAAGTGCGACGACTTCTGCTGGTTCTTGGGCTTCAAACTCTTCTCCTCACGAGCGCCATCGGCAAAAAAACCCACCCCAACTGCAGCAAAGCGCGGTGGCGCCCCTAGATTGTCCATGTCGTTTGAATAATCAACCTGGTGGAGTACTAGGAAGCGTTTGACCAACCGGTCACCCACTGAAAGTGGTCAACCATGGTGGTTCTTGATTCTTGGGCTCTCATTACAAAGTGCCAAGGGAACAAGTTCGCTTGGCGTTGGACGACTGCAATGATGACGGCTCTGGTGCCATCTCCCCTGCCTCCGCCGTGGCCTTCACATGCGAGCGGATGTGGCTGCAAACCACGTGATCCGCCAGCATCTCGTCCTGGACTGGGTCTGACTCATCGCGGAGCACGCACATGATGTCGAAGCGGCTCAAGATGGGATCCGACAAGTTCACATTCTGCGAGAAGGTCCTGGCAGGCTGGGGAAATCGATCTGCCGCGCTTCGGATTTGGTTTGGGCTCCCGGTGGCACTGGTTGACCAGACCTCTCTCGTGTCAGACAGCTAAGCTGCTTGCCAAATTAAAGCTACCTCGCCACCAAATCAGCACCACCATGCCTCCAAATGATGAATGATAGTGAATGCCACCTGTCATGTCAGCCGCGTCCCCACCGAGCCCCCAGGTCTCAAACATGTCTCAAGCTCTCAAAATCGATGTTTTGCCTTTGGCTTCCCTTGAAAGACTGGTTGCGGAAAATGGCCCAGTTCTGTCATGTTCTGCTACACCAACCAACCGGGCTCTCTTCAGGTTTGTCTTTCACAAAAAGTGGGCCTTCTAAACCAGCACTTTCATGCTGAAAAAACCACGAAAAACGAGGAGGCCGACCCTCCAAAGGAAAGCCCCAGATCGCTGGGCCTGTCCTCTGGGGGTCGTAGCGCCCTTCGAGGGGGTTGGCCACCGCCACCACCGCGCAGCGCGCCTGCAGCGTGGCCACGATGCCGGCCTGGCGGAGCTACGAGATGCCCACCTGGGCTTCTTGAAACCCCTGGTTCAAGAAACACAGGGGACATAAAAAAAAGGGGGCCGGAAGTGCGAGAACCATCTTGCGCTCATTGTGTTTGGGTTTGCTCCTTATCATTTTGCCGCGTGTTAACCTCTCACTCAAACAGTTCAGACCCGAACCATACATACTCTCTGGCCACGCGCGCAAATCACAACTTTCCGGTGCGAGTGCAACACCCGAAGTACATTTTGACAGCTTGAAAGTGTCGGCACATGTGAATCCACCGTTGAATGAGGCAAAGCGAGATGTGATATGATTCTTGGCTTGAGGTCAGTTGGTGCAACAATGGACCACTGGACATCAGGGAATCATACAGGGAATCTGCTCACCGACCACAGCACGCCAGGGTTGCCAAAAGGGTGAGAGTGACACTGAAACGGGCACCAAAACCGAGTCCCTTGCTTCGTAACCCATCATCACATTTGACTTGACCATGCCCGCTTTTTCACCGTACGAGGCGGTTCCCTGCATTCAACGTCAAATCCCTGTGATTTCGAGTTCCCCTGCGTTGCCCCGCCATCCCGACATGCTGTGGATGGACGAAATCCCGCACCACTTGAGAAACCCGGGAATCCTGGATTCCCCTGTAAATACCACCCAAGAATGGTTTCTTATGGTTTCAAAGTGGTGCGAAATGGATTTCGTCCATCCACAGTAGCAAGCTGCCAAAAAGGGACCCAGGGGTCATTTGAACCGTCGCCTTACTGATGGAGATGCTCTGCTGCTCCATGGCCTCGTGCAAGGAGGTGCGGTCCTGGTCATTCCTCGCTTGGGGCTCGGATGGGATGGGTCCACATCGGCTCACTTACTCTGGAGACCTGGTTTGGGGTCCCAGCTGTATAGGTGATTGCCTTGAGAGCTAGGGATTTCGGGAAAGGCGCGAGCTTCTGAAAACCCACTATGATAAGAAGAGGCAGCATGTCATTCCATGTTCGCCCCGTCAAACTTACAAAAGGAGCCCACCTCAACGAAGCCTTCTAAACGATGTATTGAACCGTAGTCCTCTGCTGGCCATGTTGCAGTTAGCCTCGTAAATTCGATTACCACGGAGAGCTTTCAAGATCCAAGCCCAAGCGCCTCCCTTTCCCCAAGCAGAGTCAGGGCAAGCCTTTAAAGCCCGAAGACAGGCGGCACCTGCCACGGCCCAACAAGACTGACCCGCTGGAGTGGCTGCCTAGAACGTTGAACTGTTGGAGCTTTTGCTCCGCTGATTGATGAGTCTGCCAACATACTCCAACTCATCATGTCGAGCTAAAGGGTGAGCTCACCTTTTTGTATGGGTGAATGCGCCAGCCAACTACTAGTTTTAAGGTTGCGAGCTCAACATATAAGGAAACCGGACCGGATTTGGTCATTGCCGACGATTTGAAAACAACTCCGATGAATTGTGGCTGGAAAGCTGACCCCAGTGCTAAATGGCCAGTGCCACCGGGCGGCATCTTGTCGAACTCATCAATGAGGCAAATGCCATCATCAGCGAGAACCATGGCCCCACCCTCAAGGCAGAAGTGGCCTCGGCTCATTTGACAACATGATCGAGCACACGTTCTGTGGTCAGGTGAACCTATGGCATAAGAAGATGGACAACAAACTGTGAGTAGCAAATAATTGCAACTAGCATTGGGCATTTAGCAGCTGTTTGGGAATGGAAGCCCGGGAACGATCGTAAAAGAAAGCCGCAAGCCGCCCACCCGCCCAACCTAACTCAACCAAACCCACGCACCCAGGCAGGCACGCATGAGCACAAGTACGCGTGAAAGCGCGCACGGGCAGGCACACACCCACACACAACCCCCTCACTTTTGCTGGCCGTGTGGCCGTTCTCATCGCGAGTCACTGCAGCCGTCAGTCCAACAGCACTGGCACCCTTGCCAGTGGTATACACGGCACGGGGGAAGGTCTGCTCTACGTACCTCGTCGCACAAGAGTCATAAGAGCTTCTTGACACCCTTTAATCAAGAAAGCCTTGCCTATTGGGGCCACGGGGACAATCTAATGAATCATTCTGAGGTCAACATCTGTCCGATCCTCGCATCAGAAGTAGTGGCTCTTTCGCGTATGATTTGTTTTGGTCATTGGTACAAGAAGGCTCACTGTTTTGAGGGCGTGGTCAAAACTCCAGCTCTCCAAAAGCAATTCAGAAAGGAATCTCCTGCAGTCAGATCTCAAATTCGGGGCTCCTCCAGGCAGGCCCTTTCAACCCACTTCGTCCATCAACTTTCTGGGGAGCAGTCTTGGGCACACATACAGCTTTAAAAAAAAAAAAAGACGGAGAAAACCAAAGAACTCCCCATCCCCCAGGACTTCGAACATGGCTGACGCGAGCAGCGGGTTCTGCATGGTTCTGCCAGCATGGTTGAAATATTTATTGCAGCAATATACCAACGTATAATCACTTTCTTGGGCGCACCCCCAAAGCCGCCCTTGGAGGACTCTCCTTTTGGGGGATTCACCCCCTTTTTTGAGTTCCTGCATGCTTCTCTGAAGTGTAAAGGTTCAAGGTCCAGCCAACCGGGTGTCACAAATTGAGAATGGCCAGAACTTGACCCAGCAAAAAGTGAACTCTTGCTGGTTGAAACGGATTGAAACGGGGGGATGACAAATGAAAGAGGACCAAAACAAGGGGGACTGCAAACAAAGAAGGTGCCCTCCCACCCTTTTCACATGGAACCTGCGTTCGGGGCCCGGTCCCTTTCAAAGGAACACGGTCCTGACCACGACGGATTCCCCGCTGGTCGAAGGGTTCCATGGCAAAAACCGTCTCAGGCCCCCGCTTCAAGAACTGGCTCTTGGCGAGCCCGGGGTCCCCCACGATCAAGGTGTTGATGTCTCCGCGGATGCGGTGCTTGCCTGCGGCCACCTGCGATAAGACCCGAATGCGGATCCTCAAGGCCATGGGAAACTGTGGATAGAATGATGCCACGGCATTGTTGCGAAAATCCATTTCGCACCACCCAAGAAAACCTGGTTTCAGATGATCCCTAAAGTTACCAACTTACAATGGTTTCTCATGGTTTCAAAGTGGTGCAGGATTTGTCCATCCACATTATGTCCCTTATCTCAGGCTTGCATACTCCCTGCCAAGCTCTATGTAGCTGCATGGGCGTTCCATGTCTTTTATCTCTCGGCGACGTGACTTGTTTGGTAAACACGGTTTGGATGCTTTCTGGATTCCACAACTGTTCTTCCCCCGCCGGATTTCGCCTTTTGCGGACTCCTGTGCCTCAACCCTCTGTTTAGGACTGATAAACGTATCCTCCGGAGCTCTCGCAAGGCGCCTTGGGCTGACCGCTCATGATGCTCAGCGCGATGGCCGTCTTGACGTGCCACATGCCGTAGATGGAGGGGGCCATGGAGCCAATGATCCGCTCCCGGATCTGTGGATGCTTTGCCTCAAATCTAAGCAGGCTCAACCACATACCACTGGAGTAGTGCCCCTGCACAACTTAACCAATATTCCTGCCTTCGTATAGGAAACAAAAACAAAACCCGCCTGTGTATGGGTATATGTTATAAAGGGGGGGAAGCCCCCCGGTGAAGGAATCCATTTTCACGGGATATAACCTCCAAAGGTGGGCCGCCTCCATCGCTCTGTTTCTCTCATGTGATGGCTCCATTTGAGGGATCCCTCAGGGTTGCTTGCACGGTGGTGGAAAAACAACCTGTGCATAGTGAAGCCTAGCAAGGGCTGGGAGCTGATGCTTGAGCAATTCCGGGCTCACTGATATAACCTATGTACCCTACCATGGACAAGAAAACACAACAGATCAGCGACATCAGTCAATGCTATCCCCTAAAACCCTGACCCCCTTACAAGGATGAAAGCCCCGGCCAGTCTCCAAGCGGCCAGGTCTAAGATCTGCTGCTGCTGGTCGTCACTGATCTGGATCAGCTTCAAGTCGCCCTTTCGCGAGATGTGCACCGCCTGACGGGACCGCGGCTGCTGCGCAAAAGTTAGCTCCCACTCTGTATATTATCTCCCTCGTGCCCACAAAGGCGGCATGTATGTGGAAGAGTCTCGTTGAGGATAATTATATGTCATGAATGCCGAGGATGACTCAGGCGCACATAAACTTTTCCAGGTCTTTTTGGCCACTTGGACATCATCCATGCGCGGCTCCCCAGAACATCCTCTTGCGAGATCAGCTCAGCCCGGCCTGCTGTCTGACTGAGCCAGACTAGCTTTACTGAGTTCAAAACTGAGATGGACCTCATGTTGGCCAACGTTTCTCTTTTTTGCCAAGTAATGGGGCGCAGGCAGAAAAACCGGCCAAAAAGAAGGACGCCTGGATGTCCGTGCGGTACACGGGGAAGCAGGTTCTCGCATTGGTGGCGGCGTCGTGCAAGCATCGGTAGATCCCCGTGAGGTTCAGCTCGTCCCCTGGTCGGACCGTGTCCACCAGATCCCCGGTCAACACCTGGCGGAGGAGGGGAGGATTCCCAGATCATTGGAGAGGAATTTGCTGGGTGGCGGCAAGAGCCCCAAAAGCCGAAGCCCCGCAAAACCCCTTCACTTTGGATTCTGCCAAAGTTCAAAACTACATCGGCCTCACTGCGATTGCACTGGCAAGCCGTCTTCCCAGCGACTAGTTCTTCGAATTGAAAAGGAAGGGTTGGAGCTCAAGTTTTCGCCCTCCCTTCCCAGGCAAATACCGCCCACTAGCAAGCCTCTTATGTGGCTCTTGTTTCCCAATGTTTCGCACATAGCAAAATACAAACGTATGGTTTCAAAACGTTTTGCCCCAAGGACCTCTTGCCGGCGGAGAGAACCGCCGGCCGCCCCACAAACGCGTCACAGCCGCCACTTCGCGAGAGCGCGGCATCTTGCCAGCATCGACGGAGCTGGGGCTCTCCTGGCAACAAACGGCACCTGAGAACCTGCCTGCAAGCGCCTCCGACGCTTGCATTCTGGACTTTGGCCATCTAGAAATGTACGCCGTGCTTGAACTGACCAAACGGGCAGTTACTCGTGAAATCCTGGACATATGAGACACAAGGGCCAACAGCAAAATGAACAGTGTGAAAAGTCACCAGTGCAAAAGGGGCTTGCATTTGAGCGAGCATGCGTTGAAACAACCTTGCTTGAGATGCTCTTTCAAAGCTTTCAACAGGGCTTGACACATCCCGTCTAGACAAAGGCAGGCAAAAATCAAACTTAGCGCCAAGCAAAGAGATGTCCAAGGATCGACATGCGTGAAACCACGCGTCAAAGCAAGGGTTGGGACTTATAAACGCGTATGCATGGGATTTCTGCCATAACGATAAATAAATCAATAAGCAAATGACTCAGTAAACCTGTAAGGAAATATTTACATTTGAATGTGTATATATATATATATATATACATGCCACGCGCCCCCCCTCAAGTGCCCCCATTTTGCGTGATTTGAGCGCGCGCGCAGGCTGTAGTGTTTGAACTATATTTGCAGCAGATTTAAGCAGATACACGCAGGCTTGCAGTCCATCATGCGCCCTATGCTACCAGCAAGGTGTGAAACCAATTCCCGCAAATCTAAATACCGGCATTTAGATTTCAGCCCCCCACACAATCTTGTATCTTGGATCCAGGAGCTAAATGCACATATTTAGAAATCTAATTGCCGGTATGTAGAAATCAACGCATCGGCATTTAGATTTCAGGGGAACAATGATAGATCTAATATTTTCCCCCAACCTCCCCGACAAACCTTGAATCTTGGATCCAGGGTCTAAACACGGGCAAATAGAAATCTAAATGACCAGGAGTATCACACAACAATTCCCCACGCACCTTTCGTATGTTTTCCTTTTTATGCAAGAACGACCCACATGTGTTTGCTCAAAGAAGCTTGCTCAGAGAATTGTGCCCGAGGTTAATTTGCTGTGTAGACAAGACTTGCCAACAACAAAGTAGATTCTGTTTTCTGGCCACCTGCCTTCTAGCTATTTCTGTACAAGGGATACCGAGTTTTGTTTGTTGGTCAAGTTTCAAGAATCTCCGGGGGGCTTTTAGCATGCTTGCACAATACATTTTGCTTGGAATGCTTGTGTACTTGACATTTTGCTCTACGTCCAAAACTGGACTAGTATCACTCATGAATCAAGATTGCTCCCAAACGTCCCAACAAATCTGGGATCTTGGATCCAGGGCGTAAATACCGACACATAGAATTGTGGTATTTCTCCCCCTCCCCTCCTGAGTGCCCACGTGTTTGTCATCGCTTGTCAAAACTCCCGAAACAAGTGGCTACAATTCAGACAAATTGGGGCATCAGGGGCGTACCGCATATCTATATATATATATATACATTATGACATACATCTATGCGTAAAGTGATCAACGTACTCATCTATCTACTTATCCACATGTACAAAGATACATCATTGGCATCCCAAGAACATAGGCATGTACCCTGACGGCATGCAGCTTTTTCCATTGGGGCGTGCCAGTCCTTTGGGCCTCCCAAATCGAGAGGCCACGTTTGGATGCTGCTTTAAGCTTTAAGATAGCCCAAGAAACCACCACTTCTAGAACAGACCAGCTAGTTTAGAATCCGTCCTAAGGGTTCAACCGGGCCACGCATACGAGTCAGACGGATGGTGGACATGCCATAACATACCTATTGCTAGTCAAAGGTTTCTGGTTCACTTGCAACATTTTAGGGGCCCTAGCTCCTAAAATATTTGGGCTTGATAGCCTTCGTACGGTGACAACAGTGTCAGGCTCTAAGTGTTCCCCCGCGGAAGCCAAGAAGCTGACTTGTGTGGGGCCGGGATCTTTTCTTTGAAGAATCCCACGTGTTGGGGTCTGTGGGGTGTGTGACGGTTGACGGTTTGTGCATCGCCTGCAAGGAGATGGTCTGGTGGTTCTGGTAGAGCGTCTTCTGCCGGTCCACTCGCCAGGGGCCCCGGGACTGGCATTCCACACACCTGCGAAGCCCGTACCCCAAAGGGTGCATGGGGCATATAACGTTGTGCATAGGTTAGGTGAAGTTGTACAACGCTTTTCATCATGGGGGTAGAAGCGCGGAGATAAGGGAAGCCCTCTTGGAAGCAAGTAAGGGCTGGGCGTGAGGAGCGCCCCTTTGCCAGAAAGCAAGTGGCACAGACTAACTTCCTACATTCATCCTACATTGTTGGCCAGAGCCTCCAATCCTTCGTTACGTGGTCTGCTCCTGCCGTTCTGGACGTTTTCAGCCCGCCCCCGCCCATTTTGGTCGTAGTTTCTGAATCATGTTGGTCCTAGTTTTCGCTCATGTGGGAGGTAGTGCCAAAACCTGACCGAATCATGCTCGCTCAACTCAGCTCAAATCGACCCGACTCAACTCTCAATTCCACTCAATCTGACTCGGCTCAACTCATCTCAACTCAATCAACTCAACTTGACCGAGCTTAATTTATTGCACTCAACTCAACTCAACTCAAGTCAAATCAATTAAAGCAATTTCAGTCAAGCCAAATCAAATCAACTCCAACCACACAAGTCAAATTAATTCAACTCCAACCACACAAGTCAAATTAAATCAAATCAAGTCAAGTCAACCAAACAACCAATCAATGAACCAATCAACCAACAAACCAACAAAACAACAAACCAACAAACCAACAAACCAACAAGCCAACCAGCCAACCAGCCAACCAGCGAAAGGGTTTGAAACAGTATTTCGGGAGAGAATAAACAGGCCCTAACCCACCAACAAGAAGAGACAGTTTAAGCCCCCCAGTCCCAAGGGCAAAATGGTGCCCTCGGCTGGCAATGAACCACACAGATAACAAACGGGGAATCCTGTTTAACCGCAAAACCCAAACAGGAAAGGGGACCAGCGCAGCCAACCAAGCGAGCGCAGCAAGCAAGCGAGCAAAACAATTAACCAAGCAAAAGCGGAGCAGCAGCAACAAAGCGAGTTCCCAACCTCTAACTCCTGACCCACAACCAGCAACACTGCCACCGCCGACTGGCGAACACGCGGAACTTTTCCACGTGGTCGCTGCGGCGCCGTGAACAGGTGGCCGACGCAATGGCAAGAGCGGTTGCCGGAACAGTAAACTTGAGCCAAATGGCGCGTTGGCCATGGCAATAATCAAACATGCTATGATAAACGTACATGCCCCCAAAAACACCCCCCTCGCCTGTACAAAGAGAGGAAGTGAATTTGGAAGGGCGCATTGGCCATGTTGAAGTTGAAAAGCAATAAACAAGAAAACAGGGCCGATTAGGCTACCAGGGTTCGCGGCCCCATACCCGGGCACTCATTGGTGCCCGGATCCCGCCACCACCCCGAATTACGGGTATGGGGCGGATTCGCGCCGGTAGCCAAATCAAACAAGAGAAAGCAAAAAGAAACAGAAAAAAAGATTCAACTCCAGAATGGCAGGCATGAAATAAAAATACATTTGCACTGCAACCACATCGAACCGTAAGGTTCGAGTGGATTTATTTCCTGAATTCATGATTTAGGCGCATTGGCCCACTGGTTGAAACGTGGTGCTTCGACCACAAGACCACGGTCTTTAAATTAGCACCGTCTAGGCGCGCGATCACGCAAAGACCTTCGGTAGGAACACCACCAGCTGCAATCAGCGGTTCAGGTCCGAATAGGACCTCACCGGCAGCGGTGCAGCGCATCCGTGATCCTCACCACAGCACCTTGATGAGCTCCATCACCAGCAGCAGCAGCGGTGCTGGAGAAAGCAGATCACCAGCGGCCATAGACGCCGCCGAGGATGACTTCCTTGCTGCGGCGACATACACCTGACAGGTAATCGCTGCCTGCGCGAATAGCGCACAGCTGCGCATGCAGTTGAATTCTGAAATAGCGAATAGCCCAAACACAGAAATACTACAAGGAGCATAGTCCATTATGTGAATTCCGGAATGAAAGCATGCGCGCGTTGGCGCCGCCACGCAAAGGATGCAGACGAACATCAGGTATCACCGATGTCGTCCGCCGCCGTGCCGTCCCCTCCCCTTGTTGACGTTCCAGTCCCCAGGAGGAGGAGGCACGGTCTCGGCCAACTCATCATCCGCACCCCAGGTAGGGGTATGCGGCGAGTTCGGATTCTCGAACTCGCGGGGATCACCCTGCATGTGCGGCTGCCAACCCTGCGGCATTGCGCCAGGCCACATTTGCGGCATCATGCCAGCCATTGGCTGTTGCATGTACCCTCCCATTGGGAAAGCGGGGTACATCGGACTCGGGAAAGGGTAAGGAGCTGCCTGAGCACCCTTGTATCCCGACCCGCGAGCATCAGGCTGATACCCGCCAGTGGGAGTTCTCGATCTGGCGGATCCGCCACGACCGAACTGCCCTTGTTGGTAGCCGTATTGGCCACCCTTGCCTTTGTACTGATCACCTTTGTGACCCTTTCCTGGGAACTGGTCACCCTTGTGACCTCCGCCCTTGGGCCATGATTGCGCAGGGGCTTTGCCCTTTTGCTGATCACCCTTTGACCTGGATTCAGGTCGCGGGGTAGCAGACCGCTGGTCTCCCCTAGGAGTGGCTGCCCGCCTGTGGTGCTTCCCAACCGGCGGGTCAGCAAAAACAATGGCGCATTGGCCGTCGCGCCGCGAAGCGGGGACCATGTCAACCTTCGAACCTTGTTGTCTTCGACATAAATGTATGCCTCAGCATACTCAATTGGGGCCGTGATGGATCCACCACCGGCCCGCAAAGAGTCGATACTCCAATCAAGAACAGTGGAAGCATCGAAACTCGGATCTTCAGTATTGAAGTCCGTGAGGCGTCGCTCAGCCTGTACCAATGACATTATGATGTCCGCGCGTGAGGCGCCTAGGCCATACAGCGGAACCAAATATCCGTCCTCAATCCCGATGCGGTAGGCATCAAAGATATGCACAGAGAGGTAAAGGGCAAATGCTGAATTTAGACTGCCCTTTCTCGTCATATGACGACCCCATTGCGCCGCCTGTTGCGGGTGCTCGATCAAATATGCCAAGACAGACATATTGTCGGGAATCGAGACGCCAGTGTTGCTCTCCTCGATGAGCAGCTGTTTCGCTACCCACCGCTCGAGAGCCTCATCACTCGCCCGCACACAAGCGTGAGTGTCCTTTGAGGTGACCTTTGCAACCTCCTGAAACGCAACTTGCACAATGTCCGCGTTGGGAACGTGCACAAGATGCGGCGCACAGCGCAAACCGGTGATCATACAGCTGACCACCTCGCGGATCGGGTTTACCGATGCCATGAGAGGGGCCCACGCGTCGGTCTCCCCCTCATACCAGCTGCTGGCGCGGACTGCCTTGAGTCCCTCTAGCCAGATGGGCTGTCCCTTCTTGACCAGAGAGCGGACGGTGCCTGGCACCCACTCACGATAGAAAATCGGCAGATGGCAACCATTGCATAGAATGGTGCCATACATGTTCAAGTGCGCGCACCGAGGGCACCAGTAGTCATGCATGGGAGCGTTGTCCCATGAAAATGACACCCCTCTCCGCGGTCCCTGAACGTTCATCTCACGGACCGCCCAGGGACGGATGTATATTACATCCCCTTCCTGGTGCAGATAGCATGCGCGCCAAAAGGGCGCATGTATCTCCTCCCGCACGGCGATCAAACCGCGTCGGGTTTTGTAGATGCCGGCAGCTTCCTCGATGGCCATCCACTTTAGGTCAACGGCCACAACGACATGGCGCTTGTCCATGTATTTGACGCGATCGTCAACATAAAATTCGCCCTCATTATTGGGGCTGGGCAACTTGAGGAGAGGCACCTTTGCGCCCTCCATCCCAATCATGATCTCCCCCCTGCAGACCTGCTCAGGTCGCATGGGAAAAACCGTGATGGCGAATTTGCCTGGCCTCCGGATGCACCTCGTTTTGAGGGCGGACCGATACTCGGCCATCGTCAGCAGCACGTATCCCGTATAAGGGACTTCCGCTGCTACCATCGGCCTGAGCAAAGGCCCCATTGGCGTTCGGTCACGCAGTGCCCAACGCTTGAAAACTTTGAACGGCACGTCCCTCCCGATTAGGGTGGACCGCGCAAAGAGCACCTCATTCGGGCGCTCAGACGTGCCATCTGTCCTCCAGACCTTCCGTATTAGGAGCTCGACTGGAGGGTACGATGGGTTCTCCTTTGCGAGAGCACCCGCCCAGGTCGCTACCTCGACACTCGTGCACTTGTGGATCCCGTATAGGGCCTCAAGTAGCGTTGAGATCAGTGTCATTGACATCCAACCTCCCAGAATGTCTGGAACCGTCCCAAACAAGAAGGGGGGCTGCTCACCGGGCTTCACGTTTAACCGCGTTGGGTCAGTGTTGCCCGACAAAACTTCTAGCAGCATTTGCGATTCCCTGGAGCTTCGTCCAATAAACGCCGACACATCCCTAATCTCGGGGAAAAAATGGAAGATGTCATTACCGGCAGGACAGGCGATTCTGCCTGCTATCCCGCTCTGCGCATCAATCATAATCTCCTCACCCTCGTATGTGAGGTTGTATGTGCTCGTGATCGGGCACACACCGGGCTTTGCCGTCAGTGCCTCTTCTAACGATGCACCTGCTGGGAGGACGCCCTGCACATGCGACTTGGTACCTATGGAACCAGTACTCGCTGACATAAGCCGATAATTTTCGGCGCGAAAGTATGGAAAAAGGTTCTTCATCCTCTCAATTTCCTCTTCAGTGGTGCGCCACGCCTTTGCCTCATAGTAAGGCGGCTCCTGCTTTGAGGGCACTAGGTCGCGGTCACCCATTGATGAGAATTTGTCCACATATGGGCCCATCCCATCATCATCTACATGACTCTCGTGATCTTCATCCGAGACGTACTCCTTGGGCGGCTCGCCCAGAGCGTCCAGATCGACCTTACCAAGGTCGACCAGCGCCGGAGAATCCAGGACTCTCTGGATCCTCATGAGCTCGTTCCTAAACTGCTCAAAGCCTCCGGCCTTGTCAATCACGGAGG